ATAGTATAAAACTCACTAGTTATGGTATAGATGTGATGATATAGGTTTTAGACTAAAAAAATTGACTATCTTATACAACGATGACGTCAAAAAAAAATATCGCAGTATATATTTTGCTTAAAATCGAAGAAGTGTATTGTAATTTCTATGTAGACCATGGTTATTTTTCAATTTTTTTGAATAACATAGTTATATTCTTGGATTGTTTTCCCAATATAGTTATTAAGCAAAAAAAACCCTTAAATATATGTAGCTGGTGTTAGTTGAACAAAAAAAAAATGTAGCTGGTGTTCATAATATTGTGACAAAATAAGTTTATATACTATAGTTACATTCAGTGGCGAAGCCACATAAAGAGTATCGGACAGTTGCCTCGGATGTTTTTTTCTTAATAAGTGTTATTTTGCTAAGATTAATTTTTTTAGTTTTAATATGTTTTTAGTTTTATATGGTCTGCCCTATAAACATTGATCATAAATCCGCATCTGCTTACATTTATGCTTTTTATACGGTGATAATGACATTGAAATCCATTTTTTTCTTTTGGTCGACATTTTTTGGTTTTCAGAAACTTGTATTGTCAACATTTTAGTACCCGGACTAAAATTTACGTGACAAAAAAAACACAAGCTGAATAAAATAGAACTCCACCAAAACATGATGTCATCAGCGGCTAAATAAATCAATATCTAACTAATTAAAAAAAGTAAAACTGTAGATGTTAACGTAATCACAGTCGTAATATGCTGTATGACGCAAACTTCGGGTAGCAGCGACAAAAGAACCATTACCTAACAAAAGTAGGAAACTCTATTGTTATTTGAACAATCATCAAATAGTTTTTATCCCATTACATTTATGATAATTTATTATATATATATATAGTTGCGAATCAAACACATTAAAAATATACAAAAGACAAATCAAGACCACCTCTCGTTGAAATTTATTATCAAGTTAATCCTTACATTTATGCTGTTAAATGACAATTTATGTGTATGCAAATATGACATACGAGGAGATAAGAAAGAATCGAATCAATTACAATTATTGTTTGTGATTCTGCAGAAACTGGAGAGCACTTCACGTTCTTTGCACACGTGTATGTCCAATATCGCACGCCATATTAACCGGGATTCCAAATTTTTTAGAATGTGTCCAGAGATTACCACGTGGAAACCGGTTAGTGGAAAACCGGAATCGAAACAAACGCTCGTAACTGTCATCATCTTCTTTTTTTTGGGTAAAAATGTTAAGTAACTGTCATCATCTTGATGTTCATGCACGCGTGGATCATTTCTAATTTAATAAGTACACTCGTCCGTTTTATCAAATCCGAAATAACAACACGAAATTACTATAAAAATCGATTAGAATTTGATTCGGATTATAAGCTTTATTATTATTCCATGTTCGAATAATCGGAACTAAAAAGTCTAAGATTGAAAAAAAAAAAAGACGCCTAATTAAAAAAAAATATAATAAAGACCATATACTATATACGCTTTATAAGTTCAACATGTATGGTCTTAATAATTCGATAAAGCTATTGCAATATTTAACTTCAAACTATCCATGGATATGTGAACTCTATGTATAAAATGTTTAAAGGCCGTCTATATTGGGATAATAATGCCATCAGCTTAATTTTTTTTGGCCTTTTTCATAACACATAAAATGGAATATACTTTAGAGAGGACCATTGATGTCCATACAAAACCTCAAACTGTATTTTTTTACATAATTTATTTCTTCAGTGGTGTAACACCACTTTAACTAAAATGTGGTTGCTAAGGGGAATTATTCTGTTATAGATTCCACCACCGGAACTAAAAGCTAATAGATATATTATTGATAAATAAATGGCTGCTTAAATGAAAAAATTATTGGTAAGTTGATTTAATTAGCACCAAGTCGTGAAGCATGAATATTATAGGAGTATAAGGCTTGAGTGGGTTTTACATTTGTTTTTTTTGGTTACGAGTTTTACATTTCTCGCCTAAAGAAGTATCGATCATAAGATAAACTTGATAAAAAAATTTAGTAGTTGAGATTAGGTAGCCAGAAGGATATACTTGTTCCTTTGTCAGATCAAATAACACTACAATATGCTCTATGAATTTTGGTTTGTTAAGAGCTTTATTGTTTATAAGTTATAAAATGTTATTAAATCTCTCTCGATGGCAAGTAGTTGTAAATTAAAAATGATCTAGCATTTAGGAAAAAGATCAATTTTAACCTCAATTAAACTTATCGTGTATTTTTCAACCTATACAAATGTACTGTGTTTTTCAACTTGAACGTATATAAAATTTAAGTTTATTATTCAAACTAATCACTAAGTGCGTATATCAAAATTGACCATAACTCTGTTAATTAACTGTTAACACCAGCTGATTCAGATGAACGGAAATGTGCTAACGAGAAAAAGCTTATTTTAACTCTAACTTAATTAATAGTACATTTTCATACATATAGATATATATGATATATAGATAGAAAATATATAAAAAATAAACAAAAATAAGAAAAAACCAGAAAATTTAAAAATAATTCAGAAAATTCATTTAAAAAAAAAATCAAAAATATGTTTATATTACAAAAATTTGTAACTTAATAACTTTTATTAATTTAAGTAAGTTTTTTTACTATGCTGATGTTGTTAACAATGACAATAAAGAAAACAAAAATTGAATTTGCAATGGTAAAGTCTATTGATTTTAAGCAAGGAAATTTTCTGAACTCGTTTCCTTATCTAACTTTTTCATACTGTTCTTAGTGGATTACCGTTTGAGAATTGATTTTCAATCTTTAAATTTTATGTTCCTGTTTTATATATGTAGATTTCCATCTCAAATCCCAATATTTTTGGAATAAACTGTTACATAGTGTGGTTTTACAATTGTACATTCAATTTTGTCGTTCTTATTGTCATTGTCAACAATATCAACAGTGTTATAAAAAACGTGTTTTGAATATAGTAAAAGTTATTTAAATTACAAATTTTGTAACTTGAACATATTTTTAATTTAAAATTGAATTTGTCTTTTGAATTAAAAATTTTGAATTTTTTTGAATTTTTTAAAAAAAATTCTAAATTTTCTTAATTTCTTTTAGAAAATCCGATTTTTTTAGATTTTTTCCGTCTATATGTATGAAAAGATACATTGCTTGATTGATTGTTGCTGTAGATGCTGTACAAAGCAATATTTATGTTTAAAGCTCTAAATCATATCAATCATGCTTTATAAATTCTGTCTTTCTTTTATTTGTTCACAACCAAAATATATATATTTTTTTTTTGGCTGTACAAAACATTATTTTCTAAAGCACATAAATTTATGCTTTCCAAATTTTACAATTCTACAGCTAAAATTTTAAAGAAATAAAATTTACAACTACAACAAAAAAATCTACACCCACATTTCTACAACAAAAACATAAAACTACAGTTGTTACCAATCAAACCCACAACTAATTGAATTAGAAGAAGCAATTTTTACCACCAACATGGTATCTCCGTTTATTTAAAAAGTCAACTAAAGTAATTATGGTCAACTTTAATATACACAGTTAATGATTAGTTTGAAAAATAAATTTCAATTTTATGCAGGTTCAGGTTGAAAAACGCATAATACATTTATATAGATTACAAAAGACATGACGAGTTTACTTAAAGTTGAAATTGTCCATTTTCCATCTAACAAGTAACAATCACACATGTTTTTGACCGCTGCACTAACACGTTTGTAACCACAATCCTCCACTTTTATAAATTCCAAAGTATGGCATATCAAAATTAGGTGATAGACAAAACATGTGTCAAACTCTAGTAACTTAAACCTAACTTCTGATAACAAGAAAAAGATAATATTCGTGGGCTTGCAGCATTTTCATGTTTTATATTCAAAAATTCTAGGGTTAATTTGTGAAATAACCATATTACACTATAAAATAAAATATATAATCATACTAATTTCATAATTGATTCAATAACCAAAAACCCTAAAATTTGTCTATTTTGCCCTTCAAACAAAATTTATAAATACATAATTATAGTATACTATATCGATTTATATTACTATATTATACTATATATAAAATATTTGTTTTTTATGAATTATATAGAAAAGAGGAAAAAATAGAAAGGGACGAGAGATGGTAGGGAAGAAGACGGAGGAGAAAGAAAATAGATAAAAATGAAGGAAGAGGAATAAACGGAAAGAGAAAATAAAAGAAAGGAGAAAAGAACAAAAAAAAGGAAGAAAAGAAAAAAATAGAAGAGGGATAGTTTTATATATATTGTAGAATATATACAAAATACTATAGCCATTGATTTTTATGGTTATTTTGTATATTTTTCAGTTTTATATGGTCATATGACCCAATTTCTCAAAATTCTAATTAAATTTTGTATTTTACGTTGTTTTTTGGTCTTTTTAACTCTATTGTTTTTTTTTGTATTTATACTTTTATAGAGATGCCAAATATAAATTCAATCAATAGAATGCGAAGTGAACGAGTAAAGTTGGTTTTGACTAAATAAAGCCAACAATAATAGTAAGTTCTTTTTCTTCTTTTCGATATAATATAAAAAATAGTAATTTCGTTTTTTCTTCTTCTTTTCTTTCTCTCGCTTTATATAATCTGTCTCCAAAGTTGAACATACCATTTTCCTTCGAAGATATGTGATAATTCACTTTATAGAAAGCTTAAACTATATGAATCGGCATCCCACTTATCAAACGCCACACTTTGTCATTTCCTTTTTTCACTCTCAAGAGTCGACGCACTTGGATTAACATTTTAATTATAATTATATATAGTAACTATACACAGCCGAAGAATCATTATTATCCATGGTTCTCCTATTTACTACTAAATGTAAATAAATTTATTAGCATTTAGAGTTTTGACTCATCAATTTGTTGAAGTAAACGCAAAATATGTATATTTATCGGATTATATATACTATTAACGAGGAAATCAAAGAAAATCGCCTCTATTCATCTCCTCAAGAGCCGAAACAAAATCTCTCTCTCTCTTTCTCTCAAGTAAGCAACTTCAAAAATTGGTTAACCCAAACAAATGGAAAAACAAAAAAAGTCGCACTCTTTCTCTTAAAAATCTCGCCTTTTCGTCGTCCGAATCCAGAGAAACCCATACGCAAAATATCCTCTACGTGTTCACCTTTCACGATTTTCTCGAATTTTCTCTCATTTTCCTCCCAACCTTTTCATTTTTTTTTTGTTGTTTTCTACTTCGGATTCTTTCTTTTTCAAAACTTCTCCTCTTTTCTTAAACCATTCTCCGCTGCTCAACTGTTCAGTTCTTAGTGGTAAACAACAATATCCGAAAATCCAGAAAAATAAATCGGTACAGCGTTCAACACAATTGTTCAGTTGAGATTCGTTTTTGTTTTTTTTTTGGAATCTGTAATGGTGTGATTTGAATCCGAATTGTAAGAATTCATATGGACTTCTCGAATTCCTAATTCTGCGCAAAAAAAAAAACAAAACCCACCATGGATATCGAATCAAGAAGTTATCAGAACATCTTGAAGGTGAGTAAAAATCAGATTTTTGAGATCGAATCCAAAAGCACTTGATCCCGTAAAGTTGTCGCCTTTTTCGGGCGTTACTCTTTCCTCGTTTTCATCGATTCTGAATTAATAAAAATTCCGTTTTTTTTTTTGGTTTTTGCAGAAGGAATCGTGGAGAACAGTATTGACATTAGCGTATCAGAGCTTAGGAGTTGTATACGGAGATTTGAGTATTTCTCCTCTATACGTCTACAAAAGCACATTCGCTGAAGACATTCATCACTCCGAGTCCAACGAGGAGATCTTCGGTGTCTTGTCTTTCATCTTCTGGACAATCACTCTCGTCCCTCTCTTCAAATACGTCTTCATCGTCCTTAGAGCAGACGACAATGGCGAAGGAGGCACTTTCGCTCTCTACTCCCTCCTCTGTCGACACGCCCGGGTCAACTCGCTCCCGAGTTGCCAGCTGGCAGACGAGCAGCTCATCGAGTACAAGACCGACTCGATCGGGTCGTCGTCGGCGGTTCCTCAGTCGGGTTTCGCGGCGAGTCTCAAGTCTACGCTTGAGAAACACAGAGTGCTGCAGAAGATTCTGCTTGTCCTTGCTTTGATTGGGACTTGTATGGTGATTGGTGATGGTGTTCTTACGCCTGCGATTTCCGGTACAAAAAAAAAAAAAAAATCAAAATATAGTTCCTTTGACTTGTTCTTGTTTGATGTTCTGTCTTTGACAAAGACATGATCACTGAGTTTGGTTTCTTTACACTGTTCAATTTTCTTTTTTGTTGTCTATTACAGTTTTCTCTGCAGTATCAGGCGTTGAGCTTTCAATGGCTAAGGAGCATCACAAGTGTGAGTTAATCTATCTTAATCTAAAGCATAGGCCTATTTCGTCTCAAACGTTAATCTTGGTGATTGTGATGGACACTTTGGTTAGTTCATGTTCAAACTTGGTGACCTGAGAATGTGTTAGCTTGCTCTCCGGTTTAAGACTCTTCTGAGTTATTATAAGAATCATTTGTACTCGAAAGTCCTCGGTTTCTTTACTCAACCGTGGAGCCCGTTGTTCCCACCACCTGTTTATTCGATTGCTTGACAGAGTTTTGCACGTAACGCGAATTAAATGTCGTATACACATCGCTTTCGGTTTCTCTGAATTTGATGGCCCACGCTATTGAATAAGAGTGTTTGGATTGTTCTCTGCATACCAAGTGGATATATATGTAATGTGTTACCCAAACTTAACGTCTATCTTCTTCCTGAAAATTCTCATCTACCCATACTTTGGATCTTAGTGTCATCAACTCTTTGACTCAACCTTCCACTTTATTGACATCAACTTGTAACTGTGTTGTTGCATTTGTTAAAGTGTTGACCTTTAGTAGTAAACTTTTTTTCTTTGTTTTGTGAATGCAGACATAGAAGTACCTGCCGCTTGTATAATCCTGGTCGGTTTGTTCGCGCTCCAGCATTACGGTACGCACAGGGTCGGGTTCTTGTTCGCACCAGTGATTCTCTTGTGGCTAGTGTGCATAAGCGCCATAGGCGTATACAACATTTTCCACTGGAACCCTCAAGTGTATCAAGCGCTCTCTCCTTACTACATGTACAAGTTCCTCAAGAAAACTCAGAGCAGAGGATGGATGTCTCTTGGTGGGATCTTGCTCTGCATCACAGGCTCCGAGGCAATGTTTGCGGATCTCGGCCATTTCTCTCAGCTCTCTATCAAGATCGCGTTTACCTCGCTTGTGTACCCGTCCTTGATACTCGCCTACATGGGACAAGCAGCTTACCTCTCTCAGCACCATGTCATCGAGAGCGATTACAATATAGGGTTTTACGTGTCTGTACCGGAGAAGCTGAGATGGCCGGTTCTCGTGATCGCTATACTCGCTGCTGTTGTTGGGAGCCAAGCCATCATCACGGGAACGTTTTCGATCATCAAACAGTGCTCTGCTTTGGGATGCTTCCCTAAAGTGAAGATCGTTCACACTTCGTCCAAGATCCACGGTCAGATTTACATCCCTGAGATCAACTGGATCTTGATGATCCTCTGTTTAGCTGTTACCATTGGTTTCAGAGACACCAAGCGGTTGGGTAATGCTTCAGGTATATTGAACTCAAATCTTATCCTCTCTCTTCAGTAATTTGGATTTCGGTTCGGGTTTTTTCCGGTTTGAAAATATACAAATTAAAACCGATTCTACTATGGTAACTATCTAAACCAAAATCTAAAAGACCGAATAAACCAAATCGAAGCTAGTATGGTTTTGAATCCGGATTTCTGTTTGGTCTTGATTGGTTTTTTCGATTTATATATAATTATCCAAGATAAAACCGAATTTATTATGGATGGTTTGGTTTGGTTTCGGATATTGGTAGAATATACCATTCATTTAGTTCTTTACAGTTCGGTTTGGTTAGAAAAAAAATCAAGATATGGTTTTGATTTTCGGACGGTTTGGTTCGGACTGGATCAATTCGGTTATTCCAGATTGAACAGCCCTGGTTAGCATCGCTGACAAACCGTTATGTTTTTTTCCAGGTTTGGCGGTTATAACCGTTATGCTGGTGACGACGTGTCTAATGTCACTAGTGATCGTACTCTGCTGGCACAAGAGCGTCCTCTTCGCAATAGCCTTCGTCGTCTTCTTCGGAACAATCGAAGCTCTCTACTTCTCAGCTTCCTTGATCAAGTTCCTCGAAGGCGCGTGGGTCCCAATCGCACTCTCCTTATGCTTCCTAGCCGCGATGTGCACGTGGCACTACGGGACGCTCAAGCGGTACGAGTTCGACGTGCAGAACAAAGTCTCCGTGAACTGGCTCCTCAGCCTCGGCCAGACCCTCGGGATCAAACGCGTCCGCGGCATCGGACTCATCCACACGGAGCTCGTCTCCGGCATCCCGGCGATCTTCTCTCATTTCGTCACCAACCTCCCTGCTTTCCACCAGGTTCTCGTCTTCCTCTGCGTCAAATCCGTCCCGGTCCCGCACGTCCGTCCCGAGGAACGGTTCCTTGTCGGTCGAATCGGCCCGAAACAGTTCCGGATATACCGGTGCATTGTCCGGTACGGGTACCGGGACGTCCACAAAGACGACATCGAGTTTGAAGGCGATCTCGTCTGTAGCATCGCCGAGTTTATCCGTTCCGAGGCTGAAACCGCCACCATGGCCACGGAGACCAACGGCGAAGATGAGGATAGCCATAGGATGGCGGTTGTGGGAACCTGTTCCACGTACATGCAAGGAATCGAGGATCAGGACGTGAGCGACTATGACGATCCGGATAAACCCGGGACGTCGGAGATCCGGTCGCCGAAGCTGAAGAAGAAGAAGAGTAAGATCAAGAAGAAGGTGAGGTTTGTTGTGCCGGAGACTCCGAAGATTGAGAAGGAGACGAGGGAGGAGTTGATGGAGCTAACGGAGGCGCGTGAGGGTGGTGTGGCATATATAATGGGGAACGCGTATATGAGAGCGAAGCCAGGATCGGGATTGGTGAAGAGACTCGCCATTAACGTTGGATACGAGTTTCTTAGGAGGAACACTAGAGGTCCAAGAACCGCACTTACTTCGCCTCACGCGTCTACGTTAGAAGTCGGTATGATCTACCATGTCTAATAAGGGGTATTTTTCGTCTTTTTTGTATGTACAGGATTTTGTTTTGTGTTGATTTTGCTGAAAAAAAAAAGTGAATTAGATAATTAGCTCAAGAAATTTTGTCCTGTGTATGTGTGGAGGTTTTGCTAAAAGGTAACTAATCCTCCCTTTAGAGCCGGATAGGGAGATTTCGGTTTTTTAACAAACTTGTGTACAAATGATATGTGTTTAATACCAATAGCATATTGTGATTACTTTGTTCTAGATTTTTGGTGTCAAAATATTTTCAGCTGAAAAAATTGATATCATCTGATTATCTATCAGATAGATTGATAAATAAACTCTCCATCAAATCTTGCTTTTGTTTGGATTTTTTCTTCCTTTGTCCCTTTTGTAATCCTTAATTCTGGAACGTTATACATTTCAACTATTTGAAACACTCAAACACATCATGTTGACATCTGAAAAAAAACTACATCACATAATAAAAAAGTCCACGCGGTGCTTGGAGGCTACAGGTGGGCTAGTTGGGTCTTCTGGGTATAAAATTCAAAACAATTCAAAATTTAATCGGTTTACTGTTCAGATTTAGTCAGACCGAACCCAAACCGAAGATTAGATCCTTCGTGACATTATTACACAAAGAACAATTCAGTTAATAAAGAAAATAAGAAACACGCTAACTCTTTCGTTATCCTTTCTAGCTTAAAATTCAAACAGTTTCGTTATCATGAGGTAAAGAACAACTAGGGACACATAAAAACGAATATTAACAGTAGTTGTTCATATAAAAATTCATCCTGTGAGATGGTTTGGATACTTTTATTTTCAAAAGCAAGTTTGAATATTTCATCAGAAAAACTCACCTCACAAGGCTAATGGTTGAAATTACAAAAGCTTTAAGAGAATGTCTACATCATATATTAAAAACTAACCAATCGTGCTTTATTTTAAATATGTGAAATACCTCGCAAAAAGTTAATTGAAGTAAGTAAATATTCTAATCCTCGCCGACACTACATTCTTCTAAAGTCCTAAGTCGAAGATTGACGACTTGAATGAAACCTGTGAATTTTCTATTTTGAATTACTCTGATTACAGTCATTAAAAATTGATAAATAAATTGTGGTTGGTAAATAACAAAATAGAATCTCGTCTTTTAATGTTACATTCGTTAACGTTTAGATCAAAAAAATACTCCAGTTTATTATATTTCCAGTGGTACCGTATGATTTGAATCCATTGACAAAATATAATCTCGTCTTTTAGTATTCCACTCTTTAGCCGTTAGACTAAAAATAAGTTAATTATTACCACAAAATAAGTGTTTGTGGTCAAGGTCCAAGGTGGTGGTGGTGGTGGTGCAGCCGCCTCGCCATCGTTGAAGTCTTCGTTCCACGCGCGTGAGCTATACACGCACTCGCGTCACACAAGCGACGGATTAGTTGTTCGTAATTAGATGATTAATTAAATTACATTAGCAAAATGTATATCTTATCAAATTAGCAAATTGATGATCAAAGTCTACATAAACACCATTCGTTGTTTTTGATCGAAAGTTAAACCCCCGGCACTTTCGCATCTTCTTCTCCGGTACACGATGTCCAGGCTACGCCTGTTTTCGTTTCTGCTCCTCCTCACTGTCTGGTTCTTGTGTATTCCCGGTTCGGTTCACGTTGTTCGAGCTCAAAACCGAACCGGAGCCACTACTCATCCAGACGATGGTCTGTCTTCTTCTTCTTTGATCACTTAAGACTTGATACAAATATAAATATATTTTGTTCATAAAGAAATTTCCTGATTAGTTTCAATTAATATTTGATTTCTTTAAATCAGATTGTTTAGTTTTGTTTGGGGCGATTGATTCTTGCACCACCCAAAGAAGAAGAAGATATAATAGTTGACTAAGTGTCATGGACTAATATGATCATAAATCTAGTAATATAATTAATAAAAGTACAGTATAATGTATGTTTTTAACAATTGCAGTCACTGAAACGCTTAATTGATTTTTTGGTCATGCGATATTTTGATGATAGTAATACTTTTTTTTTTTTTGCAACAAATGTATAAGTTTTTTTTTTTTTTAATGATAGTAGTACCTCTAAAAAAAAATGTAATACATAAGTCACTTTTATTGTTGCTATTAGTTATTCAAAACAAAAATCGAAAATTACCAAAAATGATGAAAAATATCGAAATTAGTTTTTGTATAAGATTTAAAACAATAAACATCAAATGACATAAGATATATAAATTTTCTTACAATTTAAACTTTTCAATTACTACCAATTTTTTAAAAAATCTTTTTAATTTGACAGCACGTGCTCTGAACACTATCTTCGCAACATGGAAGATTCGTGCGCCGAGGGAAGAATGGAACATCAGCGGCGAGCTTTGCTCCGGCGCCGCCGTAGACAACGCTGTCACCGATGCCAACCCCGCTTACAACCCTCTTATCAAATGCGACTGTAATTTCGTCAACTCCACAATCTGCCGTATCACGCTCTTGTACGCACGCCTCTTTCCCTTTTTGTGCACCCCATGTGTTCGATGCATTGTCTTACTGGAGAATTACTGAATTCAGAAGCTATGCCTCAGTTTCAAAGCTAAAGAGCTCATTTTTACAATGTTTTCACAGGAAGGTTTACGCAAGAGATGTTGTAGGAACTATACCTAAAGAGCTCTGGACTTTGGAATATCTCACAAATCTGTATGGTTTTATTATACAGATCATCATCAAATAGAGCAAACACACATTGAGAGTGTGTAATACATCTAATGAAACTCAAAAATCACAACTTTATGCTTACTTTCAGGAATCTGGCTCAAAATTTTCTGTCAGGATCATTGTCTCCTGCAATTGGAAATCTGACTCGAATGGAATGGCTGTAAGACTGTGAAAACTTCTTCCTTTTTTTTTTGATTTCTGGTGATTTTCTGATAATGCTCCTTTTTACAAGCATTTTGATTTGTCTCTCACGCTCCAACTGTTGATCACGTAGGACTTTTGGGATCAATGCGTTGTCTGGCCCTGTTCCTAAGGAAATTGGTTTGCTTACAAATTTAAAATTACTGTAAGCTTCTTGATTGCTTGATTACGATATTGTCTTCACACACTGCTTATAGAGGCTTTTGATGGTTCCTTATACCTATTATGCATATGTTCTGCAGTAGCATTAGTTCGAATAACTTTTCCGGTTCTATGCCAGCTGAGATTGGGAGTTGTACAAAGCTAGAGCAAATGTGAGTGTATCTGTCAAAAGTTTATGTACATATATCTTGTTTATAGTATAGATATGAAACCTGAACCTTCACGGTCATGTAATATGTTCACTGACCACAATTTTTGTGCGCAATTAATCATTTCTGTGAATTTCTTCCATCTGTTGCAGCTACATAGATAGTTCTGGACTCAGCGGGGAAATACCTTTATCATTTGCTAATCTTGTGGAGCTGAAACAGGCGTAAGCTATATTGAATTCGAATATAAGCTTTATCGTTAGATTACTACAACTTCTTCTTTTTTTGGTTTCGTTTGGTAATTTATTTCATTCTTACTAATTTACATTTTCCTTTTGTCTTGGGAATACCTTTATGTTGTATCAGTTGGATTATGGATCTGGAACTTACAGGTCGGATACCAAACTTTATAGGAAACTGGACCAAACTTACTACCTTGTGAGAAGATTTCATTTTTACAGTGTTATATAATGGACTTGTTCCATTGCTCTTACAGTGTTCTTCATTCCATCTACATTTGTTATTAAACAATTGGTACGTGTTTTACTGCAGGAGAATTGTCGGAACTGGTTTGAGTGGTCCGATACCGTCGTCATTTTCGAACTTAACTTCTTTGCTAGAACTGTATGTGTTGCATTCTTGTCATTATCGTTGTTGTTTTACCGTTTTTCTTTTTATACATATTCCAATTCTAAATGTAGGAGGCTAGGTGATATAACCAATGGAAGCTCTTCTCTTGAATTCATCAAAGACATGAAATCTCTAAGTACATTGTAAGACAGCCACGATTTGAGTTCTATTCCAACTCAATGTTTGAAATATGTACTGTTGAAATGGTTCTCTCCCCTCCTTGTATTTAACATTGATGATGTATGCCACAGAGTATTGAGGAACAGTAATCTAACGGGGACAATACCGTCTAATATTGGAGAATACTCAAGTTTGCAACAAGTGTAAGTACATATGTCAGTGTGTTTCATTAAATGCTGTGAAAATTGTGTCAGGGTCTTTGCTGTGAAAAGAAAGTGAGATGACTTGTGAAAGTCACCGAGAAAATACGAAATGATCCTATATTGGTGATAATATAGTTTCATATTTTGTTCTTGTTCACTACTAGACATGAATAGTTTAACGTGTAACGTGTTACCGTGTAATCATATCTGTTTTGCAGTGATTTAAGCTTCAACAAACTACATGGACCAATTCCAGCTTCACTTTTCAACTTAAGTCGACTTACTCACTTGTAAGATGATATATTTTCTGCTTCTTTTGGGTCTTTCATTCACAACTACCCAAATAATGTGGAAAAATTTTGTTCTCTATATATTAGATTTCTGGGAAACAACACGTTGAATGGTTCCTTGCCCACTCAGAAGAGGCAGTCTTTGAGCAATATGTGAGTAACAGAATCCTTTATAATTGTTTCATTTTGTAGAAGGTTATTAGGTACTCCTGATATAGACTCAAATTTCAGACACTTACACAAGTTGAATAAGGTTCCGCTCTTTGGCATGGAAGACTTGTCAAGATAACCAAGAAAATGACTAGTCTGAAGATCTTAATTATTGTTCTTTATACTTACAGAGATGTGTCATATAATAATTTGTCTGGAAGTCTTCCGTCGTGGGTCAGCTCACCAAACTCGAAATTGTAAGTTAAACTTATAGTCGCAATATTTTTCGATCTCATAATTTTTTTCCGTATTTATATTCATTAGGCTTCTTCATATCCAGCATGAAGCTTCTTTTTTTGTAGGAAGTATGTATTGTATTTATATGTTAGGAATGGTAACTAAAACTGTGTTATTTTTGCAGCAACCTTGTTGCTAACAATTTCACATTAGAAGGTCTTGACAACAGGTGATTTTCATATATATGTTCTTGCTGATGCTTGAAGTTTTCCAATATGATTCTCTTTTCTAATTTTTCCTTCATAAATATGTTCTTCTTAAGGGTTTTATCAGGACTGAACTGCCTGCAAAAAAACTTCCCCTGCAATCGAGGCAAAGGAATCTGTAAGTGTAACAAAGAGTTATCCTCTCATAACCGTTGTTCTCCAAGTGTACTTGTGTAGTGAGCAAACACATGGACATTGTTTTAAAAGTTTCTCTATTGAATGGTGTCTTAGATTCAAACTTTTCAATCAACTGCGGAGGTCCGGATAAAATATCTGCTAGTGGAGCACTATTTGAGAAGGATGACGAGGATCTTGGACCAGCTTCGTTTGTCGTGAATGTTGCTAGGAGATGGGCAGCTAGTAGCATTGGTCTTTTCGCCGGAAGTAGCAATAATATATACATAGTAAATTCACTAGCACAATTTACAAACACTTCGGACTCAGAGCTTTTCCAGTCAGCAAGACTTTCTGCATCTTCCCTAAGGTATTATGGGTTGGGGCTAGAAAATGGTGTCTATATTGTAAAGCTTCAGTTTGCTGAGATACAAATTGAAGGTTCCAACTCTTGGAAAGCTCTTGGAAGACGACGTTTTGACATTTATGTACAGGTTCGCACAACTGATTTTGTGTAATAATCTTCTTCTGAAATTTGGTTCTAATGAACTCTAAGATCTAGCTACATTTTTTTTCCCAGGGAAGACTTGTTGAAAAGGATTTTGATGTACGTAGAACAGCTGGTGGCTCTACTGTTACAGCAGTTGAGAGAGAATATAAAGCAAATGTATCAGAGAATTACCTCGAAGTTCATCTTTTCTGGGCTGGAAAAGGAACGTGTTGTATTCCTGTTCAAGGGGCTTATGGGCCACTAATATCGGCTGTTAGTGCAACACCAGGTAATATAAATGGCGATTTTTTTTTTTACCATCTTCTGATGCTAGTAAGTACCTAAGTGTTACGTATTGCTGCTCAGATTTTACTCCAACTGTGGATAATAAGCCACCATCAAAGGGGAAAAACAGGACTGGTGTTATTGTGGGTGTCATTGTTGGCATAGGACTTTTGAGCATTTTTGTGGGTGTGGCTATCTTCATCATCCGAAAAAGAAGAAAGCCGTATACAGATGATGAAGGTATACATAGAATTAATAAGAGCACAAACTTGAATATCAATCTTTCGAAATGGTTCATTTTTAAGAGCTGGTTTTTTTTTTCTTGCAGAGCTACTTGGTATGGAAATAAAGCCTTACACTTTTACTTACTCGGAACTTAAAAGTGCAACTCAAGATTTTAACATCTCAAACAAGCTTGGAGAAGGTGGATTTGGGCCTGTTTATAAGGTAAGTCACATACCGAAGTTTATCCGTATTTTCTTCGATATATTTAGGAAAGAAGAGTTTGTGTAATACCTTTTTTGATACGTTTTGTTTTGAATTGTCACGTTCAACAGGGAAACCTCAGTGATGGAAGAGAGGTAGCAGTGAAGCTGTTGTCTGTTGGATCCCGGCAAGGGAAGGGACAATTTGTTGCAGAAATTGTAACAATCTCTACGGTTCTACATCGTAACCTAGTGACACTTTACGGGTGCTGCTTTGAAGGAGATCACCGTTTGTTAGTATATGAGTATCTCCCTAATGGAAGTCTGGATCAGGCACTATTTGGTAATGAAATAGAACCGTGACATTAATACACTGATGATCCATGCTTATGCCAAGCTCATAAGCACTCATTGTGCACTTGTGATTGATTTGGATGATGCAGGGAATAAGAGTTTACATCTTGATTGGTCAACACGTTTCGAGATATGCCTGGGAGTAGCCAGAGCTCTAGTCTATCTCCACGAAGAAGCGAGGGTTCGCATAGTACACAGAGATGTCAAGGCCAGCAACATTTTGCTTGACTCTAATCTAGTCCCAAAAGTTTCTGACTTTGGGCTTGCGAAACTATACGATGACAAGAAAACACACATAAGTACCGGAGTTGCAGGAACAATGTAAGTATCCCTAAACCCGCTATGTAAGTTTGGTATTGCAACACAAATTTGGATTTGTAAATACATTTTACTGTTGCTGTTGTATCAATGCAGTGGATACCTTGCGCCAGAGTATGCAATGCGTGGACTTCTAACAGAGAAGACAGATGTGTATGCCTTTGGTATTGTGGCTCTTGAGATAGTTAGTGGAAGGCCAAACTCTGATGAGATCTTAGAGGAAGAGAAAAAATATCTTCTTGAATGGGTACGTCCTCACTTGTTATAACTAATTGTGAAGCTTTGCGATATATATAGTCATGAATGGTTTAGCAAAATCCAATGATCCTTTGTGTATTTCTGGTGACAACAGACATGGAATCTACACGAGAAAAACCGTGAACTCGAACTAATAGATGAGAAGCTAAGTGAATTCAACAAGGATGAAGTGAAACGCGTGATTCGGATTGCTCTGCTATGCACACAGTCTTCTCATTCTTTGAGACCACCAATGTCACGAGTTGTGGCCATGTTGTCGGGAGATGTTGAGGTCAGTGATGTCAAGTCTAAGCCAGGTTACCTAAGCGATTGGAGATTTGATGACATCACCACTACTTCTCTTAGTAGCTTTCAAACCAAAGAGGTAGGCGCTTCTGGCTCCAAGATATCGCCCAGTACCAAAGACTCTCAGCCAATGCTTGGAGCCAAGATCAATGTTGGAAGATGACAATGTCTCTTTTCTGATGGCTATAGAGTTTTGTTTGTGTACATATATGATCAACATCTTCTTTTCTTTTGATTGGAGAAACATATTTCACTTTGATTCAATAAAACATTTTAGCTCTTCGCTTTTTCTTGTGAGAAATTTGTCGCTAGTTGAAAAAGAAAAGAGAAACGAAGAATCTCAGTGATCGGAGCAATGAGCTTATACCATGTTAGGCGAGAGAAATCGAGAGGAAGGAGCACTAACTTTATGTTTGTGACGTAGAGCCTCTTATACACACAGAGGGTTTTGGTCAACTTCTTACATGAAACCAATCTTAATTACTTGGTTAATTAAATGAACCGGGTGTACTGCCCTACACACTAATAATTTGTCTATGGGTTTACGCTGTAGAAAAGCTAGACCTTTAAGTTTCTGTCATTTTTCCTTTGGAGCTTCATGTATAACCGGTTTAACTGGTTCGAATTAATCAGGTAATCAGACCGGACCGGACCGAATCCGGAGATGAGGATCCTTTCGTCGAGCTGTCAATGTCCGACTTGTGTTTATTTGTCTGAAAGCGATCTGACTTTGGATAATATATACTCAAAAGAACAGCTCAATTTGTTTATAACTAAAAGCACGTGCTTCTTTTAATTTCTTTTTGTTATCCTCTCTTTCGTTTAGTTTTTTTTTATTATCAGACTAAAAAATTCAATCTTGCTTTTTTTAATGGAAACATCCAACTAAGCAATCTCATTGGATGAGTTTTATATGAACGATGGTAATTCAATTACTGTATATATATTCGTCTTTATGTGTGTCTAACAGTCCAAGTCATTCTTTACGTCATGGATTTTCTTGCGCTCTATAAAATATTAAAAGTTTCAGGCATTGTGTTAGGTTATGTAAAACCGCGAAAAAAGGCTAATCGGTCGAAATTGTGACAATAACAATTTGTTGTTCTTATATAAAAAACAAACAAAAACGATTGGTTGTACGTAAAATAAACAGAAAATTATTTTATTTGCTAGCAATTGCTGCTCCATATAAACATGCGTAGGCTTGGACAATATGTCTCTTACAATTTAAAACAAAAATTATTACGGCTCCATGACGAACAAGATTAATGCGCTTATTTGACTGATTTTTTTATATATTTTTAAAAAATTTAACTACTGGATCATATACTTTTAAGAAAATAGATATCGTTAAAGAAAAATGTAATAAGAAAACAAATGAAAAAAGTTTTGGATATGTCGGCTAATAGCATAAAATAATAATAATATAAATTGTTTAAAAATTACCAAAAAAAATTGTACTTGATGTTACAGCTATGGGAGAACCGGGTATCATAAAGAAAAGGGGAAGGTTCTAAGATGTGCTTTGGCTTTTGATACAGACGTGCAGAAACACTTTCCCATGTAAAAATAATTTATTATGACGTGTCAATATTTCATTCGTTGACATATTTTTGACTACTTACGTAAGTGCGAACGCATTTGTAAACAAAATATTAATCCCGCAAATACTTATCCATTTTGGAAACATTCTGATCCTCGTTTCTCACTAACCCACATGGGTCCCACTGGCCCAGCTATTATACGGACTTGTCTTCGTGTCTAATTCTCATTGGTTTATATTAACAAGGCCCCACCTTAGCCGACGATTATCTCTGTCTGGATAAAGAGAATTACTTTTGTTTTCTAGAAAAGCTTATAGTAGTATATAAGAAAATTAATAATAATGTAAATTGTAAAACACGATAAACGGGGTGGATGGATCTTAAAATATCATCAAAAATTAAAAGAATGCATTTTTAGAAATGAAGAAAGGTAGTATATATATATTTATATAAATAAAAGAAAACTTTTAGTTTACATAAAAAAGGCCTCAATTTTGTTTTGTATTCTAATTTTAGACCACGCGCGTGGCCCTTTCGAGTACATGAAGAGAAACTAGAGTCGTGTGAATTTTTCTTTATTTTTTAATCGACTGGACGTTAAATGTTTCAATAAAATAAAAAATCAGAATAAGAAAAGAAGAAGAAAGAGTCTTTCGGATACGTCGGATCCGCATTGGCTGGCTCTCGAGACAACGTTATTTACATTCCCAGCCACTGCATTTAAAGGGTAATATTGTAAATATATAACATATAGTTGTGGAAGAAGTTCTAATTTGTATGATAACATTTGTGATAATGTGTGCATATAACTATTCTTTTTCTTTGGTCAAAGTTTTAAGAATCGTCCACAAAATTTTTATTAGATTTTTATGTCTTCCCTATGTGTAGCACTTGATCTTTTTAGTAGTCCATATAGTATAATCTAATAAACAATCCTTTTATAAATGGATAGAGTCTAATAGATCGTGTGTAGGCGTTTCGTCTTTGACCAGTGGATAACGATCTGATTATATTTACTTCTAAACGTTGTTTCCACTTTGCACTTTGTAGAGCTTAGACTCTATGTGACTATGCGAGTATGAAACGACTTGTCAACAAAACAATTTTCTTGTAGTTGTTGTTTAGATCTTTTAAATACGCTTTAATCACATAATTTTTACCGTACTAATGCTTCACTCTTTTTGTATGTTATATCTATAAGACTATAAGTAAATGTATACAATTTGTATACAATGATTTAAGTTGTAGTTATCGGTGGGGGTTAAAGTGTTATCTATTCGTGAATATATATATATATATAACTCACTTCTACGAGATTATATTGTTACTATTCCAAATACGCAATATTTTAATTAGCATGTTTCAGATTTAGTTTCAGTGGTCACATGCTTCAGAACATTAACATCAGAAAAAGCCATGTGTTAATGATTAATGAGACATGCATGCAATATCAACTAATCATGTTTTAAAGCCTTGAAGGGATATATATATATATATATATCATACAAATATGTATTTCCTTCATCTAACTATATAATGTCAACAATATCGGTTTAGTTCCATTTGAACCTTTATCGGTTTGGTTGGTTTAATTTATCAAGCTGACAGTGTTTTGAACTTTTGGTTTTGGATTGGTCCGTTAATACATATTTTTTCCCACTTTTGTAGTGGACAACATATGTGTACTTGTTTCTTTATTTATAAAGCAATGAAACTAATCTAAAGTTTTATACAATATGTCAATATATATAGCACACAACTATATTGTTTAACTCTTAAAAGAGCCGTGAAAAAAACATATTTGAAATCTAACAAAGGAATGGAATAAAAACCATGATTTGATTTTGTCTGTTTTGCAAATATATTTAGAAACATCCAAAAAAAAGATTGGCAAAAAATAAAAACGAAATTTACTTTTTATATACAAATGTAAACCCCAGATGATATAGGTAAGATGCCAGTTGCTGAGTTCAATTGAAATGCCAATAGAAAATGATTATATTACGGATAATATAATATAATTTATCATATTCTGCGACCAAAAATACAAAAATTTGGTCCACCACATCTATCTACCAACCCAAAATTAGACGATAATAAGGTGAAGGGTATTCGCGTAATTCCAGATGGCAGCGTCCCAAGAGACTATCCAAAACATTATCGCGAAAAAACCGTACAGAGCAAAAGCTACGATAAATATTAAATTTATTAGATAATAAAAATAAGGAAAATAGATCGTTAGAAAACGTGTATATGCATATTTTTGGTATGTATCGGTTTTTTCTTGCTATTGCACTAATTTCTTTCAATCTCTCTTTCTCTTCTCTCTCTCTGTATCTTTCTCTGAGTGGAGCGAATATCCGAGGGAGCTCCTCCGAGTCTCTTTCGTCATCTTCGCGAGCTTCCATTAATCGGTTTAAGCCGCAACATGTACATCGGTTTATCAACCAAATAACGGCGAAGGTGAGTCGCCGGTGATTTCTCCGTCGAGATAAGACGACTTTAATTCTTCCTTATCTTTCCTCTATAGGGCTGTGTTGATGAAAACATTCTTTTTATGTTTAACTGTTTCATTGATGTGCTATAGTAATTTTAATTTGACCCAAAACGGCATATTTTTTTTGTGTGTTCTCGATCCTGTTTATGGCATAATCTCTTGATTTATAGCCTAAAATGATGATTACGATAGCTTAGTATTTTTAATCAATCGATTCCTTTTATTTAACAGATTATAGTATTTTGTTTGTAATCGTTTTCTTTTTATATGTTTGGCTATAAAAAAGCATGTTATGAAGAAATCGGATCCTTAAAATGGAAATGATGATTTTGATGTTCAAAACATGAAAATGAGAATATTAGGGTTCATAAGTACTAAAATCTCTACAACAAGGAACATTTTTTGTTTTATAAAAGTCAAAATCATTTTTAAAGGTCAAATTAGAGTAAATTTGAAGTTAATGGATTTTTTTTTTCTCAGGTATTCGAACAAGACACAAGCTCTTAGCTTTGGTCTCCATGGTATCAAGATCTTGCGCGAATTTTCTTGATTTATCATCTTGGGACCTCTTAGGCTTTCCTCAAACTCCGAGAACTCTCCCTCGCGTTATGACTGTTCCCGGAATCATCACCGACTTAGACGGAGACGGCGGCGAAGTATCCTCCTCCTCCGGTGGCTCACGCGAGAGGAAAATCATCGTAGCTAATATGTTACCTCTCCAATCCAAAAGAGACGCTGAAACTGGTAAATGGTGTTTCGCTTGGGACGAAGACTCTCTCCAGTTACAGCTCAGAGACGGGTTCTCTCCAGAAACAGAGTTCCTCTACGTCGGATCACTCAACGCAGACGTCGAATCCAGCGAGCAAGAAGAAGTCTCGAAGAGGCTTCTCGAGGAATTCAACTGCGTCGCGACGTTTCTGCCTCAAGAGCTGCAGAAAATGTTCTATCTTGGCTTCTGTAAACACCAGCTATGGCCTCTCTTCCATTACATGCTCCCAATGTTTCCCGACCACGGAGATCGTTTCGACAGGCGTCTATGGCAAGCCTATGTATCAGCCAACAAGATATTCTCGGACAGGGTGATGGAAGTCATCAACCCTGAGGATGATTATGTCTGGATTCAGGATTATCATCTCATGGTTCTTCCTACTTTCTTGAGGAAACGCTTCAACAGGATCAAGCTTGGTTTCTTCCTTCATAGTCCGTTTCCTTCCTCTGAGATTTACAGAACTTTGCCTGTTCGTGACGAGATTCTGAGAGGTTTGTTGAACTGTGATCTCATTGGCTTCCACACGTTTGATTACGCGAGGCATTTCTTGTCTTGCTGCAGTAGAATGCTCGGTCTTGATTACGAGTCTAAGCGAGGTCACATCGGGCTTGACTACTTTGGTAGGACTGTGTTTATCAAAATCCTCCCCGTTGGTGTCCACATGGGTAGATTGGAATCTGTTTTGAACCTTCCTTCAACCGCAGCGAAGACGAGAGAGATTCAAGAACAGTTTAAAGGGAAGAAACTGGTTCTTGGCATAGACGATATGGACATATTCAAAGGCATAAGCCTGAAGCTTCTAGCGATGGAGAATCTCTTTGAGACGTATTGGCATTTGAGAGGGAAAGTTGTTCTTGTTCAGATTGTGAACCCCGCAAGATCATCAGGTAAAGACGTGGAAGAAGCAAAGAGGGAGACGTATGTGACTGCGAAGAGGATCAACGAGCGTTACGGTACTCCTGATTATAAACCAATAGTCTTGATCGATCGTCTTGTTCCACGTTATGAGAAAACCGCGTATTACGCTGCAGCGGATTGTTGCCTGGTGAATGCAGTGAGAGACGGCATGAACTTAGTGCCTTATAAGTATATTGTCTGCAGGGAAGGGACTCGAGACAAGGCTCTTGATTCATCGCCACGCACAAGCACCCTTGTTGTATCTGAGTTCATTGGTTGCTCTCCTTCTCTGAGTGGTGCCATTAGAGTGAATCCATGGGATGTAGATGTGGTTGCTCAGGCGGTGAACTCAGCTCTTAAAATGAGTGAGGCCGAGAAGCAACTACGGCATGAGAAACATTACCATTACATTAGCACTCACGATGTTGGTTATTGGGCAAGGAGCTTTATGCAGGATCTTGAGAGAGCGTGCCGGGATCATTACAGTAAACGTTGTTGGGGGATTGGATTCGGGTTAGGGTTCAGAGTTTTGTCGCTCTCTCCGAGTTTTAGGAAGCTGTCCGTGGAACACATCGTCCCGGTCTATAGAAAAACAGAGAAGAGAGCTATATTTCTTGATTACGATGGCACTCTTGTCCCTGAAAGCTCCATTATCCAAGATCCAAGCGCAGAGGTTCTCTCTGTTTTGAAGACTCTATGTGAACATCCTAGAAACACTGTGTTTATTGTTAGTGGAAGAGGAAAAGAGTCTCTGAGCAATTGGCTATCTCCTTGTGAGAATCTTGGAATCGCTGCTGAACACGGATACTTCATTAGGTAATGTATAAATACACAGAGTCTTGTCTTACGTTTCCATGGAAGGTTCTGTATAAACTAAAAAAGCTGTTTGTGGGGTTTTTAGGTGGAACAGCAAGAGTGAGTGGGAGAGTTGTTACTCGTCCACGGATACAGAGTGGAAGACAATGGTGGAACCGGTAATGAGATCATACATGGAAGCAACGGATGGTTCAAGCATAGAGTTCAAAGAGAGTGCGTTGGTGTGGCATCATCAAGACGCAGATCCAGATTTTGGATCGTGTCAAGCTAAAGAGCTGCTTGATCATCTAGAGAGCGTGCTCGCGAATGAGCCTGTCGTTGTCAAGAGAGGTCAACACATTGTTGAAGTGAAATCACAGGTAAGTAAAACAAACAAACAAACAAACAAACAAACCATCTTTTTTTTTCACTTTTCTGCAAAGCTTGAGAGTTTGTTTTTGTTCAGGGTGTGAGCAAAGGTTTAGCTGCGGAAAAGGTTATCAGAGGGATGGTGGAACGTGGTGAGGCACCGGAGATGGTGATGTGCATAGGAGACGATAGATCAGACGAAGACATGTTTGAGAGCATATTGAGTACAGTGAAGAATCCGGAGCTTCTGATTCAACCAGAGGTTTTCGCTTGCACGGTGGGAAGAAAACCTAGCAAGGCTAAGTACTTCTTGGACGATGTAACAGACGTGCTTAAGCTACTAAAAGGTTTAGGGGATTCATCAAGCTTAAAAACCACATCTCAATCTCACACACAAGTCGCATTTGAAAGCATCGTTTAAAGATAGCCAAAGATAACTTAACACCAAAATGTAAAAAGAAAAAATGAAGAATTGGTATTTTTAAGTGGCTTTTAGGAGAATTAAGAGTTTCTTCTTGCCTCTTTTAACTTTTGTTTTTTGGGGGTAATTTTTTTTTTTTGCAGTTTCTCCTTAATTCTCTGTATAGAAAGAAACTATTGTTTGTGCTTCTTTAAAAAAAAATTAAATTCAATTGTGGGCTCACTCACTTCAAGTTGTAGTCGTTGAGGTGACCGTCACGTGCATGAGAGCCAGCTAGAAAGAGTAATTTTTATAATATGATCTTGGACGGTCGTCATGGCTCACACGATTTTAATCTATCTCACGGCCTTTCGTTTTCTTTTCATTTTTGGCCAACTCAATGGATAAATAAGGTTTAGTCCACATTCAGCTCAACTTGCTAATTTCCAGCCCATGAGGTTCAAGCCTCACCAAACTATCAACTCTCTCTAATTCCCAAAATGATATTGTTAGAATTTATTTTTTTATATAATTAGAAGGCAAAAAGAAAAAACTAGACAAAACTACAAATGATTTTTCGGTTAGCTAATCATTTTCTTTGCGTTATTTCACTCTAAGAAAATAATAGTTAAAGAATTACGATAAATTTATATTATGATATTTCCTATAACAAAACAAAAGTGTCTCTTGCTCATTCTTCTTTTCTCTAGTTAAAGTGAATTTTCTCAATAAAGATTAAAAGGGGACCATTTTTCACCTTCTTTTCCCATTGCTCTTTATTTTGCTTTTACATTTTTTTCTTCCATTAGCAAATTTTTTTAAAAATATTATCTTTTTGTTTCTTTCTTGTCGTTCACTTTATGCTGGTTCCAACCAACTCTTTGTAGAATAAACATCCAAAGTTGTGATAACCTTATACATCCATTATATAAGTAAATGAATGTCGTCTCGACTAACCAAATACACTGTTTCACTAGATAAAAACCCCATTATATTTATATCCTTTCTCTGGATAAACCATTTTTTGATGCGTTTATGAAGTGGTAAGAGTTTTTCTTCGGATTGTAAAATTGATGGTTTCATCTTGACTAACAAAAAAAAATCAGATTCGTTTCGTTGTTGTTGTTTGGCAACATCATATATCGACAACAAAGAATAAAAAAGTATTATTTGTAGGTATCGTTTATTATTGTTGTTTATTACGCAAGCAAAACAAACAAAACCATAACAATGTTTCGAATTGGAAAGAATCTTCTTATCTAATAGATAAGACTAAACGCATACAGAACTATGTGAACTGAGAAATGTGTAAATAAAATAGTGAAAAACAAAATAAATAGTGAATTTACAAATGAGTAAAGATAAGAAAGGCAGCGCGAAACAAGGATCATGGACCATGGTGCGAGAATATATGCATTGTTTGACTCTAGTCGTAACTCGTACCATGTATTATTACTACTTTACCCTCTCTTATTCTCATTAATTAATCGTTAATTAAATATACTAACAAAGTCGAGTTAATAGAAAAACAGTTACCTTGTGCCAAAAAAAGAAAACAAAAGAGACAGTTACCCTCGTACACGTGGCAAAGTTCAATAATAACGATATATAACTTGACACGCTGTTCTAGGCTATTGGATACTTTCGTTAACCGAGTTAGTGGCTACTGGCGATTTTTTTTTTTTTGTCATCGGTTAATATTAAACGTCAAGATAAAATATAAAATAAAATACAAAGTTGAAATACAAAACCGACGGAATAAAGAGATGTCTCCGGAATCTAAATCGGTGGAACAAAGAGATATTTCTGAAAATTAAGCCGGCGGAACAAAGAGACGTCTCCGAAAACTAAGCCGGTGAAAAAATATAATACCCATGAAAACTAAACCAGCAAAAAACAAAATTTCCCCAAAAACAAACCCCACTAAAAAAATACATTAAACTTAAAGTTACTGGCGATTTAAGGAAACCAATTTAAAAGGAATACATTAAAAAAATTAAATTAGTATTTTTTTACCGTCATATTTCATATTCTAGTAGATATATATATTGCACACAAAATATTTATGTCCACACCACTCTTTTGTGGTTAGTGTGATTGGTAAAATTGAACATAATTAGTATATTATCAAGTCACTAAAAAAATTGTTGTTAACATTTAAACAAACACACTACCAAATCATCAATTTCTTTACAACAAAAGGAAACTTAGAATTTCTATACATTATTTGATCGAAGATTATAGAAAGATCGTAACATAAAGAGAATATGTGACTTAATGTTGTTAAAATATATCTAACATAAAAGATGAATAAAAGCTTCAAACCAAAATCTCCTTTCTTGCTAAAAGAATATAATCTTTTCCAAAAAAAAAAAACAAATACACGATTAAAAAAACATTTGTGTACTTTTTTTAGTTTAAATGTTAAATTGCATATTTGTACTTACTCTTTGATTGTAGAATATATTCCATAACATAAACTGGAAAAGCTGATCTTACGCATATGTAACAAACCAAGTTAATTTAATCACCAGAATATAGTTGGGAATTTATTCGTCTAAACTGAAAAAGTTTCGTTTTAACAATTCAATAAAACTAAATTATTCACCAACCCATTAAAAATCTTCATTGAATTCAATTTAATTTTACAAAAACAAAAAGTAACGACGTTGATCGCATCACATGACCACTCTTTTTCTTCTCTCTCTCGTCTCTATACCTTTCCCCTTCCTTTCTTTCTCACTGACTGTCTTCACTCTTTTTTACATATGAACAAACTCTGCAAATCTAAGCTCTCTGTTTCCTCTTTTGTACTCTCTCTCTCTCTCTCTATTCGATCGAGAAACCTGAACAACAGTCTATTCCCCCACTCTCCTTATTTTTTAATCTTCGCATTGTCCGCCATTCTTCTTCTACCTATCGCTTTTCCCCAGAAGATTCTGTGTATGAACACTTAGGGTTTTTTAAATTTTCCCTCTGCCGCTTCGTCTTTCTCCAGTTTACTACTTTGACTCTCTTGAATCGAATCAAATGGGTAGAGATTTTCTAGTTCTGGGTATTCTCATTCTCCTCCTTTCTGGGCTTGTAGCTTCAGCTCCATCAGCTAATTCTCCTGCGAGTAAGTATGCGCATTTTCTCAACCCTCTCTTCTCCTTCGATTTGGGTTTCGTTTTATTTTGCTCAATTTCACGTTTTTCTGCAGAGATTGTTAGTGGGTTTATCTCAAATCACGGCTCTTCCCTCATGAAATGGCTATGGTCACTCAAAACCACCACCAAAACAAGTTCGCGTTTTTCTCCCCCTTTCTCCTCAATTTCCCTCCGATCATCTGTTGGTTTTTTTCCAGATTTGGTTTGTTAACAGTTTGTATATTGAAAATCCGCAGCAATTGCAACGAGATCGATGGTGAAATTCGAGAATGGGTATACAGTAGAGACGGTGTTCGACGGAAGCAAACTTGGTATCGAACCGTATTCGATCGAGGTTCTGCCTAACGGCGAGCTTCTTATTCTTGATTCTGAGAACAGTAACATCTACAAGATTTCATCCTCTCTTTCGCTATGTAAGTTTCAGATTCTCCTGAGTTTTTTTTAATGGTTTTCTCTCTCTCAGTCATACCGATCTACATATTGTTCAATGGATGTTTAAGAATCTCTGTGATTTTGATACGATTGACCTTAAAACTGAATGCACATGGACTGTGATAGTACAAGATTGCTACATATGGAAATGTTGGAATTTTTTGGTACTTTAATTGATAATTCCGTCTGAGCTATACTTACTATTATATGGAGATTTGCTGTATCTTTGTCGTATCTTGAGTGAGTATGTCAGGGATGAGTATAATTTATAGTACTTTTTTTCCCCTTTGTTTGCTGAATCTGAGACTTTGTCAAAGATGAGATCTAAACAAAACTGTTTGAACGAGTTTCTCAAGAATAGAAACAAAGCTTTATAACCTTTTCTGCTGCATTTCAAGAATCCAACAACTTTTCTGAAATATTTGTTTTGAGATGTCTGTGTTTTATTTACATGGGAGGAACTATTTGGTAACATTTTGCAGATAGCAGGCCGAGACTGGTTACTGGCTCCCCTGAAGGGCATGCAGGTCACGTGGATGGGAGATTACGTGATGCGAAGCTGAACCATCCTAAGGGGCTTACGGTTGATGACAGAGGAAACATCTATGTGGCTGACACAGTGAATAATGCTATCAGGAAGATTAGTGAAGGAGGTTAATAGCTTTTGTTTATCTTTGAGGTTGGATCATAAGTGCACTCATCATTGTATCTCTGTACTGAGTTTTGAAAAGCCTACATTTGTTAGGAGTTACAACAATTGCTGGAGGCAAAACGGTTCGCAATGGAGGGCATGTGGATGGACCAAGCGAAGATGCAAAGCTTTCAAATGACTTTGATGTTGTTTATGTTGGAAGCAGTTGTTCTCTGCTCGTTATTGACCGAGGAAACAGAGCCATCAGAGAGATTCAGCTCCATTTCGACGACTGTGCTTATCAGTATGGAAGCGGGTTTCCTCTTGGTAAAAGCTTACTTGATCATCTTCTCTTTCTTGATACATTCTTGAAATCTCTGTCTCTGAGTTACAATGTATTTGCAGGGGTTGCGGTTCTCGTAGCTGCAGGTTTCTTTGGTTACATGCTGGCTCTGTTGCAACGAAGAGTCGGTTCTATCGTTTCTTCTCATAACGTGAGTGTCTATTAAAATTCTTGATCCAACACATCTCAACTATATGTTACCTGTCTAAAACCCTATTCAAAACATTTCTTACACAGGATCAAGAAATGTTCGAAGCGGATCCTGATCAAAAGCCTATGAAACCATCAAGACCGTCTCTGATTCCAACTGGAGACGAGCAGCAAGAGAAACAAGACGAAAGCTTCCTGGTTTCGCTGGGGAACCTCGCTTCAAACGCTTGGGTTTCCGTTATGGAGATCCTGAAGAAAAAGCAGACAGACACAAGCTTTCAGCAGCAGTACCATGGAACGACGAAGCAGTCTTCTGCGTATAGCACAGCAGCTCCATGGCCGATTCAAGAGAGCTTTGTGATTCGAGACGAAGACGAGCCTCCTCCTGTTGAGCCCAGGAACCCAACTCCAAGAAAGACTTATGCTTTTATGTCCAAAGACGCTGAGAAAATGCAGCAGCTGCGTCAGAGCCGTGCATTCTACAGTAGCTGGGACGCTGAATTCCCAAACCAGCAGCAACAACAACAACAGCAACAGCAAAAGCATCAGCAGAAGCAGCAGCATCGAAGGCATTACTCGTCGATCCCGCATACTTACTATGAGCAGAACAGTGAGAAGACTAATGAGATAGTTTTTGGAGCGGTCCAAGAACAGAGCAGCAAGCGCGTGGCGGCTAAGCCTATGGCGTCTGAAGATCAGGTGAATAATAATAATAATACTCAGCAGAATCTTCACTACAGAGCTCATTCTGTTAGTTACCCATATGGATACTATCCATATTCATGAAAAGGTCGCTTCTAGGATTGTTTGTCAGCCTTCCTTAATTTTGGGTATAGGTGGGGTTTTGAGATTTATTACCAGGAGTACTTAGATGCTCTTGTCTTGTAAGGAAAGTTGCAAACTTTGATTGTATTGAGTAATATATATAAGAAAAAGATGTGTTCTTTGTGAAAAAGCGTTTCTGTCTTTTTTGGACTTTGTCTACAACATTGTTGACAAGCATAACTTGAGATTTTCACATTTACAAGATACACAATTACACACTATAAGAAACAAAGGGTTTTGAAGACTCTCTCTCCTTCAGAAGGTTTCGATTGAGATGGATCGAGAGAGAAAGGGCCAAATCTTGTAGTGAGAGAAGCTGCGTCTCTGAACACAGTTTTAGTGGATTTGCTGAGTAAACTTCTTGCATTAGATTCCGGACTAAATTTTTGGTGTTTTTACATTTTCTTGCTCAGATGCCCAAAGGACAAAGGATGATCCCCTTGTGTAATTGTAACTTAGTATTGGTGTCAAGTGGTACGATTCTTAAATAATTGTAACATTAGTATGATTTACTGAAAATTAACTAATTCAGTACAAATGAGTTTGATTCATAAAGTGATACAAAATTTTGGTGTTTTTACATCTTGCTGAAATGCCCAAAGAACTAAGGAGGATCCCCTTCTGAATCTAACTAACTATTTGTGTCAAGTGATACGATTCCTAATAAATTGTAACATTAGTATTGTTAACTGAAAATTATACAAAATAGAGTTGATTAATCAAATAATTTGATCGTATTAAATTGAAACATTGTAAGTTATTAAAAAGGGCGAATGTTTTTCTTTTCTCCTGGAATCTGATCACTTAACTGTGTGTATTTATATATCTTAAAACTTTGTAACAAAAATTTAGCCATTAATAGGATACGAAGGCCTTAAGATGTTCACAATTAATATTGTAGAATTTCAAATATAGTCAAATTTCTTACATATTGTCGGATAAACATATATAAATATAGACAAACTATATAAAAAAGGTAAATTACGACATAAAGCAAACTCGAAATATACGGAAAATTAAACTTATATATTGTACGGAAGAGAAGAATCAGAATTATAGTACTGATGATACATCTTCAAAGAGAATACATATCGGAGAGTGCTTGAAGGAACCTAAGCTTCAACTTCAAGTGCACAATGTAATCGACGGTCTTTGATAAAAGCAGATCCGGGTGGTTACATCTATGCCCGCCCGGTATCAGTACTTGGAGCTTCCTTACCTTCATTTGCAGCAACCCGGATCCTGATCCATGACCCGTTTTGTTCTTCTTTTTCTTCTTATCCATCATCGTTTGCTTCACCATCCTCTTGTATCTCTTTGACTCCTCCATTGCCTTCTTGTTTATTGAATGACAACACTTTAGAGTTGTGATGCAAACGAACGTGCGGGTGGTCCAATATTTATAAAGAGTCTCTGCTTCTAAACCAATCAGAGGCTTCCAATTTTTTTTTATGTCATTTAATTTTCGTGCAATAATAGATTTTGTTGTTTTTTTAAAATGCTCGCGGGTTACCTTACGTCCACACGCTCGACTCAATCTGTTTGTCCTTTTTATTTCAGAAACCATTATCCAATTGTAACGTTGGCCGCTAAATTTTTATTTGATATTGCATGATTTCAATTATGGATTCCCAAAACATATGTAACCACGTTCAGGATTTCACGAATTTTTTTTTTTGTTTTGTAATTGAACAACTGTCCAATCTTGTTACTCTTGATTATATCAAGATTGCCCATGTTTCTTTGTACTATCAAGATTACAATTAGTAAGCTCCGATCCTTACATTATAAAATAATACAAAAGTTTTGAGAAAACGGCCAGAATAGTATATTTGCAGTACCAATTAATCAGATTTTTCAAATAAACATGGATTTAACAAGTGGTTCATGCTCTACACTGTACGTATATTTTTGTTGCTCTTTAGACTTTGTACTATTTCATATATAGCTTATCAAAATTAACACGGCTTGGTGATTAAATCACCACTATACATCACATTTTGATAAAATGACACGAAGAGTACTCCTCACTCTATAATCTTAGACCAAAGTCTATTGGGGTCTTTTAATAGAGTTTCTAGTTATAAAAAAATAATAAAAAAGAAATAAAGAGGAAAAAGAGAAGATACATCTCTTCTTTAGTGATTTTAAGATACGTATGTAGATATATGTAAACTAATTATTGGTGGGCTTCTTTTTTTATTTGAAATTTAATTAAATAAATAAATTATAGTATTTTTATATACCTTAGATACTTAACCTCATCTCTCCACTGATGGAGATGTCCTTACAATATGTGTCCCAAAAACATTTTTTTTATCACAAGTTTTTAGGGGTTTTAAGGTTCTCGACTTTTATTTTAATCACATTCTCTATAATTTGTTAAACTACTGCAAAAAAAGATTGACAAATAAAAAAGCTACTGAAAAGCGAATTAAGATTTGAGACAAAAGAAATGATTTTAGTAAATTGATAATAAGGTAGTTAGTGCAAATGTGTGTGTGTTCCTAGGAGTTTGGGGATGTTGTTAAATGGTTTTTGGGCCGACACTATGCAATGTTCGTAAGTGCCAACTGGACAACTATGCACGTGTTTCGACAGCTTAGCTATTGCAAGCTCTCGTTTGTAGCCATCGATACACGACATTGACGTGATCTCTCCTTTCTCTTTGTCTCTTCTCTCATAAATGTGTATGCATTAGTCCACATTATACGATTGCGTTATCATATAGCTGATATATATATATATTGGGACTACATGGTTACAAAAGTCTTTAATTATCTATGCATGTTACTACTAAAATACAAAAAGCGAAAATGCTTAGATGTAATTGACCACAAATTTGTTAAAAACTAAAAGCATAACATCGACTACAAGATAGTTAATCCTAAACTTTCCTAATTAAGAATTCAGTCTTGGCACTTTCGATCATACTACTGTAAGAAGACAAGAGACACAGTCACGAAATGGACCACTCTACGATTCACATCACATGCATTTGTATGTGATAACGATCAATGATGAGTTCAAGTAGGCTTTAGCTTCGAGCTTAGGGCTTTTGACAGCCTGACCAGATGGCTGTGTGTGAGTGACCAGTGACCCTATGGGGTTGCTACTTAATTACCCTTCAGCAAATCGACGTGGCTGACGTGCCACGTGGGTCCCATTCTTACCATCATTTCTCACCGTCCGATCATTGCCCATACGTATCCTTTCATGCTTCCATCTACTTCAGCTTTGCATGATTTTTTTAAGATATACATTTTTAGTTTTTGCACAATATATTTATCGTAATTGAAATTATCATAGATTGTTCATGGAAGTGGAGAGGCACCGCATGCTCCGGAAACAGGTCCCTACTATTGTATGCTTCCCTCTTTTGGGGGGTTTTTGGGTTAATTTGGCGGGATCCCGGAACAATTATTGGATATATATTTTCACCTTTTTATTAAACGATTAGGTATATTCACTACATTTTTATATTATTATTTTTTTTTTCAAAAAAAAAGTTGAAGTTGTAATCTGAAGTACGAGTAGCATGGATGCACAAGATACATGCAAACAACAAACGTAAGAAACTCAGGTTTCGACACGTACCTCTGCGTATATGTGGCGCATTTTCTAATAAATAACAACAGGCTTTTAGATGAAAATAATCGCAAAGCACATGATGTGTTTATTCCGTGAATATCAAAGTCTATGATCGCAACGATTCTTTCATCTATAAAATTAAATGAACTGCATGATATATTAGAATATTCTAATTCATGAAACTGATGCTTATTTTTGCCAGCTTCACTTCTCATTTAGCCCATACGGATATATCTACCAGCACAATTATTGTATAACCTTCATTTGGTTTAAGAGTCGCGACTAGACTATATTAATGCAGAGATCATGATACTCATGTGTTGGTTGCAAACGTTGAAATTGTTGGTTACATCAACCAAAATTAACCCAATATATTCATATATGCATCCAATCCATGCTCTCATGTGTTTCGGCCAGCTCACTAAGTCTCCGCTATTTTTATCCACTACATATTATTTGAAAAGTAACATTATTGAAAATAGTTTACTTGTCAACACTACAGCCAAAGTTAATGCTTTTAATTGATGACATGTAAATGTGATATGTCTTCCTAAAATAAACGAAATGTTTTGATTGATTGAATTAAAATTATAGTTATGAAATTAAAACATAAATAAATTAGATTATATTTGTAACACTAAAATTAACAAATTTAAATTAACAGAAAATAAAAGTTATTATAATTATAATTTTTTACATATATTCATAATTTCATAAAATATAATTATGAATTTTTTTAACAATATATATATATATTATAATTTCACATAAAAAAAAATAATACTAAATAATCTAATAGAATAGTAAAAATTATATTTATTAATAATACTTGAAGTATGATATATTTTTATATCGGAAAGTTATTAATTTACAAAATATATTAATAACATCTAAACAAGTTCTAAATAAAAAAATTATTAAATAATACAATTTTATATAAAATACAATCATGATAAAAATAATTTAAAGAATAAAATGTTAAAATAATAAAATAATTAACTTTATTCAAAATGGTTTTAAAAAAAACATAATTTTGAATAATTTTATTTTCAAACCGATATTTACTAATTGAATAAAGTATATACTAATTATTATTTTATAATATTAATAGGACCATATATTTTTCTATAACTTTTTTCATCTTTTTATTGTTGTTTTCTAAAATATACATAACTTATGTTACCATCTCATCTTATCTCTTATCATATTTTAAATAAAAATAATGGCATATGCATATATATATATATATATATAAAAATTTATTTTCATTGTATATGAAAAATTTGAGATAGTAAATGAAATAAAAAATAACCAAACGAAAAAATAAATTATAATAAGATGAAACAATATGAATCATAAATAAAAAATAAAAGTATATAAAAATAAATCTCTCGCATTTTGTTTTACAAAGTCACTTAAAAACTTTTTAAGACGTAAGAGCCATATTTTATTTTTTTACAAATACGCGTACATACATATATATTAATTATACATTAGTTGAAGTCACATGCGAACTTTTCCGTGCATGTATTTTGTTAAGATTGATTACAGTCTAATTTTTATTTTAATTAATATACAATTTATATTTTTAAAATTTTTTTATCTATTCAAAGTGTAGTGAAGTGGTTGGTATACTCGCACATGCGTGCCGATTATATATCTGCTCTTAGGAATAAGTAAAAATGGTAAAAACTATTTCAGTTTAATTTGCAATAAATCAAGAAAAATATATACTTAAATATATTATATGTATTTGCAAATTCATATTATGTAAGACGCAAAAAAGCATATCGTAGATTGTGTAAGAAGAAATAAAGCATATTATAAAAATATTTAAAAAAATATTATAAGAATTTTTATTTATTATTTAACATAACTTTTATATTTGTGACTATATATTATTACAAGCATTATAAATATAAAAAAATTTAAAATACATTGATTTCAGAAAGAAGTTTGTGAAATATTAAAACAATATATATACAAACATACCAATATTTTAAAAAACTAATCAAAATTTAAATATTACAATTAATTATATATATCAAAAAAATTATACCCGCACATATGTACGGGCCAACCACCTAGTTTATTCTTATAAATCTACAACTTTTCTTAATACATTCAAAAACATTTGTTTGTTAATTGTATTTTGTAATACGCCCACGCAAACAAAAATATATTTTTCATTTATATTTGGTTTTTGCATTTTTTTTATAGCAATTGATATATATGAATTGACAATGTTCTTCAATTTTTGCAATTTTTAGTCCTGCTTTTTTTTGGATTTTTGCTTTTGTAATGTAAACGTATAGAAAATTGAATTTGAAACGATTGCAGTCACCTTCTAACTTAGGCCGAAAACTGGACATTTGGCCCAACGGATTATCTTATTTTCAAGTCTTGAAGAGATCCTAATATCTGAGAAAGTATTGGGCCTAAGTACACAGCCCAGCAGAAGCAAGCAGGATAAAATGTGGACTAAAAAGCAAATAAAGTAGATTAAGAAAAAACATTTTTCTTTACTAGATTCATATCAATATTTGATTTGATTGTTATCGCTAACTTGTATTTGAAGCTTAATTGAAACCTAACTAAATTTTGCTCATAATTTGGTCCTAAAACCACAATGAAGAGCCGCATTGAAAGTTATATTTTAAAGAAAATTCAGCTTTATTTTTTCTTAATTTTTGAATCAAAAATATATTTAATACAATAGTCAATAGAAGAACATGTTTATACTGTTGATAAATTAATTGTTTTCGTTCTTAGCGTGGCCGAACAAATTGTACGATTTTTAATCGAAAGAAACAAATTATATAAAATGATTTCATCATTTAAGATGTATGGTCACTCAATTTGACCCAATGGTGAGAGCTATGAACCCATTTGAAATCTAATTCATATTTAAGATTTACTTATTAATAGGAAATACTTACAGCATCTACCACAGCATTCGATGAAATTGTCAAATATGTATGTTTGTGTATTCCCAAGTTGTATGTTTTTTTTTCTTCTTCTAATAACTTAAGATTTGTGTAGTCTGTCTACGAATTTATGTAATTTAGGGAAAAAAAAATTATTGTTGTCTCATTACAAACATCATCAGAAACTCACCGGCCTAGCGTCAGACCTAAATATTTAGGAATTAGGGAAGAAATTAATAAACGTAGAGCCATCATCATAACCTAACATTTTTGATGGATGAATCTGAAATCCACTAACCATTACAGTATCAAATACTTGGACTCTAATGGAGGGTTGACAGGAAATGACACCTTTCTTCAATTCTTTTTAGAAAAATATCAAGTCATCAATTTTATCATTATTCAAATTGGACCCCAGCATATTTATATTTTCCTTATGTGGGTCCTTAATCAACCGCAGCCAAGAGTAGACAAATAGCATGGCCCACTGTTTAAATTAATCTGCTGATTGTAATTACAAGATTTTACGTTGCTCATGTCAGCCAAATGCTTTGTCGTTTCCTTTTGGTTTTTTGCGCTTAAAATATTACTTCACGTTGAATGATCGTTTGAAATACAATCCTGTGCTTGAAAGTCTAATTTTAAATTGGTCAGTGGAAGGTAAGGTAGTATCCATGATTCGTTCACGTTTAGGAACTTAGTTAGAATGATCTTTGTGGTCCAATGAAATGTTACTAATCCAGTGACATGTTTGGAATAGATCGTGTTTAAGGATGTAAATATCATTAACTACGAACCAAACTACCACGAATATATGTGAATACATATTTATATTGATTACTAGTTATGGCGTTTAATTAATATTGATATATTATGTTTACACTATGTCAGTTTGTTATGAATATTTTCAAATGTTTATGTTAGCATATGTGCGAATTTAAGAACCCATTTGAAATCTAACAACTTAAGATGGTTAAAGTAGTCAATCATCATAATCAAAATCGTGATAGCAAAACCATTAATTAATTAACCCCTAGCTCTAGAATGGATCACTCAACCGCTAAACTGTACCATTAGTTAGTTTAAATATATCATTCGTTCTTCAAAATATATATGATTTATGTCAATATATTGTGGAAAACAATGAATCGGTCAATATGCCCTAATTATGTAGGAGAGGATGCTTATGTTATGAAATTAACCGATCTAGGTCATAGAGATATATATGCTCCTAATGTCCAAACTCAGAAAACAAATAACGATCGGTCTCTGTTTAATTGTTGATTAGTTAGCGTATGATAATAATTAAGTCTGGCGGTATATAAGGAGAACCCACGTACGTTCCAAATTAATCATATCATGCTCTCTTAATACGTTATAAGACGAAACGCGACGTAACTACAATATTTCTATAAAAAAAAAATTGATCTTAAGATAGCATCACACTATTTGGATTTATGTTTAAACACATGCCGATAAATGAAAAATAAAAAAGAATATGACGTAAGCCTTTCACCTTTAGTGCAATGGTGGAGTCACTCGTGTAGCTTCATCACGCATGTAAAGTAGCTTCACCTCTTCGTGAAAGGTTATATCTGAAAAATAGATAATGTCATAATAATGATAGATAATAAAAAAAAAGAAATGTACGACAATTCCTCTTCTATATAATGATTAGAGAAATTAAACCAATAATTTCGTATCTTCTCCAATAGCATTGAAGATCTCTTCACCTCTCTTTCTCTCTCCCCTTCTCTCTCTAAATCTATATCTATTTCCCGAGATCCTTGGAGCTTTGAAACGTCGTGCCGTTTTTTATTTGAAAGTCTAGAGGGCGAGAGATGGAGGCGAAAGTTAGAAGGGAGGAGTTTGTGCCGTTTTTGGCAATGGTGATAATGGAGGCATGCACGATTGCTCTAACAATAATGGCTAAAACGGCTTTATCGGGAGGAATGAGTCCGTTTGTGTTCGTTGTTTACACAAACGCTTTTGGATCTATTCTTCTTCTTCCTTTTTCGTTCTTCTTTCACAGAAATGAGAGGTAAGTCTACGTTGCAGACTTTCTATTATAGCATTATTTTTCCTCACCAATCAACCTTGATTATGTTCTGATATATGGTTAATGATACACTTGCAGAACCGAAGAATCTATCTTTTCTTTGCCACTTCTCGTTCGTGTCTTCTTCCTAGGTTTCACCGGGTGGGTACATCATATCTCTCCCTTTATTATTTAATGTGTTTGCTTATGAATCTATAATTTAAATCTTGGAACTCAGACTAGCTAGAGTTTTTTCCAATATTGTCTTTTATACAATAGCAATAATATGAGGTCCTAGAACCAAAAAATTAATATGCGGTCCATGTTGCGAAACCCTCTATACCATTACATGCACCAACCACTGAATGGTTTGATGAATATTTAATGACATATATTGCCAGGTCATCTATCGAAAATAGACAAAGCTGCATGCCGTTTACTCGGTTACAATATAAACAACTATGCCTAAGAATTTAGTATTTTTTCAACATCGTGACGTTTCTATGTGAGCATACATCGCACACAATGTTTTCTTTGTGATATTAATATAAAAATAAAATAAAAAATTTGCATGACGTAGTGTCTAAATATTTTGCCCTTTTGCTAGTACGTGTACTTGCATTGCATGCATTTTTAAGGTACTTTAAATGGTATCCATGCATACATATGCACTGATTATATTTAAACATGTTAAACATGTGAAGGATATTCCTTTTCCAAAACTTGGCATTTGTGGGACTAAGCTTCAGCTCACCCATAGTGGTATGTGCAATGGGATTACTCATTCCTTCATTCTCCTTCTTGCTCTCTCTTATTCTCGGGTAAGCTATATATCTACCATCACCATCAATTTATATGTAAGCATTTTCAAATATGTAATTGCTATCTATGCATATATATGTAGAAGGAGCAAGTTGGATTGGAGAAACACGAGTTCAAAGGCTAAAGTGATGGGTACAATAATCTCAATAAGCGGAGCATTTGTTGAAGAATTGTATAAAGGTCCCTTCATAAGACCAGCTTCATCTTCTTCCCCAACTCGTCTTCTTAAATCAATCCCTAAACTCTTGGTCTACTACAACATCCCTGACAATTGGTTCCTCGGCTGTATCTTTTTGGCCGCTGCTGTTTTTTGTGTATCCCTCTTCAATGTTATTCAGGTATTCGAATTTTATTACAAACCATCCAGTTCTGAAACCATCGTTATGCATGTTATTTAACTTTGAGATTCATATGTTTATGGCTTTGGCAGACGGGGACGGTCAAAAAGTATCCACATGTGATGAAAGTGGCGTCGTTTTACAGCATAGTCGGGACGATTCAATGTTTGATGTTCTCTTTGTATATGGAAAGAGACCTAAGTGCATGGAAGATCCAACCAAACTTCGATCTTTTCCTCGTTATAGCCACGGTAATTATATATGTTTACTTTTAAGATAGTGATACTAGTACAAATCATTATGCTATATACAGTGTGTCTCTAACATCAGTGACCATCATGATTTTGTGATAAAACCAGGGAATATTTGGAAATGTGATACGAACAAGTGTACACGTGAAGTGCACCCAAATGAAAGGACCATACTACGTGCCATTATTCAAACCCTTTGGTATCTTTTGGGCAACGCTCTTTGGCACCAGCTTCTTCGTTAACAGTCTTCACTACGGCAGGTCCGTTAACAGATTCATTAATATCGTAATTATCAATTATCGTATGATTACCATGCATGAGTATGGAGTATTTATTTGGTGGATATGGGTGCAGTGTGTTAGGAGCAGCGATAGGTGGGGTTGGATATTACACTGTGTCTTGGGGACAACTGAAGGAAACCGAAGAAAAACAAAACCTAAAGGAAGAAAGAAAACCCATCAAAACTATTCATCATCACGAACAAGATGAATACAAAGTTCCATTGCTTATTAATCAAGAAGAAAGTCCTGTGTAAATTTTGAATTATGAATTTTTTGTTTAGAAGAAAATGAGGGTCGCTTAAATATTATTTTTTTGGCCCCTTTCTTTCTATGGCGTGTATAAGAAGAAATGCGTGTGAGAGTATGTTTAGTGGTCAAGTGTCAAAGGGAAATTGCTGAAGTAGGCTTTTTGGTCCGAAAAGCAAACCCACTCAATGTATATATGTACATGTCATTGCATATCTAGCTAGAGCTCTCTATTATGTTTTTGTGTATGGAATAATCTCCGAAACATGGATCGACTATTGTATTCCCGGTATTAAAAATGTATTTACATCGTTGAAGTTTGTTTAATGCGAGAATTCGAATGAACATTTTATGCTGTTGACACTGAGATTTATTTGGATTTTGGTTTGAGATACCCTTATCTCAAATTTTTTTGGCTACGTTTGGGATTTCATTTTGTACTATGGAGTAAACACATTTGCGGAAAAATGCCGTTGGCAAATGAAGGTTTCAGTGGATGAAGTTTTCACTTCATTCTTTTAATTGACTGGGCTTAATACTTAAATAATCAAATAAACAAAATTATAAGGCTCGTTTACTGCAGGATGGTTTAGGGCTCGTTCTTGATCGTTTGTCCATTGCTGGAGGAGCTTTGGTCTTTCTTTCAGGTTTCTATCTAGGCATTTACCTGTTCTTAGACTTCTCTGTCCTTTGACATTGCCATTTCCGGGAGTTTTGTAATTCTTGTTTGCCGGTCTTTGGTATGTTCTGTTTCTGTTATTGACGTAGGAGGAGGTTTGGTTTCGATGGTTGGCTTTATGTTTCTTCAATACTATCGAGCTTAGGGTTCCAAAAGTTTGATTTATCTTGCAAGTTTGAGGTTATATTGGTTTTTGTTAACTGCTAAATTCTTCTCTGTTTTAGTTTTGGATTGGTAGAGTTTATTTTCGTTTTTTACCTTAGAATCTCAAAAATGTTTCTTTTGAATGCATTCCATGTTTCTAATAAAATGTTCAGATAACATAAAAAAAAAAAAAAAAAAAAAAATTATAGCAACCGAAACGAACTAATTATCAAGCATTTTTTGGGTGTCAATATCAATATCACTTGGCACTAAAAATTTAAACCTCGTTTTCTCTATTATGGGTTTAGCTTGATATAGATGAGTTCTGGATTTGACACATATGGGCCTAATACAAAGCTGTAGTAAAGCCCATACGAGGGTGTGATAATGCTATTGCAGCCAGGCAACTGTGGGATTGAAGAAAACAGTCTTCCTGGCTTGTATCTGGTGGGATTGATGGTTATGTTGCTAGTATACATTGTTCTTGTATGGTTTTGATTTTGGTTAAAGTCCGTTTTTAATCAGCTATATCATAATTTATTTTAAAATCAGACTGAACTTTTTTATTTTTTGGTTCAGTTTATATATTTTTTTCATTTTTTTCTTAAATCTAGTGAAATTTAAATAATGTTATAATTCAGATTTGGTATTTTTATGTCATGTTGGATCATATTTACTCGCAGTCTATCCGAATTGAATACAAATATCATGGACGAATCCAAAGCTTTTTATGACAAGAGCATCACTTGGAAACTATTCTTATTTCTAACAAATTCATAAGTTTAGTGATAATAACCCGACGTAGTAACGTTATCATGGAAATACATAAAATTTCCTCCAAACATGGCAAGGAGAAAAGATACTCACCTACCTAAAAGACTAAAAGTAAAAGAGCTACTCAAGTTTCATGGCAAAGTTGGCAAACTCTTCACATGTGGATCAATAACATAGCAAAGAGATAAACAGCTGTCAAATTGTTAAAAGCATTTACTCTCAGGAACAAAGAGTTGTTTTTCTTTTTTTTTTGTCTATTATTGTATTCGGTAAATGAAGATTCTCTTCTTTACAAGAAAGAGAAATGGCATATGTGGGAAATAAAAGACAAAAAACATATCTCTGGGTCTTTTATGCTCTCTGCGGAAATACAAAACCCGAAAAAAACAACTGCATAATTGCATTGAGAACTTCACATATCTTCTGTAATTTACAGTGCCCATCCCTTTCTTGCCAGTTGCCACCTAATACCACAAAGTCCTCTTGTGAACCACATTACAACTATACATTACACCAATCTATAGCTTCAATTAATCAAGGTTTTGGCACCAATATATACGTATCTTAATACCTCCAATACTAACATTTTTTTTAACAATGCTTTATGCCTTTATCGATGACACACTACTACTACAACTCGATTATTTTTACTATTATTTAATTTCCTGACCTTGTCCATTATAGAACAAGTGGAAATCTAATCATAATCTTAGCAAATCGAAAGATTCGACTATCCCTCTCATCCAGTGTTAATTTTACAACACAAATACATGACATGTAACTACTAACTACTTGATTTGAATAAATTGACAAAACAATACGTCCATCGATCAAAATTAAATCCAACTTCTTTTGTATTCCTCCATCGTTTCAAGATCGGAAATACCCAAAAAAATGTATTATCCATGTATTTTTTTTTCGTATCTAATTCAACAAAGAAATTACCTACAAGATCAAAGAAAATAATGATCACACCTTTTGCCATATGCATGTATAATCATAGTTTAGGATCACTCCCACAAATCATCCTTAATCATTTTAAACCCTCCATCGCCGCAACATCTCGATCATAATCTCGTTCCACGTGTCGACCGGACCAGGCAAACACCAATGTAAACAATCGTTTTGAACTCTCTCCGGCACACCGTTCTTGAACGGAAGCTCGTACATGTACGGACCAGGATGTCCGTCTGGTCTCAACACCGAAATCGCCGTCACGTCCAACGCCTCTAACCTCACCTCCGCCACCGCTTTCGCCGCCGTAACTTCCTCCATCTCTATCCGCCGCATCTCCAAATCCAAACCTTCTAGAACCTTCCCTTCTTCGTACGGCTCCGTCATGTTACACGCGCCGAGACTGTCCCAAGGCCGGCCTTCGAAATGTGACGGCGAAAACGTTGTCAAGATCACCTCCCGGCTGTTTCCGGCCACCGCCTTCAACGTCGTTCTTATCGCTTTTCTAAACACATCGAAAAACCCTATCTCGGTACAGTTACTTGCTTCGCAAGAGTGACATCCCAAAACCGAACCGGACTCGTAATAAACCGCCGGATGCAGAAACCAATGTCCCACAGAGACTACGACCGTATCGATACTTTCTATATCCTTTCCCCATCTCTCGTCCACACGGTCTAGATACAGTACGTTGTGGTCCAACTTTCCAGATTTCTCCATACCGGCCACGAGAAACGGGGACCAGTAAACCGAGACCGTGACGTTGTGAGATTCAAAACGCCATTTTCTGAATTTATTGTCTTCTCCGTTTCTGTAAACGAGATCAGGGTTAGAGACGGTCGAGAGCAAACAGATAAGAGACTCGAGCTGATTTCTAGCCATAGAGTCGCCGATAAAAGCGAGATGCTTGTCTCTCATTAGATCAAGAAACCGGTTCGCATCAAATCTTGGTATATCGCATTGGTTCGGTTTCCATTTCCAGTATAGATAACCAGAATCAGGTCTTCCATGGCGGAAGCAATTTTGACCATCTTTGATTGTTCCGCAGCTCGAGCCGTTGTAGAGTGGACCTATCTCGTCTTTTACCCATTTCCCTTTCGTATAATCGCATAAAGCCTCTTCCTTTATACGATCAAAACTCTCTTGAGTTTCTTCTTCTGCGGATCGACACAAAAAATACTTAAACCATCGTACCATCATATATACACACAAGATCATATTGAAAAAAATTACAATTTTACCTTGAGAAGAAGAAGAAGAAGAGTAGTTTGTGATCACAACGAGAGATGCAGAGTCTTGGAGAGTGGTGTCATCAATGGTGGAGAATGGATTATTAAAACAGAGTCGAAACAGAGCAATTGGTATAAACGCTACGACTACAAAAACAACGATCTTTCTCTGACTTAAGCAATTATGCTGCTCTTTCAATCCCATTTTAGGAATTTTGAACAACCTTGGTCTTTTTGTTTTTTGACCTTCTTGATTCTTCTTGTTTTGATCACTGGTATGTTGTTTTTTTTTTCTTTTCAAAAGTACACATGTCAAATCGATTTTTGGTGGTTGTTGTTTTATGTGGAAGAGACGAAAGGTTCAATGGTTTTGGGCCACTTAGGAATATTTTACTCAAATCTTTATTATTAATCTATCCATGTCAAAATTGTCAATGCTGTTGGCTGTGCTTAATTTCCAATATATTCCTCATAAAATATTTAAATATTTGTTTTGTACAGTTGTATATTGGCTTAGGTTTTTCTTTACTTTTTGCTTAATATAATTATAAAATAATAGTCCACCGCATACATGGGATACATGCCGGAATTTAGTTTTTGAAGTAAGATGTCACTTACTTTGGTTATGGAGTTACCTGTAGTAGAATAACGATTTTTTGGAAATTTTACAAGAATTTAAATGTATTTTTTTTTTTTATTGATTTGTTTGCACAATCAGCTTTGGTTGTTAAATATATTTATATTAAAGTATTGTTGTGGTGGAGCAGCAAGTTGCTGATCAGTGTTGTGGTGGTGGCCAGACTGAAATTGGCCAGAATCTGATGGCTTTACTAAATGACGGAATTACCCCCTTGAAACTGTGCGTCGATGACATTCTTTGTTCCTTGCGTGTGTCAGGGTATAATTGTCTGTTTCTACAGAAAATGTCTAAGTCAATGTAACGTGCCGCGATGTAATTTGGTTTAGGTTAATTAATCATATGAATGTATGATAAAACGGTGACACACTGACACGTAAATAATGTAGATGAAAATGTCTCTAAGGTCTTCTAAATTATTTCAAGCGTTTCTTTGAAGGCTAATTATTCGAACATTTGCTTCTTCTTTTTTTTTCATCAGGGGTAACAACTAAGAAAGTTAACTTTTGTTCCAAAAAAAAACTAAGAAAGTTAACTGTTAAATAAAAAAAGTAGTAAAGTTTGACATTGACACAAATTTGCTTAAAACATTGGTAAATACTGGACATCTTTATGTACGGTTTCAATGATTCTATCGCATAGTCAACGCAGAAATGATTTTACCCACTAACATGTAATGGGTTTTTAATCATTTTACTAGACAGTGAAAATTTTGAGAGCAAATTTGGTAAAGATGCTCTTTCGCCCAACAATTTTAGATTATGAGATGTGCCTTTGTCTTCTTCATTCAAACTCAAAATTTTATCTCAATGCAGTAAAAACGAAGATTTTGTAATAATTGTCCACTTCGATCATAATTAATAGCTGTTATTTAGAGTATTATTATATAGGATGCAACAAGCGTTATGTAATTTATGTGTTAGAAGGCATGTGCAAGATGGACTCAAACAACATGTGACCAGAGATGTGTTCTAAATTTCCAATGAGTGGTTCGACTTGTTGTCTTCATCTCCACTAGCCACTAGCTTCGCCCCATGTGCCCTCCTCTTCCCGACCATTCATATTGTTAGTCAAAAGAAAATTATTTCTCTAATTAAACCTTCGATTACACAGTGACACAAACATTTCTCTCATCGGTCACAAATCTGGAAATTGAGTGAAATTTTATCACAACCGAAAGAATTCAGACAAAAAGTAAATCTATATTATAAAGCTTACAAACCGTTATGTGAAACAATTATTAGCCACAGGAAAAGTTGCATTGTAGACAGATAATATATAACTTAAGACTAGCAAAAAATGTCGTGGTCAGTTAAATTAAAAGAAATATTTAAACTTAATTTTTTCTTAAAAGAAAATCTAGATTAAAGATAACCAGCATTCAAGACTGACAGGACATAATGGTGATGTAGTAGCTCACCAGCTTCACATCTCCCTTTTGACAAAATAAAATGATTAATTTAATTATGCCAGCTGGACCACTTCATTTTTTCTGCTTATATTTACAATAATCATCTTATTAGGTAATTTGTTTTACTAATGGATAAATCTCTTGTGAACAAAAACCAAAAAACAAAAACCGTAGTTTAATTAGCTTGAAAAATGCAATATGTTTAATCGCTCTTAAACCAAAATCTAATTGGGCCAATCGATCTATGTTTAGCGTAGTTGCAAAGTTAGGCCCAGTGAAGGTTTATATGGGCCTTAGTATCTGTAGACGGAGAGGCTCATTTACGGTTACGATTTCTTGAAGTCGAAGATATTTTTCAACCGTCATTTTCCAAAACCGCGATTTTAGAAAGAAATTACGGGCGAGCGCGCGAGGAGGTTCGAAACGCCGCCATGAGTGAAGCAGATGCAACGGTGATGGAAGTCGAAGGTGGAGGTGAGGGAGAGACATTCGAGGTGGGGAAGACATACGCGGTCACGCTGTTCACCGGAATCGAGTTCAACGGGATCGTCTTGGCTTATGATTCTAATCCAAACTTCGTCATTTTCCATATCCTCTCGATGTTACTCGCAGCGCGTAGTTCGATTTTTTCTTTCTTTCTCTGCTACTTCGTCTTCGCGAGAAGCAATTTATCAAGATCTCAGCATTGTTGGAAGTTTTTTAGTGTTTGATTTTTCGCACCTTTGAAAATTTGCGGTGTCCTTGACGGGATACTGATTTTACAAGACGGAACGAAGCCTGAAACTGGGAAATCGATGACCACACGGATGGTGAATGCGAAATTCATAACGAAGCTCAAGTTTCTGGGGAAAGTCAAGGATCCGCTCGCGTCTAAAAAGCGTTTGGTTGATCTTGATGGACTACTAGCGAAAGAGGGAGACGCGATTAGGTGATTAGTTGTTGCAATCTCTTCTGATTCGAGTCCGATTTTGCACTTATTGTGATCAATCTAGCTAAAGAGGAATCGTATTACGCAGGGAGATCGAGAAGATTGGTGTTGGAGTTACCGCGGAGGCGCAGAGCATCTTCGACGCGTTGTCTAAGTCGTAAGTTCTTCGAGTCTTTTTTGTGGTTTAGGTTAGTTATTGTGCCAAGGCTTGATTGATTGTAGATTTGCTGAGACAGCTTTTTGCTTTTGTTTGCGAATGGGTTTTGTGCATTGTTACTGGTAGCAACTGTATGGAAACGAGTTCTTGAGCAGATGGTTGCTTATGTAAGCAACTGTGAATCATTAGGATCTTGACTCAGTTTTGGGATAAGTAGGTTTGATCTTGATTCAGTTTAGCGATTGTATTGCTATTGCTCTTGGTTTTTAGAAGAATGCATACTTTTTTGGGAAAATGTATATTGCTCTATTGGTAGAACCTGTCTTTAGTCTTGCTCCAGTGTTTACCGCTATGAAAACGATGTGTAAATCGGCACCAAAATTTCTACTTATGCTGGACTAGTTTTAATAGCATTGCTGAAAGATTAATATGCTATAGAGTAAAGTGTTGGTGTAGAATTGTCAGAGAAAGTAATCAGGTAGTTTCTGCTACCTTTTGGGTGAGTTTGCTTGCTTATATTAGATTAACAGGCTTACTTATGGTTGTGTAAACTGAGCTTTCTTCGTTTGGCAATTATGAACCGGTCATGACTAAAAATGTTTGTAGGCTGTATCCTGATATCGTCTTATGTCAGTTGAGGAAATAAGTCATTTTGATGTATTGTCATCAATCACACAATTCTATAACTCTTTTTGAATTGAATGTTATGTGATGATGCATTCCAGGTTTGCTGTACATTGGGAAAACACAGACATTGTGGTAATGAGAGAAGTGCGTGTTTGTAGCCCTTACCACCATTCTGATTGTGTCACTGGAGGAACAAATGCCGCCAAGCAACGAGTCAAGAGAGCGGTAAGTGTCAAATACCAAAAGTAATAAATGTATTTTCTTTGCATTTTCACCTCATATGATATATTAATATAGTTTTCGTGTCACAGCTGAAGGTGGAGAGAGAGAAGTTGAAACTCAGTGGCACATGAGGCAACTGATGTAGACAAATGTTCCCTCTTTTCGATTTCGAGGATTTGCGTTGTGAGAAGAAGTGTATATCCAAATTTTAATAGGAGACATGTGTTTCGTTTTGTGTTGTGTCTCTACATAAATGTGGTTAAAGGAAAACTTGTGTTGACCAAAGATAAATAAACAAGATGAAGCCCTAAACTCGTATCACAAGAAACACGCACGACAACAATAATGAGCAGATCAGAGTTAGCGATGCCGATCAAAGGACAGAAGAAGAAGAACAGGAATGAGATAAATACATACTCCCAGGATTACCGCTGGTTTGTAGAGAAAGGAAATCGCTGGTGGAATCTGAATTCTTCCTAGATCCTTACCATAGCAACCCCAATTGGTCGATCCTCTACGGAGACCATGGATCGATACATTCTGGTTTGGAGGAACTGAAACTGGATTTACCAGGTAATACTTCTTTTGCGAGTTACTTTACTCAAAACAAGATCAAGAAGATTAGGGTTGTGGCTTGCACTGATGGATTGGTTTTGCTGCGACTCGAACCCGATGACGATGAGGACAGGATGGCACGTTACTACGTTGGAAATCCTATGCTGCGACAGTTGATTCAACTCCCTCCTCCTCCTTCTCTTCCTAGAAGGGATTTGCCACGCCGTTATGGTTTCTACGATTCGGGCCTTGTGACACGAAAGCACAATAGTACCCTCTTAGGTTACAAGGTGGTTCGGGTAGATGGTGAAGCACTGAAGTTGGGTCTTTCTCAAACCTGGAGCTTTGAGATCTTTTCATCGGATTCGGGTGAATGGGATGTCGTAAAAGTCTCTTGTCCTGGTGATGGTGTTGTTATGCTCAGCACATACAGTCCGGTTTCTGTGAATGGGAAACTTCACTGGCTTGATCACACGGGCCGTATTATTGTCCATGATTTCTTCTCTCGTGATGATCAAGTTCGAGCCATAAGCCTACCCGCCAGGATGCAAGACAATCTGTGGTTTCCAGGTGCGTTAAAGGTTTTTGCTCCTCTCCATGCGGTAAGGTGGTCTGCACCACCTCGCAAGGATCTTTTGTGCTTATTGATGCCTGGACTGATGAAAGATGTCAACAAGAGCTATACCGTTAGGATCTGGAGGCTCAAGTGTGATTCTTGGAGCTTCGAAAAGGCACGGGAGATCAACATGGCCTGTGTAGGGGTTGGCCGTAGCTGTGTTCCAGTGGCAATCAACGTTTTTGATGTCGACATCATCTACCTATGGGACTTTTACAGCAAATGCTTCCTCGCTTGTAACCTTCGGACAAATACAAAATCTTATGGAGCTCGTAAAGTTGGTACTTTTGTCCCCGATGACCGCACTATTCCAGACCCTTTTGAAGATCATAGATATGGTTTCGTATACAAGGAAGATACTTTATGCTTCGAGCCACGTTTCTGCCTTTCCCAGTTTGTTCCGTCCTCGCAAGCCGTGCCTACGTAGGAAACCCAATATGATATTGAATCTTTGCTAGTTTATTTGTTTCTTGCAGATGGTGATGCTAATGATCTTGATTGTAAGAGATGTATATGTGCATCATCAGTCCTAACAATTTGCAAAGAGCTGGGAGACTTCAGACCAATTTCGCTCTGCAACGTGGTCTACAAGCTTATTTCAAAAATCTTGGCCCGCCGTCTCCAAGAGGTCACTCCAGCAATGATATCCAATACCCAATCAGCATTTGTTAAAGGCAGGATGTTGGTGGAGAATGTTCTATTGGCTACTGAAATGGTGCAGGGATTCAATCGATCGAATATCTCTCACCGCGGACTCCTTAAACTCGATTTGAGGAAAGCCTTTGACTCAGTTAACTGGGAGTTTCTTATTCGTATCCTAGAAACCGCTGATTTTCCACTGGTCTTCATCAAGTGGATCTCTCAATGCTTCACCACAACATCCTTCTCCATCAACGTCAATGGGGAACTCTGTAGATTCTTTAAAGGTACAAGGGGATTAAGGCAAGGCGACCCTCTCTCCCCTTCCTACTTTATCATAGCAATGAAAGCTTATTCTAATCTGCTTAATGAGGGTTTTAACTCGGGTGAATATGGCTATCATCCCCTAGGAAGAAACCCGAAAGTCACCCATCTCGCCTTCGCTGATGATATAATGATTCTCTTTGACGGTAAACTCTCTTCTCTCCAGAGCATAATTTCCTCGCTAGAAGCTTTTAAGTCCATCTCTGGCTTAACCATCAATGTAAACAAAACTCATCTTTTTGTTGCGGGATTGAACCCGGAGGAATCTGAAGCTCTCGATATATTTGGATTCCAAAAGGGTTCCTTCCCCATGAGATATATGGGGTTACCTCTGATGCACAGGAAGCTTCACAGAAGTGAATACTCTGCGCTTACCGATAAGATCAAAGTCAAGTTTAATAACTGGACCGTTAAGAGTCTCTCCTTTGCAGGGAGGCTCCAGCTGATATCCTCAGTCATCTATAGCTTGGTGAATTTCTGGTTTTCAGCTTTCTCATTACCTAAAGGATGCCTGAATGATATAGAAAAGCTATGTAATCGCTTCCTTTGGTCCGGTGATCCTTCAAAGCGCTCTGTTACTAAGGTCTCGTGGAAGGACATCTGTTCTCCAAAGCCAGAAGGAGGACTAGGACTCCGTAACTTGGCCATCTGGAACAAAACTTTGAACCTTAAGCTCCTTTGGATTCTTCTTTCCTCGGCTGACTCTCTCTAGGCTACTTGGATGCGCGAGCATAAGCTGAAGCGACAGAACTTCTGGGCAACTAAAATCAGACCAGCAAATTCATGGATTTGGAAACTGCTGCTTTCGTTCAGACCAACGGCAAGATCTCTTATCTGCACCACCATTAGGAACGGGCTGAATACAAGCTTCTGGTATAATAACTGATCCCTCCATGGAAATCTTATAAACTTTGTGGGAGAAAATGGCCCTCGACTCATAGGTATTTCAGAGCAAGCAACGGTTGCAGAAGCTTTAACCTCTCAGGATTGGTATAGGCATTCCCGAACGCGAAACGAGAATATCAGAGTTCTGCGCTCCACCCTGCAATCTTTGTCTTCTGCAGGTATTTCTGTCGAGCGCGATGTTATCCTTTGGGGTCCCCCGAACAAGAGAAGTCAGGAATTTTCCACCAAAAATACCTGGAACTTCTTGCGACCAAGCCGTTCAACCAGAGAATGGTTTAAGGCTGTTTGGTTTAAACATTGTGTTCCGAAGCATGCCTTCAACTTCTGGGTTGTAAACTTGGATAGACTTCCTTTAAATGCAAGGCTAGCTACTTGGGGTCTGAATATAAGCCCGGGGTACACTCTATGCTCAGTCTCTCCTGAATCAAGAGACCACTTGTTCCTTCACTGTGAGTTCTCTTCTGCAGTTTGGAGACTTGTCTTCCGTTGCCTTGGGGCTCCCTCTGCCGAGCTGGATTCCTGGCAAGCGCTGCTGTATTGGATGTTGCAGGGAAATAACAGAGTTAACGCCCTGCTTCTTAAGAAGTTTGTCTCCCAGGCAACAATCTACTATATCTGGAGGGAAAGAAATAGCAGAAGGCATAACCTCACCTCTTTAACCCCGGCCTCTCTGTTTACTCAAATCGACTCAACCGTTCGAGCCACTCTACTTGCGAGAAGAGCAAGGAAAGGTTGCTGTCATCTCCTCGCTTCTTGGTTTGGTTATTGTAATTAGTCACGTCTAGGATCTAATTATCTTATTAGTCTTTACTAATCTAGCTTCTCACTGATTTTTACTTTTTTTGGCCATAGAAGCATCGGGCTATTTCAGCGATTGTATCAAACTCATATTTTGATTTATAATTTACTCTTTAACAAAAAAAAATGATATTTTCTTATTTATGTAAATAAGTAGAGTCAAAGAGAAAGCACGTTTTGAATTCAATATCTAAGAAAAAAGAGTTTTGAAGACGCAGAATCATCATCATTCATCAGTTAGACAACCTAACATCTAAACATTCGTACTCTCTCGTTTATTGTTAGGTTGAATCATCAGCTTCGAACAATTTGAGAAGCAACTCGTTAAATTATTTACTTTGGTTATACATCGCAACAGACTAGAGAACATCGTTGCAACCATCAATAGAAGAATGCTTTGATGCTTTTATTTTTCTTGATGCTCTTGATAGAAGAATCAAGAAACACTGCAGATTTACGTCGTTTCAGTTTGTGTGAAAGAATGCGTATATGAACGAACTGCTGATAAGTATGATGAGTTTTTAAGTTAGTATCCCCTTTCTCCGTCTTTTGTTTAAATTGTCCCACATCGAGTAACTGGGAGTAATTGGCAGAAGAAGTTGCACTATAAATAAACGTCTCGTTCGTTTTTAACAAATCACGCAGCCATGTGGTGAGCACAAAGCGAACTATTCTTTCGCCTTTTACTAAAGAATACCGTGTGCTCTCCTCGCTAAGTGGCATACGCCTATTTTTGGAGGGTTTCTGCTTTTGAGTGGGCCCATCATTAATTAGTTTAACATTTTTGCATGGTTCGAGTTTGTGCGACTATAACCGGCCTAGATAAATAAACAAAATGAAACCCTAAAATCGTATCACAAGAAACACGCACAACAACAAGAAACTGCCTTAGAAGAAGCAAATCAGAGTTAGAGGTGCCAATCAAAGACAGAAGAAGAGAAATATGGATCTTTCGGAGGAAAAAGTGATAATCATAATGTCAAGTTTACCGCTGCAAAGACCAAAAATTATATCTATATTACAATGCTAACAAATCGTATGTGAACAACTATTAGCCACAGAAAACGTGGACACTAATATATTACTTACACTAGCAAAATGTTGTGGTCAGCTTAATTCAGAGAAATATTTAAACTTATATTTTTTCTTAGACAAAAAGATAACTAGCATTCGTGACTAACATGCAGGATTTGCAAAATTAAAAGTAGTGACACGAGATAATATGGTGAATTAGAGGCTCTCACCAGCTTCACATCTCACTTTTGACAAAATAAAATGATTAATTTAATTATGCCAGTATATACAGTAAACATCTTTTTCAGTTTTTCCCCATTATATTATGATTTTATTTAAAGTTTGAAGTATTACACATGAAACTGTCCGACTAATGAAATTGTCTTCCGAGATAAAGACCTCACAAGGCACACTAGAATTTTCATGTCACACTAGTGATAATCAAATTCCGCAAAACCACATCAAATCTAAAATATAAAAAACCAAGAAAAAAACTTGTTGATAAATTCCTTGATAGAACAAATTTGTCTTGGGAATGTATGGGACCAAACTGTCGCTCACTTATTTGGAGGCCACATGTGCAAACTCCTTAGCCAGAGATTGATACCAAAACTATTTTTTGAAAGCGTGTGTGAATTCAAGAGTAACGCCCATATAATTTGCTAATCGCTTGATCTTCTTATGAATATGTCTAGTCACATACCTCATTTAATGGTTCAACCTCATACGAAGGAAGTAAATATCTTAATGGTAGATGTTAGTATCTGAAAATCAATGGAAATTCTGATGTTCTTCAACAGGCTGTTATAAAGAATTTGGATTTTTGGATTTTCTTGTGACCGAAAAACTATTCCAACCTGTTGTGAATAGTTGTACATAAGAAATCTTCAAATTGCTCTGATGTGTCAGAGTCTCGAGGGATGAGTTTGCTACTATTGTTATCGATCATTCAATACTTCTTTTGTTACATTTTCACCTGCAAGGAAAGCATTTGTTCGTAATGTTCAGTATGTTGTTCTCACAAACATAAATCTTCTTGTTGATAATCTTTAAATCTTTTAATTTTTTTGTCAATTTGATTCCATGTTCGAGTTCCATGGCTCCCTATGTTTCAGTCATATCGCCATTGCACCACAAGAGCGACCACATTCCACATTTTCTCACAAATATTGCATCAGGCTTTGTTGAAAGTGGTTCTTGATATCTTTGAAGGCATGCAATTTTTGCATGAAAATGTCACGACATTTTTCTTATTAATAAAGATAAAATGAGCGCATAATTATGAAACTAAAAAAAACTACAAGTCCATGGACTTTACAAAAGTGTATTGAGCCATTTCCCAGTCTTGGCCCAATCGAAACAATGCCCATAACTGAATCTTCGTTTATCATATGGTGACGAAAAGATTGAATTATTTAATTTGTGAATGTGTGGATTCAATGTATTATTGATATGGCTCCTACGAAGTCACATTCGCAAGCTTCTTTAGTGTCAAATCAAAAGAAGTTACATTTCTTTTTGTCTTTCTTTAACTACAACCAGCTTTCTCCTCTCTAATCCGCTTTTGCTTTCGCCCCATAAGAAAAAAAAAATTGCCTTTCGCTTTTCTATTTTCTACTTTCTACTTTCTCATCCCTTTGCTAAAATCTTTGTAAATATTGTGAATCTGAAAAAACTTACAATCTTCCTTTATCGCTTTCAGCCACTGCTCATTGCTTTTCTTTTATGCTCGCTCATCTCCTTTCTCTCACGTTATTCCTTTTTAGATTAATCGAAACGAATCGAAACTGTAATTGTTGAGTTGTGAAACATAATCTCTAGCTTGGATCGTTGTATATGATTATGACCCGACGCTCAGGCTACATGCGATGATCAAAATGATTGACCATGTGTAAATTACCATCCCTGTTTGATTTTTTTGGTGAAACATATGCTTACCTATCTAAATCAAAAAATTGTAACTCTCGAATTTTTTTGTTTGATCATAGTAAAAATTAGCTACGATTTAAAGTAAATGCAACTATTACATTAAAGGTTTAACCACTATAAATATTGTCTAGTTTATGATCCCAAATCCTAACACTAATTGTGATTAATTATAAGATGAAAACTAGTTGAAGCTTAATTTTATTTCTTATGCGCACACGTGTAAGTGTCCTTATAACAATATGAATAGGTGGGAGTAGGAAAAGAGTGATTGATGATGAAACAAAGGACTTTGGTTAGAAGGAAGTGTCAATGTCCACTATAGAAATTATAAGGTGGTATTGGTGAAATGAAAGTGCAAAGAAGGAAGAGTGACCAAATCTTGGTTTGTGACCATAAATAACAAAAAGCAAACCCACGAAAATTCCTAAAGTAAATCACAATGAGAGACGCTCCCTCGAGAAACTAAGTTCACTCACTCTCTCACGCCCTACGGGTCGGGCCATGCCACCATTGCATTCTCCTTTTCTTTTCTTTCTTTAATATATATACCTTCTCTAAATATCATCTTATCACTTTGTATTTTCTTTCTACTTTTCAAGCATCCAAAGTTTGATTAATTTAATGAATATATTGTATCTTCTTCTCCTAAAGATTAAAGCCAAAGAATCCATGTGCAAACTTTGTAAGTATATGTTCTAGAATATATTCCCTATTTCTTTTTTCTTTTGTCTCGCTTTAAGAATAAATGTTAAAATATGCTTTTGTAAGTGCTTAAGCACATTACGTCGAGGTAAGATTGATATATAAATATAATGCATATAACGGTAACATGTACGTACAGTATAATGAAGAACATATGAAAATAAGTAAGTAGATATGTAATATAAAATATAGCGGATGGGTTATATTATGTACTTATATTATTATAAATGCCTCTGGTTTTGTTTAAATTAGACCTAGGATCCTTCACTTTAGCACTAGTTGAGAATACTTAAAGCGAAGTCTTTCTGATTTTATTCCTACTGATCACGTCCACATGATATACATGCGCGCTTATATACACATTACACACGCTCACCTACATTTGTGTATATGCAATGTAATACTATTAATTAAATATGTCAATTTTCTATAAATTAAAATGAATGCGAATCCTGTCAATATTTAATATCATGTTTGTTGTCTCAGTCTCATTCCCATCAGATATCGTTTGTCCATTTTTTATACGAATAATGTATATTCTAGCCCTTTTTATAAAAATAATAATAATAATGTATATTCTGTTTGATTAATTAAGTGTTGGTGAAGTGTGTATGCAAAAAGGGGTCTAAATATTTATGCAGATAATTAGAAAGAGATGCAAATAATGGCGAACGCGTGTACCAAACTATCAGGACAAGAATTAATTAAAAGATGAATGTCTTTATATTCTTATATACATAGCTTCGGTCCCCGTATGTCCTAATCAAAACCCAAAAGAGGATTAACAAAATGATAAATAAAATAATACTCCAATAAACAATGATGGAGCCATGGAGGTAATCCCGATGATTGATATGTCCAAATGCGCGGGGTGTCATTATTTATTTATAATTAGCAGTTGCTAATCACCTAACCACCATAATCTCTCTTTAGTTTTGCTTCATGTTTAGATTAAATAGTAGTGCGTGAAGCTTCTATTCTTCCTCATCATCTTTCTTTATAATGCTATTTTTGTAATCTTCTTGTAATAGTTATCTTGTACGTATTTTATTTATAAGTCAGTACACATGGTTCGTCCTCAGCTAGTCATGTCATATTGATGCTCTTACACCATACCATTTATATATACTCACATGTCATGGATTTAACATATAATGGCAAGTTTTTTTAAAAGATAAAAGTTAATAAAATAGTAATGCTGGCTGGTACGGGACTTTTTTTTTAAAAAAGGATAAAAGTTAATAAATAGTAATACTGACTGGTACGAGAGTAAAAGTAGTAGCACAAATCGTTAAGTACATTTGAGTGGGAATAGTTTCAAAATCTGATTATACAGTGCATGTTCAATAATTTATATACGGATTTAAATAGATACAATGATGTCAACATCAGTGTATGGTTGAAAAATGGGAAAAGTGGTGTTAACTAAAATAATATATTAGAGAAGAGGAGCGTCATGAGCACATAGGAAGTAGATTACGTTGTTAAATCAGATAGAGAAGTAAGGAAGCGATGGGTTGATATATAAAGCTTATGAGACGCGTGATTAATTCATTGGGGTACGAAAAAATAATGTCGCTGATGAGGAATAAATAAATCATATATTAAGTATACACTATTAAACTAATTAATTAGAATTAAGCGGATATAGACATTTTCTCGACGTGGGGTTCAAATCTGTCGGAAGAAACTCAAACTAACTTAGTTATAAGATTAAAACACACTTTTTAAATGTGTTGCTCTACAGTAAATTAAATTTGATTTTTTCATTCACCTCTTATTTCCTTTTTACTAGCAATTTCGTGCATTCATATATATAGACACTATAGAGAGAGGCAGAAACTTGGTATATGTGTGGCTAATGTTCGAGGGGTTCGAGAGAGAAGAACGGTGTTGCTACGTTTTGGTTTCGTGGTGAGACCACTTTCTCTGACATGGAGACAGATCAACATCACATGTATGCTGCTGCTGCCATTAATTGTTGTTCATCATATATCTATATATACTAAAACCAAGAGAGAGAGAGACAGCACTGTTTTTAACTTACTTCTTTCTTTACTGCTGTTAAAACCGGTGAATAAAAATATTAGCTGTGGAATCGTGGTTCATATATAGAGACTCATAGTCACATAGAACCCTTTTTAAAAATGGAAGAAACTGAGGGATCTCGCATTTTTAAAAATGAATTACTCTCTTTTCTTTTGGTCTTCAATTAAATTCAAATAAAGTATACTGTATATCTATCTTTTTGTTTGTCTTCATACGTTCGTCGTTCAATAAAACATATACTAGATTCACAACCCACAAGCTCACATGCCTTATGCTCCCCACAGACCACACCAATTCAATCTTATTATCTTTCTCTCTCACTTCTGCGACCATTATTTAGAGTTCCACGTCATTATTTTTCTTTCTTCATAGATTTGAAATAAGTGTTTTTAATATAGACAACAAATTTTAACATTTCAGAATAGAAAAAAAAAAAATTATATATATACACACGTGACACCTTACACGTATGTATATGAGATGAACGTTCCGTAGCAAAACTCATTCGGAGTCGTGGGAACGTGTTATACAAATCAAAACACAAAAAATTCCCGCCAAAAATAAAAGATTTGAAGAGAACACAAACAAACACGTGCGACACACGCCTCCGGCACGTGCAGTCGCACACAAAGAAATCAAAATATCAAAACATCACTCCCAAAAAAACAAATATATATACTTCGCAACTTGAGGGGGGGGGGCGGGGGAGGGATTTTGGTGACCACCCAAAAGGAGCTTAGGGCCCACAAACTGCTGCGATCCATTAAGACAAAGGCCTCTCTCTCTGTCTGTCTGAAAATTTTCAATTTTTTACTCGAAATCTTTCCACACGCTCCCCGTCTTATCACTCACTCACTACCTGTGACTGTAATGTATGATGATGCCCTTCACTCTCTCACACGCACACACACTCATGGATCTTTTCTTCTCACACGTGTGTTTACACTCAACTTTCTTTTTCTTCTTTTCTCCTTGGGAATCTGCAAAGCCATTAATGATGAGCATTGTCTCTCCCACCCAACCAAAACCCTTTTTTTTTTTTAACCCTTTTCCCATAAAAGTTGTAAAAAAAAACACTATTTCATTAATTCTTATTCCTTCCCCTTTGGATGGAAACACTCTAATTTAATTAACTCCCCACTAATTATACTTTTTCTTCTTCTTAGTATCTTCTCTTCTCTTGATCACTCACTTATTATCACCTATGTACTTCTTGTTATACTCTTCTACTTCCCCCCATGTTTTATTCAGAGCTTGATTTGTCATCACCTACCCATGAGTAGTCACTTAGTTTTCTCCTTTTACAAGGAGATGACAAAGATGATGATGATGATGAGAAAGAAGATTCATCACTTGTCCTCATCAATGTAGATGCTGCTCTTACGCTCACTCTAAGCTTAGCTATCACTTTCGGTGCGTTTCTCCGGTTATTCTCTATCGCCATTGCTTTCATCAGCCTATAACATCTCACGATCTTCTCCTGAGAAACCAAGAGAAAACAAAATGTAATCATAAGACACTAGGCTCTGTTTTTTTTTTTATCAAAAACAATTTCGGATCCATTCAAATGTTAGAAATTAGTACCTTGCTCAACCCGTCACACCAAGTCTCAGGGCTCTCGTGGGGATTTGCAGCAGATGATAGAGAAGGGAGCTCGTTGGCTACACATAGAATCGCAGCTGCAGCTATGCTCGATGGCCAGTACTCAAGAAAGCTCGCTTCTGTAATGATTTGTGTAATATGCCTTCTTTTGTTAGAACCAGCGCAACATTAATGTACCGTGTGATATAATTATACATATGGATCATATAACAACATTACCTTTTATGTTGGAGAGTATAATCTCTGTGGCATGCGAGAGAAAGAACCCGAGAAAGGTTCCTAAAGGATCGATCTTGTAAGCAAAGAAGCTGAGGAAGCTAAATGGTGTAACGGATCTTAGTCTCCAATCCAACACACTCAGAACAAGAAGTTCCATTCTCTTTATCGTCTTTGATTCGAATATATACTTCACTCCTTCAACCTATACATTACATATAATTATATAAACAGAAAAATAAAATAAAGAATACTAATAATGATATAAAAACAGAGAAATGATGAATGAAAACATTCTAAAACCAGAGTCGATTCAGATTATTTATAAAATAAATAATAAAATTACCTGGAAATCAAAAAGAGAAGGAACGAGAATTTCCTCCATCTTGGCAGCTAAAGACAAGCATGCCACTGCTAAAAGCTGCATTGGCCAACCACTCGTTTCCTGTAAAACAAATACATAAATTAAAGCTGATTTAATCTCATCATTGATTATATTATATACTCTTTATAACAAGAATAATTAAAATACTGTAGCAGAGGAGCGTTTTTACACGATGATTACAAAGTTTTGGATAAAGCGGATATATGGACTGGAAAGTTTACTGCAAAAGTATAGTATTATTATACGAACGTCGATGTAAATATTATAATAAAATAAAAAATTTATAAAAATAGTTTAATTAAATATCTCCATCCCGCTCCTGTTCTATCCTAATTTTTATGTTTAAGTATTGATATCTACTAAACTAGTCCCCTCTATTTAGTGTTTTAATCTGCAAGTCGTTTATTATATAGTTTTCATCTCCAAGTCGTTTTCAATATCTCTGAAGAAAAGTCAATAAACAAATCGATACATAAAAAAAAAAGAAAAGTGAAAACCATATGACTTTTTGTTGGGTTGTTATTTGTCATATCAATACGATCAAAACAGAGAGAATATTAACAAACGTTGACGTTTTTAAAGCTTACCGGTAACCGGCGAGCGTAGAGAAACCGATCCATATAGTTAACGGCGAGGTACGCCGTTAAAGGCTGAAAGTTGTAATACGCTTGTACCTGCAACCAAACATTAATAGCACAGTGTCAAAAAAAAAAAAACCTTCTGCATGTAAACGATTCGATTCGGCGTATTTTAGCATCGACACACTCTCCGGCGTTAATCGCCGGAAAAATAACAAAATCCGGGAACCTAGAGAGAGAAAAAGTTAAACGGTCACCTTGAGTATCCATGAGACGGACTCTTCTCTAGCGGAAGCGTCGAGAGATTGAGATTGGAATCTAGAGAGATAGTCAAGTCCGGGAACAAAGTGCCTCTCGTCCTCGATACAGCTGGCGATTGAATCATCGGGCCATGAATCGACCTCCTCCGACGAGAAATCAGCCGTTGATTCACCGGAAAACACGCCGGAATGTTCCTCTCCGCAGAACAAATTCATATCGAAGTCGGGAAACAAAATCGCAATCGCCGAGACGGCGGATCCTCATTCCATCTCCATAACCGGTCGTCGACGGTGGAAAACTCGTCGGGATCTATGTGAGTGAAAAAGGAAGAAGATGGGAAAGAAGAAGAAGAAGAAGAGAGAGGTGAAGAAAAATGGATTTAGGATTTGTGTGGAGAGAAGGAAGAGTGAGGGTTTAACACATTCATTTGTTTGGATATATAAACACGAGAGAAGCAGAGTCTCTGAAACTTAATATTTGTTTTTTTTTCTCTCTCTTTTTTAAAAAAAATAGAGGAAAACAAAAAAGAAAGGTGTTGTTGCAGAATGAAACAGAGACGGTTACCGTTTCCGTTTTGCCCGGGAAAACGGGACTGTTCCCGAATCGAGACGGGGGCAAGGTTTTCTCATTGGGTTTGACGTTTTTTTAATTTGTTGTTTGTTTGTGTTTGTGACTAACACGCGCTAAAGTATAGCGCGCAGGTTAGCGGAAGCGGTGTATGAGGTAACGTAGTTTACGTATACGTGGCAGGTTACGCGTTGCATGAGTACAGGAACTGTACAGCTAATGTACGTTTGTTTGCATATTACTCGAGAGGAAAGAGGCACGTATTGTTTCTTAATATGCTGACGTGGAATTTATTAATTGGTGATTAGCTTAATGGCCCTGGTAATAAAGTATTTCCCGTTTTTGGCTGACCTATATAAAACATCAAAATAACTTTGTTTTGGTGTGATAATGTTTTTTTTTTAAAACATTTTTGGTAATTTGTGATTGGTGTATTCGATACAAGGTTGGGGCCTTGGGGCAGTATTACGTTTTTTAAATCCGTATCCAAAATATTCTCTTTTTCAAAATAAGTGTCATTTTGACATTTTTCACACTAAAAAAATATTAAAAATTTTGTTTTATCCTTTGTTTATACATAAAATAATATTTTCTTTCTAATTAATACATTAATATAACAAGATTAAAACATTATTTTTGTTTAGAAAATTATATTAGAAATACAAAATAATACTTTTTGTGTAAAACTGTAAAATCACACTTATTTTGAAACGGATGAAATATTAGTTTTAGTTCGTGACGTCTCATTTATGTTTCTGTATGTCTCATGATGCATATCGACAATCTATACAAAATTGTTTAATTTTATATAAGGAAGCCATGGTGATTGGTGAACATCGAAACCTGTTTCATATTTTTAAAGTTGTTCACATTGAAAATTTTGAAATAACGCAATACTCAAGATCAATATATGATTATAATAAACTAAAAAAACAACAATTAAGATAATGTAGCGATCATGAACTTGGTTAATTTATATATATATTTAGATGTCCTTGCATACATGCATGAGGTCATTTTTTATACCATATATTCAAATGCATGGAAGGAGAGTCGAACCAGTGATCAACAGACACACACTTGGCAATGATATATTCGGTAAGAAGTTAAGAGCTTAAGACTAGTTATCAAACTATCTTGACTTCTGATTACGAGTTTTAGTTTTGGTTAATTAGAGGAAGAAGGATCTAGAGACAGGAGCGTAGCGAAAAGAAAGTGTAGTGGAAATCGTTTTCCGCATATATAATTGAGATTTTCTTCATATTCCCTTTTTGTATCAATGTTTCATATATGGTCCCTTAATTTTTTAATTATGCCGTAAAAATGTTAACTCATTGGCCCATTTTTACGTGTACCAACAAAAATTTGATTTCTATTGGTTTGTTTTTTGTTATTTCGAGTTGGATTAGACTCGGAAAACCTTTTAGCTAGTAGAAAACCTGATAGTTGCAATTATCCAACTTCTAACCTTTTTTCAAAATATTATATATCTCTTAGAAATATGTTTGATAAGAAAATGTTTGTATTTTCTATGCAAATTAGCTATAATATGACGTTATTGCTATAATATGAGATCAAGAAAGGATCAACATGAATTGTAAGAAAAAAAACTGTTTGAAATAAATAGAAAAGATGTAAAAAACAATCTAGTTTTGTAAAAATTTAAAGCAGAAAGAATGATGAGAAAAACTACTAGCAACAGAGATAGATAGATTAAGAGAATAGCGTGAAGAAAACATAATTTAACAATTAGATTAGATCAGATAAGAAACATAGAAACAAATGGGCTACTTTCCGAAATTGAAGATAACTTCGTGGGTGAGATTTGTCATATATATCTTCGGCGGGAAATCTTCTTCACGGAATATTAATTTGTTATGGCTAGGTTGGTTCCACAATAGAACTTCTACTAATTCGTTTCTCTGTTTAGGTAGACAATATTTAAAACGTACGCCTTACATTCAGATTCACATTCACAGTCATGTAACTTTAAATTTACACTTTTATTAAATGTATGTGTTTACATAAATATATTAACATTAATGAAGCCAAAATATAGAAATCTGAAAGGAGTGAAATTATGCACCTCCCAACCTACAACAATTTATCAGACTGACACTACATTCTCGTGGTAGGGCTGGTTAATTTGGTTAATTTCTTATTTTCTCAAAGAAAATGAATACATTAATTCATGGGAGCTATTGTCTTATAGTCAACAATCATTGTTGAATGGTTATTTCAGATTTGTATATGTTATGATCTGCACTAGACATGATCTTATGCTATCATCGTCACATTAATTGATACTCGTTACGAAATGTTTTTTTCCTCCTGTAGCATGGTCAACTCGGACCGTATTGATACATATGTCTTTATCGTTTGCATGATAATGATATTAATATATTTTGTTTTTATGTATATGATGATTATAGAGTAAAAAAATTGAATTTTGCGCATGGTCTCTCGGCTCTCGTTTATATACAATGATCGATGACCATGAGTCGTTGTTGAGTTACTAGAAAATATGATGAATAGTTATTAGTTAGGGCGATGGGTCGGTCATTTTCAACTGTATTTAATTTTTTTCCTTTCGTTGAATTGATTTTGGGAAATAATACTCCAATATCACTTTTAAAGGAGACCACGAAAATGAACAAACAAACATTGAAAAACTAATGTACCATTAAGCTACATTTGCAAGATGAGCGATTGATGTATAGTGATAATTTTCACAAACACTGTAGATACAGTAACTGATGATTGCTTTAAGTTATTGAAGTATTCATTTTGTTTTCTTATCGTTGAAGTACTCGGTGTCGACAATATACAATATGCATATTTTTTTACAGTAACAAAATTAAAAAATTATTTGTACCAAATGCACTGATACGTTTGGTTGATCATTGAAAAATACATCATGTTACTTAACAAAAGAAAAATACATCATGTTGCATGACAGTGAAATTAAGTTAGATGAATGATGAAAATGCTATGGTTAGAGATTATAATTCTGTAAAATCCCCAGAAAAAAAATGTTTATAATTATGTAAACTCCACATGGTAAGATATAACTAGAATTGTTATAAGTTATAAGTTAGAATGTTTTCGTTCTTCTATATGCATGTCCCCTTATTATGTGTTTAAAAAACTAAGTATTGTTATAAGTTATAAGTTAGAATGTTTTCGTTCTTCTATATGCATGTCCTCTTATTATAAGTTAGAATTTCTGAATATATTAAATTCAAAACACATCCAGTTACAATGCAGATACATTTTCTTTAAATGATACTTATTATGAAACGAAGCGAGTATGTGTTACATATGAACCATTAAAACTTGATTTTTCTTAAATTCTAGAGCAAAATAACATACTATTGTATAAACTATGGAGTTTTTGCATTTACATACGTATATATATATAAAATAAGTTTTTCTCTTTTCTGGTGTTACCACCTCAGCAACTACATCATTAATTGCTTTTCATTTAAATTATTTTAAAACATAAAATAACATTAACATTCAATATAAAAATAGAAAAAAATAAAAAAGACAATTATAAATACTAACAGAAAATAAAGTAAAATAAAACCAAAAAATAATTATATACATTAGTTTTGAATATTTCAAGATTCAAGGTGGAAATTTATGAGTGTGATAGTAATTGGTAATTAGAAAGATGAAAAACAATAAAAATTAACATTAACATTCAATATAAAAAATAACAAACAGAAAAAGACAATTATAATGTGTTGTCAGAAAATAAAAGATCAACAAAATACTATAAAAGAAATAATAATATATATTAGCTCTGAGTATTTCAAGATTTAAAGCATAAATTTACGAGTGTGTAATCGAAATTAGCAATTATGAAGATGGAAAATAATAATAATTAATATTAACATCCAATATAAAAAAATAGCAAACAAAAAAAAATTATAATGTGTTGTTAGAAAATAAAAAAATCAACAAAATACAATATTAAAAAAATAATGATATACATTAGCTGTGACTATTTCAAGAATCAAGGTGGAAATTTACGAGTGTGTGACGGGCATCGATAATTAAAAAGACGGAAAATAATATAAATTAATATTAACATTCAATATAAAAAATAGCAAACATAAAATGTTAAATTATAATGTGTTGTCGGAAAATAAAAAATAAATAAAATACAAAATTAATGATATACATTAACTTTGAGTATTTGAAGATTCAAAGCAGAAATTTAAGAGTGTGTGATGAGAATTGGTAATTAGAAAGACGGAAAATAATTTCCAAAGGAAATCCAAGAAAAATAGAACAGGAAACTCGGGTAACAAGATGAGTTCAAGAAATTGCATTATCTGAAATCTATTTGCAAATTCTCAATAATTTGGGAAAATTTCTGAAAGTCGAGGAAATTTTTCAAAACTATATAATTTAAATTTTTTAATTCTTAAATGGATAATTTGGATATATAATATCATATATAATATCTTTTCTTATTTGTTTGAATAAACTAAATAACTTTAAATGGATAATATTTGATCGAAATTGAGATAAGACAAAAAATTCAAGATGGGTACATTGAAAAAAAAATAATCACAAAATATTCAGAACTATATGATATAATAAATATAATATAAAAAATATATAAATGATATTCAAATCCCTGTGTTCCGCGAATCATAAACTAAAAATTTGAAAAACAATTCGAGAGAGATACATGTGAGAAATAGAAACCCATCTTAAAATTTTCAATAATATATGATACAACAGATTTAATACAAAAATATATAAAAATGAATCACATAGCCGCGCATAGTGCGGATCACCAACTAGTAATTTATATAAAAACATATTTCTTAGAAAAATGATGACATGTGAGTGAATTTGATCGGAGCCTATATGCCACTACTAAACGAGAGAGATAATAGAGGTTATTTAAACAAAAGAGGAAGAAAAAGAGGATATAGAGAGAGATAAGTAAAATTATAGTATGTAGCAAGGAGACAGAAATCGTGGTATAGAGTATATCGAGTCATAATCGGCCAACGCCGACCAAAGTCCACAAAAAGATATATAAAAGATGAAAAAGGGTCCCTTTTGAACATTTCTTGTATGCAAATCTCGATGGCAACTTGTACCAGACTGCTAACGTCCTTCAATATTAGTTAAGTTACCGTATTAATATTGTTTAATTAGGAGAATTTTGTAAGGTTTTGTTGTGTTATATCTTATAACAATTCTAGTTATAACTTAGGGGATCTTTTTTTAGTATTTATAACTAGAACTGTAAAATATTTATAACTTGTAACAATTCTAGTTATATCTTACCATTTGTAAAGTATGTATGTATATATATCTAGGCCCAAAACATGAAAAATGTGTGAAATTACGTTTTGTAAAGGGATGTGAGAGTGAAAAACGTGGCACCATTCATGTTCTTTATATACGCTGATGCTAATAAATATAACCCGATAGATCTCGCATACGTTTTTCAGCCTAATAGAAGTAGATTAGTATCTATAACTTAAGGATATATACGCACACGAATATGCAAATGTAATTAATATATATGTGTATACACTAAGATAGTTTCTCGTAGTAGATGTTTTATCGTTGCTATAGGGCCTAAGGTACTTCTTAAGTGCTTATCTAACTCCCCACTAAGCTTTTGTAGTTTGATAGACTTAGAGTTCTATTATCTTTTATCGAAATCAATTAATTACTACGGCGGCTTGACAGATTGTGGCTTTTCTTTAATGATAAACTCTATAATTCCTTTTTGTTAGTTGTAGATACCTATCGTGGTTTCATACTTTCAATCTATATAATATATGTATGAGTGACATTATACAAACACATTTATATCGTTAAAAGTATTACTGTACTGCATTAAAAAACTAAAGATTGATAAAAATAGAAAATCAAAAAAAGAAAAAGATGATAGAAATAGCAACCAATAAATATATAAGGTTATATATATTGACTATTGACTGACTTTTGAACTCAACAGTGTAGGCCAACTCAACAGCTACTCCAACTCAGCCTAACTCTAAATATTTATGAAGACTAATTAACAATGTAAATGTAGTCTTACGCATGTTTGACTATATAATAACATAGACAGTCCTGATATAAATATTGCATTTTTCTTTTTTACAATTACATAGCATATGATCACCTTATACTATATAATTAGTAATTGGTAGGTGTATGATATATACTTAAAAGTCAAAATCCTAAGAGATTTAACCCCCAAAGTCTAAGTCAATATGTAAGTAAAGGTAGTGAAGACATGTAACACCGTAGATTTATAAGTTGAAAATACGTATACAGAACCACACACATGTGAAATGGACCAACATGTATGAAGAAATGGTCCCATTGAGAGAGATCTCATGACTTCAAATCAAGAACTGGTCCAATTACAAAATGGACACGTAAATATATACAAAGCTTAATCCCCATCCCTCCAATGGGTCTACACACAGCCTAGCATTTTTGTATTTTCTGCACTGTTTTTATTTCTTTATTTATTTATTGTAACTTTAATATTTACTTTTTAAAATTTAATTTTCAGCTTTTCTTCTCTTTAATTTTTTTAATTCGCTCTGAGAAATTCTTCAGACTTCCATTAATGAGTCTCTCTAGCTGGGTCCTTGATTTTGTCACGGCTAATCAAATATCAGCATTGGTTAAAAAATAGTGAACAATAGGAAATAAAATAATGATTTATACTTTGCTATATCAACGTCACCTTGAAGTTCATAAAACCTGGGTCCTTTTGAAAGATGTTGTCTCACATATCCATACATCTTTCAATAAAATCCATCATATATGATTCCATGTAAATTATTCGTCAGGCATGCTAAATGTAAGCGAGCAACATTTATGGTGTTACATCAACTTACTGACAGAAAATATGATAAAGAAACTTGAGTACCGAAACTCGATATTAACGTACGATGGGCTAATAGATTAAAATTTCAAAATAATGGGCCTTTATCGAATTCAAAACAAGCCCATTAAGTACAGGATGAATAAACTAATGGGCTTTCTTTTTTTGGAAGGCGTTTTGTTTGCGATTACACGCAGTTTTCTTCTCCGGCGAAGAAGAAGAAGAAGAAGATAACGAAACACACAAAAGCATGAACGGAGCTTCGCTCAGCCATTCCGTTTTGCTCCATTCTCATTCTCTCTCTCGTTTTTCTTCTGCTTCTTCGTCTCCATCTCCTTCAGCTTCTCTTGTTTTTACAACCTCTAAGTATATCTCTTTCGCACATCGAATTCGAGCAGTCGTTGTCAAAAGAAATGATGGGTTTTGTTCTTTCGCTGTAAAGAAGCGTAGAGGCGGAGATTCTGGGCTAAAGGAGTCGGAAATCAGTATCGACGATGATGGAGAAGAAGGAGATGATGAGGATGAAGATTGGGGTGAATTTGATTTAGAAGGTGAAGGAGATGGAGACGAAGACGAAGACGAAGGAGAGTATTTGCCAATGGAGAAGATGAAGAGATGGTTGGAGAAGAAGCCTCGTGGATTCGGCGTAGGTAAAAAGTACGAAACTTCTGTTGAAGATAAGCTGCTCGACGAAATCGAGCAAAGCTGGAAAGCTCAAGCTGCTAATCTCAACAAGCTCAAGAACGATCCTCTCAAGCCACAGCTTAAGCGCGGCGACAATCTCATCAAAGGTTTCGACTTTTTCTTTCTTTCCTCTCTCAGCTTTCTGCTTCTGAACAATTCCAATTTTTTTCGATTTTGAGTTTTAGTAGCTGGAATCTCATTTAAATGTTGGGTTTTTTTTTTATACTGAAGAAACTCAAAGTGGGTTCCGTGTTCGTGTGACCAATCTTCCGAGGAAGAAGAACGTTCACAGAGATCTTAAGACTGCTTTTAAAGAAGTGAGTGGTATCTTGAACATAGCACCAGCTGTGTCTGGGAATAAGAAGACTAAAGATCCTGTCTGCAAAGGATTTGCTTTTGTTGATTTCAAAAGCGAGATTGATGCAAACAGGTAATGTGACAAAAGTTTGGCTTTTTTCTTAGCATTTTCAGTCTTTGGTGATTAAGGCAAAAAGTTTGGGTTTTTTTTTTCTTATATTCTTAGGTTTGTGGAGCAGTTCACTGGACAGAGATTATCATTTGGAAAAGTTGTAAAGCAAATAAAATGTCAGGTTGTGGAGTGTTCCTCAACCCAATCAGTGTCCGAGGAAATATACTCAGATACAGTCTTTGAGGAGCTTCCGTTTTCTGGTTTAGAAGCGGTTGCTAATGCTGATGCTGTTGTGGAAGATACTTTTGTGGATTCATGGGAAGATTCATCGGATGATGATTCAGATGAAGATGTTGATGAAACGGAAGAGGAAGAAGACGAGGGAAACCGTATCTCTAGCAGCGTAGAATCTCCTATTGAACTGAGACGTGATTCGAAACCAGAGTTAAGGTCTCAGAAACAAGTCGTGAAGCGTGAGATTAGAGAACACGAGGAGTTAGAGACACTTGTAGGAGAAACAACCCTGGATGATGATGATGAATCTGATGTAGAAGAAGTTGCTGAAGAGAATCTTGAACCTCTGATTAGTACGATGTCATCCTCAGATGAGCAACGTGTAGATAGAATCCGTAAGCTAGAGCTGAAGCTTCTCGGTAGAGAAACACTCTTGGGAGGAGGAGGTGACTCTGATAAACCAGAAGCAAAACTCGGTAGTGGAGTCGAAGGGAAGAAGAAGGAGAAGAAGAAGAAGAAGAAAAAGATTCTTGTGAAGGGGAAAGCGAAAATGCCATCAAGCATAGAAATTCCAGGATCTTCAAAGAGGTAAAAAAAAAAAAATGCTGACAAAAGTTACAAATGTGGAATTTTTTTACTTAGACTGATTGATTTCTTGTAACTACGTTTTTATAGGTTAAAGGTGAAGGAGAAGGCTCTTTTAACCGGCGTGTTAGTCAAGTATGCGGCAAAAGCTGCTTCGACCTCAAATGACAAATGATCATTACAAAAGTGGATCTTTAAGTGTTAGTCTGGTCAGTTTTGTTTTGGGGGAAAATTCTGTTAAAAGCTGTCTTAGTTCCTTCTTGGTTGCTTCATAAGCTTATGAGATGTTTTTGTCCTTCACCTTTCCCAACCATGTCACTAGCTCCGTTTGTTCTTACATGATAAAAAAGAAAGAACGAAACTGTCGCTGTTTTTTATCAAGTCCAATCAACTTAATTTTCTATTTGTCAAGTCCATGAATTTTTGGGTCTTTCAGCCGGCCCACTTCTATCCTGTCCATTTGGACCGGACCTGAATGGTTCGTGACAATCTTTTGTGGAGGGTATAATTTAGTTTCTTTTTTATTTTTTCTTCTCATCATCTTTTTTTTTTTTTTTTTTCTTCTCATCATCTTTTTTTTTGGGTCGAAATACATATCTATTTGGGAAATTGACTGATATAGCCATATAAATACCTATAATTTGGAAAGTAACCATAGTAATATAGAGACTATTATATTCTTTATATATTCTATAATATATACCAAAAACCCATTCCTTTAATAGATTACACTACTATACTATACTATACTTTTCTTTCCTCTTTTCTGTTCACCTCCGCTTATTTCATCTCTCCTCTTCCTTTTCCCCTCTCCTTGTCTCCTCTTTTCTCTTCTCCCCTCCTCTCTCGTCTTTTTCTCTTCTTTGCTCTATTTTTCTGTATATACTATATCAAATAGAGGACTGTTCCATAAAATTATATATAGTATAGTATATAGTATAATATAGTATAAGGTTATTTTCGATAATTGATTGTGGATCATTGTTAGTTTACTAATTTGTCAAATAACATGGTTATATTATTCTATTGTTTTGTAAATATGGTTATATATAAAAAAAACCCTATCTATTTAAAGAGATTTAAATTCATTTCAGTTCATTTTAAAATAAATATACATGTTCCTCTTTTGTTTTTTATTACCATATAAAATTTTAGTTAAAGTAGTGTAACAAAATGTTGAAAAGGCTTTGTATATTAACTTTGCATTGTTTACAGAAAAATCATTTTCTGTGATGAAATAAACAACATAAGTTTTTTTTAATGAAACAATAAAAATATCATCAATCAAAACATATTTTTCTCTTTAACTAGCGTGCTGAAAATTATCCAAAATATAAATATCCGTTTGATTACATATTCTCATATTCGATATATCCTTCATAAATTTTAGATATTCATTTATATGTGTATAAGTTTGAAAACAAGAACAGAAACCAATCTATATGTATATAACCATATGGCAGACAGGGGAAGGGGCACCAGAAGATGATGATAGGAGAATAACATTTGGTTGTGTTCGAACCGAACTATAACTATTTTTCTTGTTAAGGGTATAACTATCAGACCTTTTCTTATCCCGACATTGACTTGATTGGCCTCTCACTTTCCACTTCCTTCTGTTGTTCTTACTTATTCACTCCAACACGTTACTCTAATATGCACCTCGCTTCAAGAGAGTCGTAGTTTTATTTTTCAAATGTATTTATATACTTTATCAGTCAAAAATCTGACATATAGTTGACTTGGTTTTTAAAAAGTTATCAAATACAATATGTTTTATTGATTCATCTAGTACATATGGATACAATCAATCAAATATTAATCTTACAAATTGAAATTAAAAATTAAATTTGTTTTTGAAACTGTAAACCAAAATATAAATATTATTCTTTTTTGCCTCATCAAATTATTCAACAAAACTATTTTTATAGTGTTTTCATATATGATTAATCAATGCATTTCAAAGTTACCTGAATATTAGTATTATTGTAGTATTTTATTTTGTGTAATATTTATGTTTTTATGTAATTTATTTTCTTGTATTTTGTATTAAATTTGCTTTATATATAATTGTTGTTGTGTAATAAAAATATTTATAACAATGTGTAATATTTCTTGAATTTATTTTAAGATTTTTATTTAATTCGTATACAAAATTAAATATATATACATATATATGAAATACTAAAATTATATGGACTAAAGTGCTAACAACAAAACTAAAATATAAATATTCATATAATATATAATTAGAGGAATTGAAATGCAAATAAAAAAGTGAAATTTCAAATTTGAAGTTGAAGTTTCACTGTTCAAAATTTCAAATTTTAAAGTTTTGAAGTTTCAAGATTCATATTTTGAAGTTTTGAAGTTTTTTTTGAAGTGCAACAAACTTTATATTTAAAGTTTCAAAGAGTTTTTTGAAGATGCTCTTTAAATTTTTAAAATTTTCATGCAAAAATTAAAATTTTGTAAACTTTTGCATTATATAGTACTTTTTTAGTGGTTGAATGTTTAACATAATATTGAATGATGAATTTTTTATGGACAAAAACTGTATTTTGTGTGTTAAAAAAACCTTATATAAAAGAACACAGAAAATAATAAATAAATCACTGAATAAAATTATTACAGTGATCATGTATACTTTTTAACAGTATTTCTTAACAAAAAATTACAAATTTTGAGTTAAATCTAATTTATTTGAATAGTTGAAACTGATAAAAATATTCGAACATAGAATAAAACAATTATTTAGATAAATTTTTAACAAGTATGGAAAATGTATTTTACCATATAAACGTAATAGCAAACTTTTCCAAGTTTTGACGCAGTGGCTAATTTATTTAATAATAAGCCAGCATAAATCAGAGTTTATAATTACTAAGCTAGTAGCGATAAAGTAAATGTGAAAGGGAATTGGACCTCGCTGTCAAATAATATAGTAAAATAAGAAACAGTAACTAAGCAGTAGAAAGTACTGAACGAAGCAGGCCTAAGCTACAGTAGTTAACATCACAAAGCTTTTACGTATAGAAATGTCAGCTTTCTACATTTTCCTGTATTTTCTTAATCACCACTCTTTTTGTCTACCTAGCCTTAATTTTTTATTTTTCTTTTCTATATATATATACTAGGGATGTTTCCGCGCTACGCGCAGATTGTTTTTATATAGATATTTGATTATTATTTAAGTTAAAGTATTTTCACTTTAAGTTAATATTTTAAATATAATATTTAATTTTTAAAATTGTTTTGATATGATTATACATCAAAACTATTTTAACGTATTCAAAAAATATATCATGATATAATTTTAAGAATTACCTACTTGATATATGCTAAAATTAACTGTTAAACTCAATGTTATTCACTACTAACTTTCAAAATATTATTAAAATTATTTTTGTTTTGACTAAATTTGATTATTATTGTTCCAATTAATTTAGATTTTTATTTTTATTTCAACTGTGTTCGTGTAGTGTTTTTATTTAATTAGCAATCTCAAATACAAACAACACTCAATATTCTAATCTTTTATAAATCTATAAAATAACTATGATTCATATAAATAAAAACAATATTTACATAGTATAAAAAATCACAATCATATGGATAAAATGCAATTTTGATTTGGTCTATGAAGTATACGTACACTATAAAAAATATAGATGAATAAGGCAAGTAATACATATACAAATACAATTTCATACTAACTCATTATGTTAAATAAAGTATGTTGAGTTTCTCAAAACTCAAAAGATGTAAAAAATTTTGCTTGTAATTTAACTTAAACATTTTTTCTTAAACTACACATATGTATTTTGATGAACCTTTATAATTAAACTAATAGTATATATTATATTATTTTTAAAAAAGTTTCTTAACCCAGTAAAAAAAACCATATTAGTTTTTCATTCAAGTTGGGTTTATAAGGAATTTTGTTGATGTGGATAATTAGAGATTTTTTTAGATATTTTCTTCTACATAAAAATGTGTATGTTATTTTTTCAAAAATGCATTATTATTTAATTTAAAAATTTACTAACTTGATATATATAAAAATTAACTGTCATCTAAAACTTAATTTTTGTTTATAAACTGTTTAACTCATGTGTTGACATGTATCGCTTGTAGTTTCTTGACTACCTTAAGCCAACTAAGACACACATTGAAAAAATATCAGTGCATGAAATTCTTCTTATGTCTATCATTTTCTGCAATGTAAATAGTAACGATGATCGAAATCTTCATATAGATAGATGCTTTGAAAAGCTTCCTATAATTTCTGTTGTCTTGTTGGTTGCCTTAAATCTAACGTACTATGATGTTTAATCTGTATGTTTCTAAAAAGTGAATGTTTTAGATTTTTATAATTTGTAAATGTTTTAAATTTTATTTTAGAAATTATTATTTTGTAATCTTGTTTCTATTAACTATTATTTAATTTTTTAGAGAAATTTGTTATCTAATATATTCACTATATTATAAAAAGGAGTATATATTAATGCTACAGATTTAAATGATATTTATTTTACTGATTTAGAAAATGATATTTAGTTTTATTTACCTATTCCTAATAACTATATTAACTTAGTGGTTCTATTTATTTATTTTATGTGTATTTCAAAAGATATAAAGTGAATTTTTTATTATTGTTATATTACAAACAAAAGAAGTATATATTGATGCTATAAATTTAAATGATGTTTATTTTACTGATTTAATATTTTAATTTTATTTACTTTTTTTGGTAACTATATTAATTTTAGTGACAAAAATGAGTATATATTAATGCTACAGATTTAAATGATATTTATTTTACTGATTAAAATTATATATAGTTTTATTTAGTTTTTGCTAATAACTATATTAATTTAATGGTTCTATTTATTTATTTTATGTGTATTTTAAAAAATCTAAAGTGAGAATTTTCATTATTGTTAATTTGTTATATTACAAACAAAAGAATATATATTGATGCTATAGATTTAAATAATATTTATTTTACTGATTCAAAAAATAATATTTTATTTTTATTTACTCTTGTATTTAACTATATTAATTTTGGTTCTATTTATTTATTTTATGTGTATTTCAAAAAAATTTAAAGTGGGAATTTGTATTATTATTTTTTGCTGATGTGTCATATTTTTAGAGTAGTTTGAAAAGCTGAGGTGGATAGCTTAAGAAGCCCCAAATAGTTCCTTTTATTTAGTATAGATATATATATATATATCCTAGTACAAGTATTTATTAATTTATTTCTCTTGTACAACATGTAAAAGATATAAGACCAGCTTCAATGGAGCTTCTGAACCTGAGATTCTAACAAAAAAAATTAAAAAAATAATTGAAAACTAAATAAAATGATCAGAGTCGATTCTGAATATAGAGTTTTTAGAACTGATTGAAACCTCATACGTGTTCCATTTTTATTGGTAAGTTTTTTTGCTTTTCTATTTTTCTCTCTCTTTCTCTCTTTCTCGACCCTTTCTCTCGAATGTAACGGCGGAGGAGGCAGACGACCGGAATCCTTTCGTGAGCAAAAGGCCTCCCTCTCTCTCAAATTTCTCCAAAACCTGCTGCTCCGTCTCTCCCCGCTCTCTTTCTCCCGCTTCTCCCTCTCTCTCAAATCCAAAATCCACCTTAAAAAGTCCCATTTGTTTCCTTCGTCGCCCAGACTTCGGATTGGGCTCAGCAGGATGAGGAAGAAGGTGGAGATGCGAGCGCATCGGTCGACCGAAGGAGGCGATTTCCCATAGCCACCGGAAGAAGCAAAGCTCTTCGTCGGAAACTTGGCTTACAACGTTGACAGCCAAGCCTTGGCTATGCTCTTTGAGTAAGCCGGTACAGTTGAAATCGCCGAGGTGATTTTTTAGTTCTGGTTTCCTTCTTGTGCTCCTTAATTGAGAACCCTTGATTGATGCGTTTATGTTCGTTATGCATTGCTGAAGGCGTTAATACTCTTAATTCAACCAAAGTTTTTGTCTCTCTGCCCCAATAATTGTTTCTCTATTCGATGGACTGCTGTCATCTGAAACCTTGCATTTTATTATTAGTTACACTTTATTCTCCCCTTTTTGTCATTCGAATGGGGAATCTCTGGCATTGTATCGATTAATGCATTATCTCAATTGTTCACCACCTAAGGAACTTAGCTACTGGGTTGAGTTCGGATTCTGTAAGAACATTACTGAGCATTTGTGTTGGTCTTATTTTCGTGTTTTGTCAGGATCGAATGTAATTGCAGCTGCGTATGCTAGTATTAGTTTGTTCTTGATGTTCTAGTGATACTGCCGTCGCAGAAGAAGTTATGGAAGCCGGTTGCATCACTGCTGATCAGATTAACGGTCTCGTGTGTCTCTGGTACTTGGTGAGTTTATCTGCAGTCACATTGTGTTCTTATATATGGTTGGGAAAGGTTAAAGACAAAACATCTACAGAGTTACATGCGAAAGATGTAGCTTTTAAAACAACCAAGAAAGAACTAAGAAAGCTTTTAACAGAGTTTTCCCCAAAACAATACTGATCAGACTAACACTTAGATCCACTTTCATGATGATCATTTGTCATTTTTTTTTTCTTTCGATGATTAGGCTTTTAACTCACGCTACACGCGAATCTGTATTAATAATATGATTATTTTTTGACTAATATCTTTTAAATTATCAAAACTATAATATATTTATAGAAATTTTATTTTATATAAAAAAAATAAAACATAATATGTAGTTTTACCTAATTTTTATTATAAGATTATAAATCTCATTAAGTAAAATCATAGTAATAATATCTAATGAATTATCCAACTTCGACGTGCATACGTTAGATTTAGAGAATAATTTCCTTATTAATTTTTTGGTTTTTTTTGTGTCCTTAAGATATTTATAGCTCTTCTTTTTTAAAGTTTACATATTCAAAGATTTAGAAGGGTGTATTGAAACTAAAATTTTAGAGAATTTTGAAAAGATTTGAGTTTTAATGAAATTTTAGATAATATTATGTGGATTGGGATAGTTGATATGATTTGATATTAAAATTATATGAAATCCCACCCAAAACAATGGGATTTGGGTTTCCATATTTTTAACTAACAAACTCCACCAAATCATTTAAAAGTACTCAATATTTTTTTTTAAATCCACTATTTAAAATATTTCCAATAATAGTGGATTTGATTTAGTTTCTATAAATTATTGATTGAATAATATGAATTTTAAATGATTTTAGTTAGTTTTGCATAAATTTCATGTTCAATAATATTAATTTTGGTGAGACATTTAGAAATCATTAATTCAATAACAAAGATTTTTAAAACAACCACCAAATCTTCTGAAATGGATAATCCAATACACCCCTCTTAGTTTTTGATTAAATGTCTCACTGATGTTGTGTACATATGTATATATAATATATGTTTCATGTTGATTCAGATTTACTTTTGTTAAGATGCTACAATAATCATGTAAAGCTGTTTTTTGCTTTTTTACCAGATCTTCTATGAATTTTAGGTTACATTTTTATTCAATTTATAAGATCTGTTTTACTTGCAGTCAACTATTTAATAGTTTTTGTTTTTCAACATGTAAGATGATGTGAAGTCTTCATTATCACTGTTTTTATTTGTTTGTGTGGTTTATTCATGTTTTGATTTGAATAGTTAATCTAGATATATTCTAATTTAAATTTGATTCATAACTTTGTCATACTTTATTATTTAAAGGAAATTTTAGAAGATGTTACCCATGTGCTGTTCATGTTGGTTAAGTTATAAGTAGTAACTATGTATAAATTATTTGTTATATTTCGAATATAAAATTACTTGTGTAATAATATTTGTTTGTTAGTTTTTAAACCAAACGCAACCAATGTATTAGTCATTGTAAATTTAAATAATATGTTTGATTTAGAAACTTGTATAATCTACTGTAATTTTTATATAGTTTTTCATAGTCAATATCAATATTATAGAAATCATGAATTTTCTAGAACTAAATTTCAAATTAATTTTCTTCTTAGATTTTGTTTTTGTTATTTTACATACCTTTTGATGGTAATTTTATATTTTATTTTAATTTATCTAATTTTGTGCATGTTTGTTATATTTAAAACACATATATATATATATATATATATATTTTAATTATTCTCTTTTGTTATTGATTTTCCAAATAAGCAGCATATATCAATTTAATTTCTTTTACACAAATTATTTTTCTTCATTAAATTTATGTTTTATATCAATTTTTAATTATATTATAATGCTATTTTGACATGTTATAACTGTTTAATTTTATATGAACATCTCTCAAATGCTTATACCATCATTTGCTTTTTTTAATTAATTGTTTCTGTTAATTTTCCAAAATATTAGTCTAAATATCAAGCTAGGTTTTCTTTATGTAATTTTTTTATTTGATAATTTACCTCTCTTGATATTGATATCTATTTTATTTTAACACATAATTATTTTGAAAATATTAATATTTTTTAAGACATAACTTTATTTTTTGATTTTTTTGTTAGGTAAATATTTTAAAATTGATTTCTTAAGAAGTTAGTCAGATATCAAGCCAATTTCTTTTTCGATGATTTTATTAAACTTTTAAATTTTGTAAAACTTAATTTTGTTTTATTTTTCTTTGGTAATTAATTTCTTAATATTGATTTCTTAAATAATTAGCTTAAATATATATCTTCTTTTTGTTAGAAAAGTTTTTTGGTATTAATTAAGTTTTTATATTTTTTTACTTATTTTCTTATATTGATTTTTTTTAATCAAGTTAATAGCCTCTCTTTTTTTTTGTTAATTTAACTTTTTGATATGAATTTTTATTTAAATTGTATTGACATGTTACAAAAAATAATTTACGTCTGGCTTTTTGTTAGTTAAACTTTTTTTATTAGTTCAGCTTTTTGCGTTGACTTTCTAAATAATAAGGCTAAATATTAAATTTTAATTGACTTTTTTTTATTTGTAAATTTAATTTGAATATTTTTTGTTAGTATTGATAGTTTTAAATAACAATATTATATGCTTATATAAACAATTTAATCTTAATATTTTCTAAATAAATTACTCATTTAAAATATATATGTTAAATTGTTTTTTTTTTAATTATTTTTTTGTTATTGATTTACATATTTGTTTTTGTTAGTTTAGCTTTTGTGACAATAAGTTTCTATTTTATTTTGACAAATGTTATTGATTTGAATTTTTAACATTATTTTATTTTATCTGTTTTGTTAGTTAAACTTTTTATCTTAATTATTTATTCTATTATGATAATTTTATATTTTTGCAAGTTTTAATCTTTTACAATTATTAATTATATTTAGTGTTTTTATGTTTGATGAAAAATGTTGATGTGGACTAATTAGATTGAGTTTCTACGTCATATGTTGACGCTTTCATTGGCTAAAGACATCAACACGGATTTCAACTAATATATTTTAGGTTAGTAGTTCAGATTTTAATTGTTTGTCATGATTAAAATTTTAAAATAATTTAGTTATGGTCTTAAATACCGTTTTTAATTATTTTGTTTATTATATATGATTTTATTTATGAAACTATTTATATGTTAATTTTTTTTGTTAAAGATATTTATATGTTAATTTATTTTTTAATATTAATATAAAAATAAGATCTATTTTATAAACTCTTTTTTATTAATAACTAACTTAAAATTTATAAACTTTCCTAATAATAACAAAAACGAAATTAACTAAAATTTAAAAAATTTCCTTATAAAAATAAAAACGAATTAATTTATTTATTATACAATATATAATTAAGTACTATGTGGACACCTTTAAAGATATTTAACATCAACTTTTATTAATACTAGGTATTTATCCGCGCTATGCTGCATGATATTTTTCTAAATTTTGTATATATTTTTTATATAATAAAATTATTTTTATAATATAAATGAGTATTATATTCATTTTTTATTAGTTTAAGTTATGTATTTATATGTTTTAAATCTGAATAAACATTATATATCTTTAATTTTTTTACTTTTTGAAATTATAATCTACTATCAAATTTGTTTAGCTAACTATCTATAAATGTATATGTAAGAATAATATAATATATTTGTAAATACCTTCATGCTAATGGAAATTGTAATTTATTATTTGAATGTTATTAATAATTATGTGGTGATGTGTTTCTAACTTTAATATTGTTAATATAAAATATAATAGATCACAACATATACAAAACTTAATTCATGAAATAATGTTTTAATATGTTAGAAAAATATATGCATTAAAGAATTAATATGTGTAAAATAATATTTTTAAACAATTTAAATAAAAGCTTAAAATCGATCAAAATTATTCTTATTTAGTTTTTATCTTCTTTGACTCGTACTTTTTTTTAAATATATATAATAATATATTAAACATTAAGATCATTTCCAATATATTTTTCTATTTTTTCGTTAAAATATAAGTGGACTTCTCTCCAATTTATTTCTATTTTACAGGAAAAATGTTATTTTTTCCTCTAAAATTTGAAGAAAAAATAACAACCTTTCTTTTTACCCCTAAATTAGAAGATTTAAAATAAAGATGGGTTGAAGATGCTTTAAACAAAAAATATAGCTTGAGATTTTTACATAAAACTAAAGCCGTAAAGTTTTATTTTTACTTTTTAATCATATATATAATATTATAATTAAAAAAATTAGCTAACAGGATACTTATAATTTATTTTTCTATCTGTTTATTTTTTTTGTTTCATTTATAATTTTTAATTCTTACTATATAATGAGAATTTATTAATATATGATAGAAATCTTTTTTTTATTTAAAATGAGATTTATTTAGTTTTAATTTAACCAATCAAAACATTTCGTTTATTTTAGGAAATTTGCCATGTCACATTTACGAGGTGACATTGTTTTGCATAACTTTTGCTAAAGTGATAACACATCAGATGTTTTTATTAAATATGCTTCTCAAATAATAGTTAAGATAGATTGTGGTATATCCAAATTTAATTAGGAGACATGTTTTCCATTTTTTGGTCGAAGATTTGTTTAGTGAAAGGAATATATCCAAAAAAAATTATTAGGAGACAAGTTTTCGTTTTGTGCTGTGTCTATTGTATGCTTGAAGGAAAACTGTCGTTGACCAAAGAGATATATATAAATATAAGAAGAAACTCTAGACACGTACAACGACAACAAAAATATCTAAGAATGAGCAAATCAGAGTTAGAGAAACCGATCGAAAGGCAGAAGAAGAAGAAGAATAAGACGAAGGAGAGGAACATGGATCTTCCGGAGGACATAGTGATAAACATAATCACAAGATTGTCGATGAAAAGTCTCGTTAGATTCAAGTCTGTGTGTAGAGAATGGAAATCGTTTACGGACTTTAAATTCTTCCGTGATCTCTACGCAAGCAACTCCAGTTCAACCTCTTGTTCTAATTGGTCGATCCTCCAAGTCCACAGAGATCATGGAGAATCGAAACATTATAGTTTGGAGGAGATTAAACTCGATTTACCACGTGAGTCAAGGCATGGTAACACTTCTTTTGCGAGTTGTTTTACTCTAAACAAGAAGAACTATAAGATCAAGAGATTAGGGTTGTGGCTTGCTGTGATGGATTGGTTTTGCTGCGTCTCGAACCCGATGACGATGAGGAGGACATGACGACACGTTACTACATTGGGAATCCTATGCTACCACAATGGATTCAACTCAGGGATTTGCCACGCCGTCGTCGTTTCCACGATCTGTGCCTTGTGACCCGAATGCACAATCATACCCTCTTAGGTTACAAGGTGGTGGTTTTGGGACGTATGCTACAGAGCCAGGATGGTTCTCCAACATATGAATTTATGATTTTTTCATCGGATACGGGTGAATGGAGAGTTAAACAAGTGCTCACTGGTCCTGGACCTCGTTTGATTTGTAACCTCATCACAGTTTTAATTTAACGCTGACCGTTAAGATTTTAACAGTATTGTAGACAGAAGGGTTTTTTCATAAACAGACTTATAGTTGAGGAGTTTTTACATTAAATATATAGTTGAGGGAAGTTTCTTCGATCCATCTTTAATTGAGGGGTTTTTTCACTAAAAACACATAAAAGTTAGAGACAAACATTATAGAAAGTTGGGCTTTTTCTGCCAATACTGGTGTTTTATATATACATATCTTTAGGATACACTGCAATCTAATTTAAAAAATTTAATAACTGATGAAAAAATGGAAAAAAAAAACAATAAACATGGTCTAAAAAGTAAAAAGAAATGTTTCACAAAATATTTAGTATTTTTGTTTAATTTGATTTTTAATTTAATTTTATATGTTTAGTTAGTTTATCAGTGAGATTTACAATACAATTAAAAAAATTATGCAAATTTTGGTATATGTTTTATTAGATTTTAATTTTTTTCATTTGACTTATTTGCGATTATTGAATAAAATAAACCAAAGTATATAACTATACAAAATCAATATATACTACAACAACTACTTAATCAACTACGTACATAACTTGTCGCCATCTTTAAATGTCTTTATCCACATCACATAGCTTTTTTACAATAAATTTTGCACATTCCAAACGTTCACTAGTTTTCTTATAATGATGTGTTTCAACTATAATTTGATCGTTTACATTGATGAATACCTTTAAAATGAATAATAAAACTCAAACAATTTATTAGTAGATTCTTTGGCCCGTGCAAGCGTGGACAGCACACCTAGTATGATTTAAATAGATTTTTAAAAAAAAATTGTGATATAAAGACATCAACAAAAATGGCCTCTAATGCATACTTCTCTTTTAATATATCATAGATTTAGGATCCAGATTTCAAATTTTGTATTGAACCCCATAAACTTCAGGCACAAACAGAATACAAATCGAAAAGTTCCTAATAATGTTTTTGGATATATTATTTACTAAAAAGCTCAATGAAAAGTTATTTACTATCATAATTTTATGCAAAATCAATAAAAAAAAAATTATATGAGAGACACCTTTTCCAAGAAGAATGCAATGAGGAAACAAAATGATAGCAATATGCATAGAGAATGAAAAAAATATATATATATCAATATTATACTAACTTGGGTTCCAACGTAGGTACGACTTGCAAGGACGGAACAAATTGCGAAAGGCACGACCATCCCTCCAAGCATAAAACGTCTACAAGTCTGTGTGTATAGGATGGAAATCGTTTACGGAATCAGCACTCTTCCGAGATCTCCACCATAGCGACAATGCGAGGTGGCACATTATCATTATCATTAGTTGTTTAAATTTTTGTTATTTTTTTATCACCATAAATATTTGAAATCAACTATCTTATAGTAAATTAATTTATATGTTTTCTTTTTATATCAAAATTTATCATTTTGAATACTCTATAAATAAAAATTTGTTTTATTTGATTTGGATATAAAAAAGTATTAAAAATAAATAAAAATGGTGGGATGTAGTAATTTTATTAAACAAAACTATTATAGAGTTCAGAAATTAAATAAATGTTGAATGATTATGTGGAAGAAAGAGAAGATGATGTGGAATGTTAAAATCTAAAAAATAAGGTGTTGAAAGTTGAAACCATTATACATAATAGAAACCCTAAACTAAGAATGAGCAAACCGGAGTTAGAGATACCGATCATCAAAAGACAGAAAAAGACGACGAAGGAAATATGGATCTTCCGGAGGAATTAGTGATAAACATAATCGCAAGATTGCCGATGAAAAGTCTCGCTAGGTTCAAGTCGGTTTATAGAGAATGGAAACCGTTTACGGAATCTAAATATTTCCGACATCTCTACCATAGCAACACCAGTTCAACCTCTTGTTCTAATTGGTCGATCCTCCGCAGAGATGTTGGATCGAGACGTTCTGGCTTGGAGGAGGTGAAACTCGATTTGCCGCGTGAGTCAAGGCATGGTAATACTTCCTTTGCGAGTTGTTTTACTCTAAACACGAAGAACATTAAGATCAAAGAGATTAGGGTTGCGGCTTGCACTGATGGATTGGTTTTGCTGCGTCTCGAACTCGATGACATGACCATACGTTACGACATTGGGAATCCAGTGCTACAACAATGGATTCAACTCCCTCCTCCTCCTATTCCTAGAGGGTCATCCCATTATAATTACAATGATTCGGGACTTGTGACACGAATGCACAATCACACCCTCTTGGGTTACAAGGTGGTTCTGATACATAGGGAATTTCGTAGTTTTCCAACATATAGATTTTTTATTTTCTCATCGGATACGGTTGAATGGAGTTTACAGGTGCACTCTTGTCCCGGTCCTAGTACTAATGTTACTAGCAGGACATCTAATCCGGTTTCTTTGAATGGGAAACTTCACTGGCTTGATCTCTCGGGCCATATTACTGTCCATGATTTCTTCTCTAACGATGATCAAGTTCGAGCCATAAGCCTACCCGCCAAGATGCAAGGCAGTCCTCGTCCAAGCGGTATGATGGTCTACACCACCTCGCAAGGATCGTTTGTGCTTATTGATGTTGAATTTATGGAAGATGTCACCAAGAGCTATAACGTTAGGATCTGGAGGCTCAAGTGTGACTCTTGGAGCTGGGAAAAGGCATGGGATATCAACTTGGCTTGTGTAGGGCTTGGCCGTAGCTGTGTTCCAATGGCGATCAACGTTTTTGATATCGACATCATCTACCTATGGGATTTTCACAACAAATGCTTCCTCGCTTGTAACCTTCGGACAAATACAAAATCTTATGGAGCTCGTAAAGATGGTTACGCTATCTTCTTCGAGCGATGGTGGTGCCTTTCGCAGTTTGTTCCGTCCTTGCAAGTCGTACCTACGTTGGAACCCAAGTTGATTTAATATTTTATTCATTCTCTATGCATATTGCTACCATTTTGTTTCCTCATTGCATCCTTCTTGGAAAAGGTTTTTCTCGTGTAAAATATTTTGATTGATTTTGCATAAAAATTATGATACTAAATAACTTTTCGTAGAGTTTTTGTTCTGTCGTAAATTTGTCTGACAATCAGCAAAAACACAGCCACTTTATTGAACTATAAAATAGGGTTTGAATGGTATGCAGTTTTTTCACGTTTTCACGTTTTAGAAACTTGATTCTGTTATTTTTTACCATTCATGTTATTCATCACGTTTTTATGTTTTTTTATGTTTTTAAAACGTGATTCCGCTGGCGTGTTAAAAATATAACTAAAAAAAACAAAGGGTTTGAATAGTATGCAGCTTTTTCACTTTTTCACGTTTTGGAAACTTGATTCTGTTATTTTTTACTATTCATGTTATTCATCACGTTTTCACGTTTTTTTATGTTTTTGAAACGTGATTCCGCTAGCGTGTTAAAAATATAACTAAAAAGACAAAATGTGATTAATCTACTAAAAGTAGCTTTTCAGCATTTCACAATTATTCAGCTAAAATATTATTCTGTTCAGTTCATTCCGCTAGTAATTTTTTAGTTATTCTGCTATTCTGTTATTCATCTGACATACCAGTCAGACCCTATGTGTGCTTACTTTTTCATATGTTTGTGACTTCATCTCTGTACATATTTTGCCATCAGAAGAACTTGGGTCTTAAGAAACAAGGCTACAGTCACTATGAAGGTTTTTTTGGATTTCTGTATTCACAGGCTTTAAGAAAAATGCCCAAATTCCAGAACTGGCTTATAATCTTTCATGCCACGCTTTGTTGTGAAGCATAGTGAAATTAATCAGGTTTAATACTATGAATTTGATTTAAAAGACAGAACCAATTTTTTTTTTAGTACAGAAGCTGCATACAAGTTTCTTCAACTTGTAACAAATAATCAATGATTGGTAAAAGTTTCATACCAATCTTCAAATTCTTACTTCTCAAATTGTCGATTTTGAGGAATGACCAAACTCAATGAAACATGTTTTCCTCTGCCCACAAAATGAAGAAATATATATATTGAATCAGGCTCTCTGAATTCTGGTTCATTCAAGTATGAATACTGTGATTGTATACAAAAAAAAAATAAAACCCACTCACCAAATTGAGGAGTATTTTTAGGAGAAGGAACTATATATCCAAATTTAAATTTGGAGACAATATTTCCATTTTTGGTCGAGGATTTTCTTTGTGAAAAAGGAATAAATACCAAAAAAAAATAAAAAAAAAATTAGGAGACAAGTTTTGGTTTTCGTGTTCAGTCAATAAATTGGCATATCAAACAGGCTGGCCCAGTCTAAGACACGTATAGTCCGCATATATTTAAGTTTGATCCAACCCGGCCGAAGATATATCAAATCTATGTTTTGAAGGTCGGCCCGGTCCTAACAGGATTATCAAGTTTTTTAGGCTTTTTTGAGTTTTTTTAAAAAATAAAATAAATTTTAAATATAAAATAAAGTAATAAGTAGTTAGTAAAATTAAATTTAAATTTAAATAATTATATTTTATCAAATCTAAAACAAAACTTTAACTTATTAAATTCATATAAATTCTAATATCAAATATAAATAAATAAATAAGTAATCTAAATGGTAGATTTTGATATTGACTTACAATATTGAAAACGACGACAAAGGTTGGTGAAAATGCTTCTTAAAACTAGTTTAGTTTGAACATTAGGTTTATATGAAGGCATACAACTAAAAATTAAGGTTTTAGATTAACAGAAATATTATAAACAAAAAATCGATAACTCTAATTTTTAAAAATATGTAAAACTAAATCTTTAATAAATTTTTTAAAATAAACACTAATATAAATTACAAGGTTTTTGGGAGTTTAAGTCAATTTTTTGGATTTTTATACCAAATTTTGAATCCGATATTTTTCAGGGCCGGGCCGGCCTTCCGGGCTTTAGCCCAAATTGACATCAACAAGAAGAAACCCTAAACTCGAACGCAAGAAACACGCACCACCAACACCGACAAAAGAATCTCAGAATGAGCAAACCGGAGTTAGAGACACCGATCATCAAAAGACAGAAGAAGACGACGAAGGAGAGAAACATGGATCTTCCGGAGGAAGTAGTGATAAACATAATCGCAAGACTACCGTTGCAAAGTATCGTTAGATTCAAGTCTGTGTGTAGAGAATGGAAATCGTGTACTGAATCTAAATTCTTTCGAGATCTCTACCATAGCAACTCCAATTCAACCTCGTGTTCTAATTGGTCGATCCTCCGCGGAAAACGCGGACCGAGACATTCGAGTGTGGAGGAGATCAAACTCGACTTACCGCGTGAGTCAAGGCATGTTAATACTTCTTTTGCGAGCTGTTTTACTCTAAACAAGAATAATAATATGATCGAAGAGATTGGGGTTATGGCATGCACTGATGGATTGGTTTTGCTGCGTCTCGAACCCTTCGATGACTTGATGGTACGTTACTACATTGGGAATCCTATGCTACCACAATGGATTCAACTCCCTCCTCCTTCTCTTCCCATAGGGTCATCCCATCATAATTACAATGATTCGGGACTTGTGACACGAAAGCACAACCATACCCTCTTGGGTTACAAGGTGGTTCTGATACATAGGGAACTTAGTAGTTCTCGAACATATAGATTTTTGATTTTCTCATCGGATACGGGTGAATGGAGTGCTAAACAAGTACTCTCTTGTCCTGGTCCTCGTACTAATGTTACTATCAGGACATCTAATCCGGTTTCTTTGAATGGGAAACTTCACTGGCTTGATCACTCGGGGCATATTATTGTTCATGATTTCTTCTCTCACGATGATAAAGTTCGAGCCATACGCATACCCGCCAGGAAACAAGGCGAACGCTATCCATTTTCTGTCAATCATCCAAGCAAGAAGATTATCTGCACCACATCGCAAGGAACTATGTGCTCATTGATGCTGAATGGGTACAAGATGTCAACAAGAGCTATAACGTTAGGATTTGGAGGCTCAAGTGTGATTCTTGGAGCTGGGAAAACGCATGGGATATCAACATGGCTCGTGTAGGGCTTGACCGTAAATGTATTATGGCCATCAACGTTTTTGACATCGACATCATCTATCTGTGGGAATTAGACACCAAATGCTTCCTTGCTTGTAACCTTCGGACACATACAAAATCTTATGGAGCTCGTAAAGATGGTTACCCTTTTGAAACTCGTAAAACTGTCTGCAAGGAAGATAGTCTCTGCTTCGAGCCACGGTCGTCGCTTTCGCAGTTTGTTCCGTCCCTGCAAATCGTACCTACGTTGGAACCCAAGTTGATATAATATTGCTATCATTTTGTTTTCCTCATTGCATATCCTTCTTGGAAAAGATTTCTCTCGTGTCAAAAAATTTGTTTGATTTTGCATAAAATTTTGATTGTCTGTCGTAAATTTGTCTGACAATCAGCAAAAACACAGCCACTACTTTAAACTATAAAATATGTGTGATTGACATTCAAAGTTTCTTTTAACAAAAATTACTTTTTCATCTGCTTGTGACTTCTCTCTGTACATATTTTGCCATCACAAGAACTTGGGTCCCAAGAAACAAGGCTACACTCACTATCATTGACTCATTGTCAAAGCAGCAGCTAAGCCTAAGATGTTATCTTTAACTGGTAAAGTTGTTCGTGTCTCAACGAGAAATATATATATTGCAGATCAGCAAATTAAACCTCCTAAGGACAATTATGGTCAATGTCCTCATATGAAGGAGTTTTTTTGGATTTCTCTATCTACAAGCTTTAACTTAGATTATTGAGATTTGACAATATGAAAGGGTTTTTGGAACAGATTATTGAAATTTGACAACATTTTAGATCATGAAACTTTATTATTTACAGATTAGTTTAGGCAATTAGTTTATGTGTCTTGTAATATTATTTTTACTAAAAATATTTTATGAGAGTATAATAATAATTATTCCTAACCATATTTGTATAACTGTATATCCAAATCGAATTAGGATTTAGGAGACAAAATTTCCATCTTCTGTTCGTGAATTTGCTTTGTGAAAAAAAGAATATATCCAAAAAAGTTATTAAGAGATCACAAGTTTTTGTTTTGTATTCTGTTTGTGCCTGAGATTTATGGGGTTCAATACAAAATTTGAAATCTGGATCCTAAATCTACAATATTGATATTTAGCAATGGACATAGTTACTTGTCTTGTCTTGAATACACATTCATATCTAGCTTCTTCACCATTGCCACTTATTCTATTATTTTTATGAATAATCTTATTATATAGACTCTTCTATGAACGAATGCTCGTCCACAGTAATTATATAATTAACTGCCCAATTTTTATTAAAGATGTTAGGTATATAACTCGCGCTATGCGCAAGTCTGTATTAATATTTGATTTTTTTTTAATTACTATCTTTAAAATTATTAAAAATTATATATATTTATAGAAATTTTTATTTATACAAGAGAATTTAATATATAATGTGTAATTTATCTTATTTTTATTTATAAATTTTTAAAAACTATTAAGTAAAATAATAACAATGAGACCTATCGAATTATCCAACTTTGCCGTACATATACATTTGATTTAGAGAAATATAATATTGCTAAGATTTTGGTATTATTTTCTGTTTTTCATATAATTTATATAGTTCTTTTTTTTAAAAGGTTTATGAGTTCAAATATTTAGTTTTTTTATTAAAAGTCTTATTGATGTTGTGTACCACTGTATATATAATCCATGATTCATGTTGACTCATATTTAATTTTGTTAGAAAGTTATAATAATCATGCAAAACTATTTTTTCCTTCTCCATCATGTCTTCCAAGAGTTTTATGTTATATTTTTATTCAGTTTTCATTGTTTTAATTGTTAAATCGAGTTGTTGTAAATTTTTTTAAATTGATGATTGATAATGGTTACTTTTTTTATACATGTATTGTTAATTGTAAATTTTTTTTATTTAACTTTTAAATTTTCAAACCATATTAACATTTTCTGATTTAATAAATATGTCGATTTAGATCACTCAGATTGAATTTACTTTTTTGTTGGACATAATTTGTTAAATTAATTTTTAATTTTTAATTATACTTAATAATTTTTGGTTTTGTTTAAAAGCTGATGTTAACAAATTAAATCACGTTTTTCCGTCCTAATCATATTTAGCATTTTTTATTTAATAAATATGCTGTTGTAGACCAATCAGATCAAGTTTTTTAATCCCATGTGGACGCCCTCAATGCACTATGCCATCAAATTTTATATATTATATGATTTTGAGAAATATACAAGTCTAAAAATGAGGAAAAACGAAAAGAAATGCATAAATTGGCAGAAATGCCTTTTTTTAACTAAAACTGAAAAATGTCTTTCTACGGTCTATATTAAAAGAGAAGTATGCATTGGAGGCCATTTTTGTTGATGTGTTTATATCAAAAATTTTTTTTTACTTTTTTCTAAATCTATTTTTTTGTCTACATTCTAAATCTATTTAAATTATATTAAATTTATTTTCAAACGTTCTATGCTAAAATTAATTGTAAAACACTATTAAAGGTAACTAAAAATTTTTAACAATAAATTTAAATAAAAACAAAATATTCAATAAAAACAAAAAATTTAAATTATATTTTTATATAACAAAATCTAACATTTATTCAAAACTATTCATAATTTATTTAATAATCATTTCATCCTACTCAATGCATGGGTACTATCCTAGTAGTATATAAAAATAACAAATTGTTAAAAATTGATGATTTCTTTAAAAAAAAAAAAAATTAGAGATCCTCATATGTATCTGCTTTATGCACTGTCTATATATAAACAAGAAGAAACCCTAAACTCCTAACACAGGATCACGCACAACACCGACAAAAAGAATCTCAGAATGAGCAAACCGGAGTTAGAGATACCGATCAAAATACAGAAGGAGAGCACACAGGAGAGAAACATGCATCTTCCGGAGGAAATAGTGATAAACATAATCGCAAAATTACCGATGAAAAGTCTCGTTAGATTCAAGTCGGTGTGTAGAGAATGGAAATCGTTTACGGAATCAGCACTCTTCCGAGATCTCCACCATAGCAACTCCAACTTCAACCTCTTGGGCGATCCTCCACGGAAATTTTGGACCGAAACATTCTAGCGTGGAGGAGATGAAACTCGATTTACCGCGTGAGTCAAGGCATGGTAATACTAGTTTCGCGAGTTGTTTTACCCTAGACAAGAAGAACAATAGGTTCAAAGAGATTAGGGTTGTGGCTTGCAGTGATGGATTGGTTTTGCTGCGACTCGAACCCGATGACGATGAGGAGGACATGACGATACGTTACTTCATTGGGAATCCTATGCTACCACAATGGATTCAACTCCCTCCTCCTCCTCCTCCTCCTCTTCCTAGAGAGTATCATCCGCTACTCCAACATGGTTGTTACATTGACTCGGGACTGGTGACACGGGTGCACAACGGTGCCCTCTTAGGTTACAAGGTGGTTCGGATACATAGCCAAGCACTCCACGCGTATAATTTTGAAACATGGAGTTTTGAGATTTATTCATCGGATACGGGTGAATGGAGTGTTAAACAAGTTCTCCCTGGTCCTGAACTTTGTGGTCTCTCCAGATCCAATACCGTTTCTTTGAACGGGAAACTTCACTGGCGTGATATCTCTGGCCATATCATTGTCCATGATTTCTTCTCTCACGATGATCAACTCCGAGCCATACGCCTACCCGCCAGGAAACAAGGCGAACGCTATCCATTTTCTGTCAACCCTCCAAGCAAGAAGATGATCTACACCACATCGCAAGGATACTTTGTGCTTATTAATGTTGGATTGATGGAAGATGTCAACAAGAGCTATAACGTTACGATTTGGAGGCTCAAGTGTGATACTTGGAGCTGGGAAAAGGCTTGGGATATCAACTTGGCTTGTCTAGGGCTTGGCCGTAGCTGTGTTCCAGTGGCAATCCACTGTTTTGATATCGACATCATCTACCTATGGGACTTAGACACCAAATGCTTCCTCGCTTGTAATCTTCGGACAAATACAAAATCTTATGGAGCTCGTAAAGATGGTACTCCTCCCATCGACTCTACTTCTCAAAACCCTTTAGAGACTCGTAGAACCGTCTACAAGGAAGATGATTTCTGCATCGACCCACGTTCTTACGTTTCGCCTTTTTGTTCCGTCCTTGCAAGGAGTCCCGGTCCAAGATATGATGTAGTGTTGATCTAATTTGTTTTTAATGCTCTGTGTACATTGCTATCATTTTGTTTCCTCATTGTATCCTTCAAATAGTTTTGATTGATCTTACATAAAAAATTATGATTAGTGTAAATAACTTTTCATTGATTTTACATTAATTTCATGTTCAGTAACACCAAAAAAAAATAAAAACATAAGTAAAAAAACATTAATTTGAACACCGAGTTCCGTTTGCAAATGTTAACCAGAGAATCACATAACAATGTGAAAAGCAACATTTAACTTTGCATATGCGATAACAAACAAACCCCAAATCTTTGTGTTTCTCTTTTACACCACACTTGCATCACTTGACCTAAGCTCTGTTATTGACCCTTATTGTATATGCTTCACAAATGATTGTCGAAAGAAGAAGGTGAGAAGATCGTAGAGAAGCTTAAGGCACTTGGTACAAAAGTTGTTTTGGAGTGAATCAATGAATAAATCAATCCAGGTCTGTGTGTTTCTCTTGGTTTCCATCTATGAGCTGAAGATACTGGTAATATATAGGAGCGAATCAAGATTTCATAAGGCCACTTTTTATCTCATTGCTATAATATGGTTTTGAGAGATTAAATGTATCGAAAAATAAATCGATGCTTGTTTTAGTGTTTATTCAATGGTTTTGATCTTTGATTCTGAAATCAAGCATATTTCGCTTGGCTACGGTCTTGAATCTGAAATCTGTTAGCATAAATTCAAATAACAAATTAATGGCTGCGTATTTGAATCAAACTCTGATTTCTGAATACTGTTTATATAGAAGAAGAAAAAAAAAATTAGTGAAAGAGGAATATATCCAAAAAACATTATTAGGAGACAAGTTTTGGTTTTGTGTTGTGTCTTTTATATGCTTAAAGGAAAACTCTCGCTGACCAAAGAGAGATACAGTATATATATAAATATAAGAAGAGACCCTAAACTCGTAACACGAAGAAGACGAAGGAGAGAAACATGAATCTTCCGGAGGATATAGAGATAAACATAATCGCAAGGTTACCGATGCAAAGTATGGCTAGATTCAAGTCTGTGTGTAGAGGATGGAAATCGTTTACGGAATCTAAATTCTTCCGTGATCTCTACGCAAGCAACTCCAGTCCAACCTCTTGTTCTAATTGGTCGATCCTCCGCAGAGATGATTTATCGACACACTCTGGTTTGGAGGAGGTTAAACTCGATTTACCGCGTCAGTCAAGGCATGGTACTACTTCTTTTGCGAGTTTTTTTACTGAAATCAAGGGCATGTACAATAAACTTGATACACACAAGGTTTTGGCTTGCACTGATGGATTGGTTTTGCTGCGTCACAATGACTTGCCTCTACGTTACTACATTGGGAATCCCGTGCTGCGACAATGGATTCAACTCCCTGCTGTAAACAATGATTATACTTACAATGAGTTGGGGCTTGTGACACGAATGCACAATCACACCCTCTTGTGTTACAAGGTGGTTCTGATAGAGAAGGAATGGAGTGGTTCTCGAACATATAGATTTTTGATTTTCTCATCCGATACGGGTGAATGGAGTGCTAAACAAGTTCTCTCTTGTCCATGTCCTAGTACACCTAATCCGGTTTCTTTGAATGGGAAACTTCACTGGTTTGATCCCACGGGCCGTATTATCGTCCATGATTTCTTCTCTAATGATGATCAAGTTCGAGCTATAAGCCTACCCACCAAGATGCAAGGCAGTACTCGTTCAAGCGGTCAGCTGGTCTGCACCACCTCGCAAGGATCTTTTGTGCTTATTGATGTTGGAGTTATGGAAGATGTCACCAAGAGCTATAACGTTAGGATCTGGAGGCTCAAGTGTGACTCTTGGAGCTGGGAAAAGGCTTGGGATATCAACTTGGCTTCTCTAGGGCTTGGCCGTAACTGTGTTCCAATGGCGATCAACTGTTTTGATATCGACATCATCTACCTATGGGACTATTACAGCAAATGCTTCCTCGCTTGTAACCTTCGGACAAATACAAAATCTTATGGAGCTCGTAAAGAAGTTTACCCTTTTAAAGATACTCTCTGCTTGGAGACATGGCCGCGCCTTTCGCAGTTTGTTCCGTCCTTGCAAGTCGTACCTACGTTGAAACCCAAGTTGATCTAATATTTTGTTCATTCTCTATGTCTATCGCTATCATTTTGTTTCCTCATTGCATCCTTCTTGGAAAAGGTTTCTCTCGTGTCAATTTTTTTTTGATTGATTTTGCATAAGATTATGATACTAGATAACTTTTCTTTGAGTTTTTGTTCTGTCATAAATTTGTCTGACAATCAGCAAAAACACAGCCACTTCATTAAACTATAAAAATATGTATGATTACTTTTTCTTATGTTTGTGACTTCATCTCTGTACATATTTTGCCATCACAAGTCCAAGGAAACAAGGTTAACATTCACTATCATTGTTAAAGTGGCAGTTAAGGCTAAGAATGTTTTCTTTAACTGGAAAAAATTGAGCATGTCTCAACTAGAAATATATATTGCAGTATCAGCAAATCAAAACTCCTATGACAGGTGAGCAATGGTCAACGTTTTTTGGATTTCTCTATTCACAAGCTTTAAGAAAAATGCCCCAAGTTCCAGAACTTGCTTATAATCTTCATGCCACGAATTTGTTGTGAAGCATAGTCAAACTTATCTGGTTTAGACTATAAATAGGTTAAGCCAAATATCGTCGTCACTAATGAAGTGGTGGATATATGGTTTCCTCTATTTATAGGGTCCTGAATCAATGTTATAAAACTTAATAAAATGTGTTTGGTAGGAAAGAAGAGAGAGAAAAAAAAATAAGGAAACACACAGCAACATTGCATAGTTTTTGTGAGATGATTTTTGCGCAATGGCATCACATAGCTATTGTATTGTTTTATGTGTCTCAGTTATTGGTTCATCGGATTGAAATCGATTCAGATATAACTGAGGATTGTTATGATAGCTGTGGAAGATATGATTGATATGTTCATCCTTTTATTGTAGCATTTTAACTATCCGAATTGTATTATAATAGTTAAGTCTCTTTGAAACTTAATTAAGTTGATTGGAGTCGATGAAAAACAGCGACAGTTTCGTTACTTTCTTTTTAATTATGTTGAGATTATGTGAGAACAAACGGAGCTAGTGACATGGTCGGGAAAGGTTAAGGACAAAAACATCTCATAAGCTTTTGAAGCAACCAAGAAAGAACTAAGACAGCTTTTAACAGAATTTTCCCCCAAAACAAAATTGACCAGACTAACACTTAAAGATCCACTTCTGTAATGATCATTTGTCATTTGAGGTCGAAGCAGCTTTTGCCGCATACTTGACTAACACGCCGGTTAAGAGAGCCTTCTCCTTCACCTTTAACCTACGAAATCGTTGTTACAAGATATCAATCAGTCAAGTAAAAAAAATTCTACATTTGTAACTTTTCTCAGCTGTTTTTTTTTTTACCTCTTTGAAGATCCTGGAATTTCTATGCTTGATGGCTTTTTTCGCAATTGTAGCTTCACTATTTAGTAAGCTTTTCCTTGTCAACACAAGATTGCTAGGCCCAAACCGAAATGAATGAGAACCCTGCAATTTCTGGCTGCAACGATCAAAAGAAAGCTCACACACACACACCGTACGGTCAGGCCACTTGTTGACTCCCAAAAACATTCAAGGCTATCATCATATCACACGTGGCGGTGAATTTCTTCTAGGTCTTTTCTCTCTCTCTCTCTCTGTGTATAAATACGTTATGAGCTAATAATAAACAAGAACCATCTAATTCCCAGATCTAGCTTCAAAAAGCTTCTTCCTTTTTTTTGGCTTACACTCCTCTTTTACTTTCATACCAAATAACAATGAAGTTGAACTTCCCTGGTCTTCTCAAGTTCCGTGGTCTTACCACTTCTCTGCTCACTCCTATGGAGTATGAGAAAGCTTCAATCAAGCATAAGGCTCTTACCCTGGCTCTTATGTACACCTTCATGCTCTTCTTCATGGCAAATCCCAAGGACCACGTCAACAGCACCAGCTCCGAGAATCAAAAGCTCGTCCACGCCGCTGGTTATTCTGTAATGGTTTACGCCGCCATGTCTTCCACCGATGGCTTACTTCGTCTCCAATTTCCAGGGCTCAGAATCTTCGATGAGCTCGCTATTCTGGCTGCTTATACTAGTTTATCGAGGGTGATTGGGCTTGTGTTTGAAGAAGCCTTTATCTACTACGGAGCTGCTTTTGCTATTCTGATGGTGTCCTCTGGATCTCAGGTGTTGATGTTAAAGTACGGCCAAGGCCCAAGCCCCAGTGATCTAAAAGAGAAATCTACCAAAGATATCATTGCAGCCGTGGCTAGTATCGACTCTCCGGCAGCGGCAAACGCCATCACCACGATGGCTCTTTTTGCTATAGTCAACAAACCTCGAGATCCTTCTACTGTGGCCTTAGTAGAAGCTGCATTAAAGGTCATCAAAGCTCCTGTCGCCGCCTAGCCTGAAGTTCATACCGGTGGTTGCTGTGGTTTACTTGGTTACGCTCCGGCCGTAGTAGTGGTTTAGTTCTTTTTTTTTTTAAAAAAAAAAAATTCTATTAAGACTAAAGTCAAATTTTAGTAGCCTATACTAGTCAAGATTCTTTCAACTGTATTTCAATTCGGATAGCTCAAATACCACACAAAAAGGAAGAACATATCAATCATATCTTCCACAGCTATCATAACTGGACAAACCTCAGTTATATCTGAATCGATTTTAACCCGCTGAACCAATTACCCAAGACACAGAAAGCAATAGCTATGTGATGCCATTGCGCAAAATCATTGTAAGGCCCTTTACAAAACTACGCAATGCTGCTGTGCGATTCCTTATATATATTTTTTCTCCTCTCTCCTACCAAAACACATTTTATTAAGTTTTAGAACATTGATTGAGGAAACCATTCATCCAAGTACCACTTCATTAGTGACGATATTTGGATTAACGTATTCATAGTCTAAACCAGATAAGTTTCACTATGCTTCACAACAAAGCGTGGCATGAAGATTATCAGCAAGTTCATGGAACTTGGGCATTTTTCTTAAGGCTTGTGAATAGAGAAATCCAAAAACCCTTTTATATGAAGACATTATATTGACCATTGCTCAACTTTCATAGGAGGTTTGATTCGCTGATCTGCAATATATATTTCTACAGTTGAGACATGAAAAACTTTTCCAGTTAAAGATAACATCTTTAGCCTTAGCTGCCACTTTGACAATGATAGTGAATGTTAACCTTGTTTCTTAGGACCCAAGTTCTTGTGATGGCCAAATATGTACAGAGATGAAGTCACAAACATATGAAAAAGTAATCACACATATTTTATAGTTTAATGAAGTGGCTGTGTTGTTGCTGATTGTCAAAAAAAATTACGACAGAAAAAAAACTCTACGAAAAGTTATTTAGACCATCCGCATCGGTCATACCGTATCTAAAGTATATTATACTAGTGGATAATCCGCGCTTTGCACAAAATTTTTACATATCATTTTATGTAATTACAAAATATCAATTTACTTAATCGTTAATAGATCTAATCTTTTAATATCCATATTCATAAATAAAAATTATAGAGCCGCAATATCTAATTTTAATCCTACTTGTTAATTTTGGATCTAAATATATATTAAATATTATATTTACATTCTCACTTTTAAAATTTGAGTCAAAATTTATTTATACTACATTAAATTTTTTATAAATGTATAAAGGTTCTCGAAACACATTGATATGTTTTCGATAATGTTTGATGTATTTCTACTATGCTCTCTCTCTCTCTCTCTCTCTCTCTCTCTCTCTCTCTCTCTCTCTCTCTCTCTCATAAACACAACATATTGAACTATACTGATAAAATTTTGGTCCGATTTTAACTTAGCATTCATTATCTTTCTCATAATTTCTCTTATTTTCTTCTTCTCGTCATTCTCAATGTCTACTCTTTCACCTAAATGTCGTATAATTTTTATAATTTTGTACATTGTCTACTCATATAATTTTATCAAATTTTTACTCGAATATTGTATTGTACATGTTAGAGTTTTCTAGATTACAGATTTTACCTTTTATAACATATATTCTTGTTATTCGAGCTTTTAGAAAATCATGTGAGTATTCAAAATACATGTTTTGTCTTAATATTTTTGATGGTGAGAATTGTTTTTGACAATTATTATCATTGTTAGAGGAATTTCGCTCACTTAATACTGATATTTAACCATAAAAAATTCAGAATGCATATTTTTGTCCCCCCTATAACACGCTTATTTTTCTAATTTAATACTTTTTATTTTTATTTTTATTTTTTATTTTTTAAATATATTTTAATAACAATATATATTTTCTATTTACTAATATTTATTGATCTTTAAAAAATTATATTATAGATGATAGTATTGTTTTTTATTTTCTGATAATATTTTTTGGTTTTGGTCTAAATTTATACATGGCTTATCATTTATAGAAACTTTATAATTATAAGACTAAGTACATATTTATTTATCTTTTAAAGGATTAAACATCATAAAGTCTTCAAATTAGTGTGATAATAGATCTTGTTATTATAGATTAGAAAGTTTATTATTAAATTAATATTGTTATTATAAATATATATATATATATATTGTAATATTTTTATATTTTAAAATTGTTTTAGATCTGAAAAATTATTTTTGAATTTAGCAAGATTATATATAAATATAATTGGTTTTAAATGTTTCTTATTTTTTATCTGTAATAAAATAAATAAAAGTATATAATTTCACTAATAATATGAAGAGAAAATTACAAATTAGTAATATTATTGTTAATATTTGATGTATTTTTTTAAAGTAAATATTGTAATAAACTATAGAAATAAATATGATAAATCATAAAACTAAAATTATAAAATTCAAAATTTCTTTAAATCAATATATAAGCTATTTCTTATAGGAAGTGACTCTTCAAATTCTACTTATTAAATTAATAATATAGTTTGTAAAAGAGCTCATGTGGCAAAAATTTAGAATATGAGCTGATGATGTGGCAGCTTAAGAAGAGATTTCATTCTCCTTTATATATATAGATTAATATAATTTAATAATTTAATTTAATTTTAAATAATTAGAAAATTAAACCAATAACAAAAAGCCACATAGATATAGAGTATCTCAACATTCTTAATTTCTTATGAACCTCTGCAACAAGTAGTTACGTCTCTAATTCTCTTCTTTCCTTTTTCACTTTTTAATTATTATTTTATATTCTTAAATACTATCTTACATATTCTCGATGAAGATGCTCTTAGAGTATGATTAATGGTGAGTCCCATAAGGGTTCTAAAGAAAAAAATTAAAATGGCAAGACTTTGCCACAGAATCGACTCTCTGCATAGGATCTATAGAATCGTCTCTCGCCACGTGGCGAAACACGATTCATCACTGTACCTTTTTTTTTAAATCAAATCTTTTTTCTTTTAATAATAAAAAAACTTTTAAGAGTTTCCCTAATCAAGTTCACCAATACAGGTGCTCTTACTATCATAATTTTATGCAAAATCAGTCAAATCAAATATTTTACACGAGAGAAACCTTTTCTAAGAAGGATGCAATGAGGAAACAGAATGATAGCCATATGCATAGAAAATGAACAAAATATTAGATCAATATTATATGAACTTGTGTTCCAACGTAGGTACGACTTGCAAGGACGGAACAAACTGCGAAAGGCGCGGCCATGTCTCGAAGCCGAGAGTATCATCAAAAGGGTAACCATCTTTACGAGCTCCATAAGATTTTGTATTTGTCCGAAGGTTACAAGCGAGGAAGCATTTGGTGTCTAAGTCCCATAGGTAGATGATGTCGATGTCAAAAACGTTGATCGCCATTGGAACACAGCTACGGCCAAGCCCTAGAGAAGCCAAGTTGATATCCCAAGCCTTTTCCCAGCTCCAAGAATCAGACTTGAGCCTCCAAATCCTAACGTTATAGCTCTTGTTGACATCGTCTTCCATCAATCCAACATTAATAAGCACAAAGTATCCTTGCGAGGTGGTGCAGATCATATTCTTGTGTGGATGATAGGGATGGCGTTCGATTTGCACCCCGGCGGGTAGGCGTATGGCTCGAACTTGATCATCATCGTGAGAGAAGAAATCACAGAGAGTAACACGTCTGTGATCAAGCCAGTGAAGTTTCCCGTTCAAAGAAACGGTTTCAAAAGGAACTCGACAAGAGGGTTCTTGTTCACTCCATTCACCCGTATCCGATGAAAAAATCAAAAAGTTATATTTTGGAGGACAATCCCATTTCACAAGTACCAGAACCACCTTGTAACCTAAGAGGGTGCGATTGTGCATTCGTGTCACAAGGCTTGAGTCAATGTACAAGGATTTGTTTGGGAAAAGAAGAGGAGGAGGAGGAGGAGGAGGGAGTTGAATCCATTGTGGTAGCACTGGATTCCCAATGTAGTAACGTATCGTCATGTCCTCCTCATCGTCATCGGGTTCGAGTCGCAGCAAAACCAATCCATCATTGCAAGCTACAACCCTAATCTCTTTGAACTTATAGTTCTTCTTGCCTAGGGTAAAACAACTCGCGAAACTAGTATTACCATGCCTTGACTCACGCGGTAAATCGAGTTTCATCTCCTCCAAACCAGAACGTATCGATCCGCTGAGGATCGACCAATTAGAACAAGAGGTTGAATTGGAGCTGCTTTCGTTGAGATCACGGAAGAATTTAGAGTCTGTAAACGATTTCCATTCTCTACACACAGACTTGAATCTAACGACACTTTTCATCGGTAATCTTGCGATTATGTTTATCACTATTTCCTCCGGAAGATCCATGTTTCTCTCCTTCGTTTTCTGCCTTTCGATCGGTATCTCTTGACTCTGATTTGTTATGTTAAGAGTTTAGGTCTCTTCTTATTTATGAGACAGCACAAAACGAAAACTTGTACCCTAATAATTTTTGTGTGGATATATATTCCTCTTTCACTAAACAAATCTTCGACCAAAAATATGGAAAACTTGTCTCTTAATTAAATTTGGTTATACAGTTCCTTTCCTTCTCACAAACCAAATCATCGAAAGAAAATAAAAAAAAAAGAAGATTAAATTGGGATACAGTTTCTTCTCCTAATGTATTACTCACCTAAGCCTGCGTTGTTAGTGAGTGAGTTTTCTTCTTCTTGTATATATATATACTTGAATGAACCAGAAAACAGAGTTTATGCCAAAAGGTTTCAGATTCAAGACCGTAGCCAAGCGAAATATGCTTTGATTCCGAGTCAAAAGATCAAAACCATTGAATAAAACACTAAACCAAAAGCCTACAGTTCCCAAGCATCGATTTTTATTTTGCAATACATTTTCAAGTAACAAAGATTCATATAGATTTCATCTCTCGATACCAAATTATAGCAATGAGAAACAAAGCTCAAGTGACCTAATGAAATCTTGACTAGCTCCTATTACCAGTTTCTTCAGCCCATAGATGGAAAACCAAGAGAAACACACAGACCTGGAGATTTGATTGATTGATTCACTCCAAAACAACTTTTGCACCAAGAGCCTTAAGCTTCTCTACGATCTTCTCACCTTCTTCTTTCGACAATCCAGCTTTCAAAACCGAAGGAGTCTTCTCCACCAATTCTTTAGCTTCCTTCAGACCCAAATCGGTAAAACTCCTCACCTCCTTTATGATCTTGATTTTAGCAGATGCTTCAAAGCCTTCCAGTTTAATCTCGAACACAGTCTTCTCCGGTTTAGCTTCCTCGCTCGCACCACCGCCGCCGCTTTGTCCCTGAGACATTCCTCCGCCGAGGATCCCGCCAGCTCCAGGTTTCATGACGGCGACGGCTGGTAGCTCCGTGATTCCTTTCTTCTTCATTATAATCGCGCCGAGCTCGGAGATTTCTGATAATGTTAGAGACGAGATCTCGTCGACGAGTCTGAACACACGCTCCGTTGGAGGACTACGGTGCTCTGTTGGATCGAATGTCGCTGGATCGTAATCGGTTGGGAGCTTCCTCTGATCGATTTCCTCTTCTTCTTCTTCATCCTCTTTTCTCGCTGCTTGTCCGTAGCTCCGGCAATCGCCGATGCGAGGAGCAAGTGATAGTCTGGAGATTTGAGATAACCTAGTTGATAAATGTTGACGGAATCTGAGAACTAAGCTCATCTTTTTTTAGCAATCGAAGCTCTATTATCTTCTCCGATTCCAGAAACAGAGCACCGGAATCTCACCGCGGAAAATATCAGTCGTAGGAAACGAAATGGGGGTTTTGCTTCATCTGGGGAAAGATGCCCTAAACAGTGAAAGAGAAATGACGCAGTGTGAAGTCTCAGATCAGTTAAACATCAAAAGGCCCATTAATCTCCACCAGTAGTAAAATAAGCCCAATAAGTACCTCGTTGGTCCAACTAACATCAAGATTTTGTTTATTTATTTGCCAGACATTGCACTATACATCGATTCTCATTCATTCTCTGACAAAGATATGGTGATGAAACATTTTCAGTTAAAAGGTATTATTGGTCAAAATTTTGTAAAAATATGATTGTTATGTGAAGTTATTACGTTTCAAAAAAAAGTTAAATTTATTTTAGACTATTTTATTGCACCGAATTAAGCCTACTATATAAAACAAAACAAGGGAGTGTTTTAGATGTTAGAAGAGACCAGAATGGTTTTTCCAAAATCAGACTGAATAATGAAAAGAGATGAAGACAATGGTCCATTTTTCTAACAAAAATTCGATAATTTTTTTTATGAAGACCAATCACTAATCTTATCTCTGTTTCAAAACATTTAACTTTGATAGATTATATTGTCTTCAGTGACATTTTACCATGGATGCGAAAAGAACCAAAATTCGAAGGAAAAATTAAACTTATCTGCAACGACTCGAACCAGGCACAAATTTTAACTAATTAATGATTGGCCCACTCGAAAGCAGGACCCTCCAAAAATAGGCGTATGCCACTTGGCGTGGAGAGCACACGGTATTCTTTAGTAAAAGGCGAAAGAATAGTTCGCTTTGTGCTCACCACATAGCTGCGTGATTTGCTAAGAAGGAACCAGACCTTTATTTATAATGCAACTTCTGCTACCAATTACTCCCAGTTACTCGATGTGGGACATTTTAGACAAAAAACCGAAAAAACGCTAGTAACCTAAACACTTATTATGGGCTTTGACAGGCCTAAAATAATATGGGCTTTATAACACAAAACTATTCTTATCGCATTTCTCAATTCTCACCCAAACCTGAAACGATTAAAATCTGGCATTGTTTCTTGATTCTTCTTCCATCAAAGCATTTTAAAGTCGCACCTATTGATGGTTACAACTTACAACGATGTTCTCTAGTGAACTAGTTGCGATTACAAACTGTTGCGATGTATAATCAAAGCATATATATAATTCAACTTGCATGATTCTCAAATTGTTCTGGATGTCCGTTTTGTGCAAAGAAGGGAGATAGGGCGTTACATTAGACACAGAGCAATTAGAAGAAACTAGATCAATATTATTACGTCATCTTTGGTTCCTATGTAGGTACGACTTGCAAGGACGGAACAAAATGCGAAACGAAAGAACATCGCTGGAACTGGAAGCAGCGAACATCTTCGCTGTAGATGGTTCTACGAGTATCTAGAGGGTTTCGAAAAGGAGCGTGGATGATAGTAACAATTTTACGAGCTCCATAAGATTTTGTGAGCGTCCCAAGGTTACAAGCTACGAAACAGTTGCCGTCTAAGTCCCAGAGGTAGATGATGTCGATATCAAAACAGTTGATCGCCACTGGAACACAGCGACGGCCAAGCCCTAGAGAATCCATGTTGATCTCCCGTGCCTTTTCCCAGCTCCAAGAATCACACCTGAGCCTCCAAATCCTAACGTCATAGCTTTTGTTATCTTGTAGCTGTTCAGCATCAATGAGCACAAAATATCCTTGCGAGGTGGTGCAGATCATCTTCTCGCTCGGAAGGTTGCGTTCGTCTTGCGTCCCGGCGGGTAGGCTTATGGCTCGAACTTGATCATCGTGAGAGAAGAAATCATGGACAATAATACGGCCCGTGTGATCAAGCCAGTGAAGTTTCCCATTCAAAGAAACCGTATTAGGTGTCTTGATCCTAGTAACGGGATTAGTACTAGGATCTGGACCAGGGAGAACTTGTTTAACACTCCATTCACCCGTATCCGATGAATAAATCTCAAAACTCCATGTTTGAGAATAACCTCTAGAAATTGCTAGGCTATGTATCCGAACCACCTTGTAAGCCAAGAGTGCACCATTGTGCATTCGTGTCACAAGTCCCGAATCGATGTAACCATCATGGGATGGCTCTCTAGGAGGGAGTTGAAACCAGGGTGGTAGCATAGGATTCCCAATGTAGTAACGTATCGTCATGTCCTCCTCATCGTCATCGAAGTCATCGAAGGTTTTGAGACGCAGCAAAACCAATCCATCAGTGCAAGCCACAACCCTAATCTCTCTGATCTTATAGTTCTTCTTGGTTAGAGTAAACAACTCTCAAAAGAAGTATTACCATGACTTGACTCACGCGGTAAATCGAGTTTCATATCCTTTAGACTAGAATGTGTCGATTCACAATCTCCGTGGAGGATCGACCAAATAGAACAAGAGGTTGAATTGGAGTTACTTTGGAAGAGATCTCTCAAGAATTTTGATTCAGTAAACGATTTCCATTCTCTACACACAGTCTTGAATCTAACGATACTTTTCATCGGTAATCTTGCGATTATGTTTATCACCATATCATCCGGAAGATTGATGTTTCTCTCCTTCGTCTTCTTCTTCTTCTTCTGCCTTTCGATCGGTTTCTCTAACTCTGATTTGCTCATTCTCTCCTTCTTCTTGTTCTTCTTCTTCTGCCTTTCAATCGTGTTTGTTGTGTTACTAGTTTAGGTCTCTTCTTATTTATATTTTTGGTCAACGAGAGTATTCCTTTAATCATAAAGACACAGCACAAAAAGATAACTACTTGTCTCCTAGTATTTTTTTGGGATATATTCCTTTTTTTCACAAAACAAATCCTCGATCGAAAAATGGAAAACTTGTCTCCTAATTTTATATTGGGATTAAGACCGTTCCTTCTCACAAAGCAAATTCTTAAAATAAAATAAAAAATGCAACTTAAATTAAATTTGGATTAGACGAAAACAAGTCGAACATGAACAACTTTTCCAACATCATTGAACAAAACCATGGAATATACACTGAACAAAAGTCTAGAGTTTCTAGAGTTAATTTGCAATCTAACCATATTTGTGAAAGAATCCAAGAATATAGCTATGATATTCAAAAAATATAAAATAACCATGGTCCACAGAAAAAAAACTAAAAAGTTCTTCTGTTTAAAATAAAAACGTATTGATTGATCGATCATTAAGCTAAAAAAAAAAATAGTATAGTATTTGGAGTTTTAAATATACCATTAAGTTAAAAAAATAAATAGTATAGTATTTACTACTTAGGATTCCAATTATAGAATCAGATTATACTTTAATATATATTTTTATACAACAAAATTAATATAGTATAATATATGAGTTAATACAATATAGTATAATATAGATATCAATTCATTTTTTGGATATCTACAGGTCTGAAATTTGCATTGGAGGATGTCTCATATGAGGGTGAATTCACGAGATGATGATATCGATAAAGATGAGAGGCTAGCAGATACCCATACGGTGTAGTCAGTTCTCGGAGTAATAATATAATATGATATAAAAATAGTATATTTGTAGAACTATTAATAACACACTACACCAACTGAATATAGTATAGTAATATAATTTATTAAACAAAGGGTCTTTTTGTATATATTGTAGAAGATATAGATAATATAATAACACCCAATTTGATATAGTTATTTTATGAATTTCAGTCACTCATATGGTTATATTAGCCAATTTCCCGAGTTTCTAAACATCTGGATTATTTTGTCCAAGACAAGATAAAAAAAAATATTTTGCGATACATATTGAAGAAGCAAAAATTCATGAATTTCATCTCTCTAAACCAATTAGTAAAATGAAAAAGCTCAAGTGTAATCTAGTAATGACCTTATGAAATCTTAACTAGCTTCCTTGTTAAGTTATAAAATTAGCAGTGAAATTGATGATTTTCTTATAAGATAGTAGTGAAAATAAATGACACGCATACTATTTATTGTATGCAGCAGTCAAATTAATTACTTCCGTATTAGTGAAAAAATGAATATTTTCTGCAGTACTAAGATATTAGTAGCGAATATAGAACAAGGTAATGGTGATCCGGTTTAAGAGTCACACAACTCGAACCAGGCACAAATTTTAACTAACTAATGATGGGCCCACTCGGAAGCAGGTCCCTCCAAAAATAGGCGTATGCCACTTAGCGTGGAGAGCACACGGTATTCTTTAGTAAAAGGCGAAAGAATAGTTCGCTTTGTGCTCACTACATGGCTGCGTGATCTGATCGAAATGAACGAGACGTTTATTTATAGTGCAACTTCTTCAGCCAATTACTCCCAGTTTCCCGATGTGGGACTTTTGCACAAAAGACCGAATAAACGCTCTCTACTAAACTAAAAACTCATCATGGGCTTTGACAGGCCTAAAATAAACATGGGCTTTGATAACACAAAACTATTCTTATCACAATTATTCGTTCATGATCGCATTTCTTTCACCCAAACCCGAAACGAATAAAATCTGCATTGTTTCTTGATTCTTCTTTCATCAAAGCACTTGAAAGTCCCACCTATTTAACGAGACTACAAACTGTTGCGATGTATAACCAAGTAAATATTTGAATGAGTTACTTCTCAGATTGTTCTTGCTAGATTATCAGTTTTATGCAAAGGGAGAGAGGGCGAATTATTGAAACTGAACCTAAGGAAGTTGCAACCATCAAAAAACATTCTGCTTACGTTAGTTACTACAAATGGACGAAACTTCCATAGCTTTAAAAGAGAGTGACATCATTACATGTCTGATATTTTTAATAACAGGTCTCATACTAAAAAGGGAAATTCCATAAACAGGCTGCTTCGATCAACACTTGTTTAGCAGAAAAAGGGGAATACCATGACAAAGAGAAGAATTACACAAGGAAGTTTCTGCCTACAATTATCCAACGAGAAGGAGTTCCTGTTAAGAGTTTCGGTTTTGAAATCTCAAAAACTTATTCTTAGTTCCATCCACCTTGATGCTAACAAGACCAAAAAAAAGAGTGCGAGAAGCAGCGAGAGACCAAACCCGCCTCGTCTGTCATTGCTACCGATTTGGAAGGCAAGCTATTGCCTAAAGAATCTTTTTCCTTGGACCTTGTAATTGCATCAACGTAATGGTACCAAGTTCAAGAAATCTCCTAAAAGAACAGATCAAATCCTTCTTGTTTTAGATCCATAAGAATCAAAAAGGAAAGGTACCATTGGTATGATGAGATCTTTAAGATCACTCTCTTTCATTTGCTTTATCGTGGTCATATCCACCTGTTGTCATATTAGTCGAGTTTGTTATTGATAGACAATAAAGAAACACAGCTCCAGTGAGTGACAATTTAAAATCATCTCATCGGATTCATTAGTAATTTTGATACATTCTATCTGTGATTGTAACTGCTGCGCATTGAAATGCCAACATGAAAAGCACCTATAAACTAGCACAAAAGCCAAAATGGCAAAGCTCTAGGATAAAAAAGAAAGAAAGAAAGTAATGGTGCACTTACTTCCTCTCTCTTAAAGGCAAGTGTGTATTTTCCCAGTCCTATTGAATGTAGAAAGCTATCAACTGTTAGAGGCTCTTCCACCTGTTGTAGCACCAAGCAGATATACATGACACATTCTAACATATGTGTAAGAACACGAAGATTTGCGTTATGGTTCTAAGAATGCCACGTGGTTTTAGAGCATAAAACAGAGGTGAATGGGAAAGACTCACCCAGTGTTTATAAATAGCAAGCAGAAAGAAAAGTCATACACAAATTGAGAAGAAGACGAAAAGATCTTACAGAGAAGTGATTGTTATGCGTTATACTTCCAAGGGGAGGAAGCTGACTCAAAGGAGGCAGTGGATGAGGGTTCGGGACGGGAGGAGGTAACATCGGCCTGGCGAAAGTAGTGCTGCTTGCTGGTGCTTGACTGTTTAGTACACCTCTAACTGCATATGGTGGCGCTCTCACATCATCAAGCATCCTGCCTCGTCCACGAAAATCATCGATGTTACTAGATGGAGGAGAACCTCTTGAAGAAGCCATGTAGCTTCCAGGATTCCTATATGGAGGAGAACCTCTTGAAGAACCCATGTAGCTTTCGAGATTCCTAGATGGAGGAGAGCCTCTTGAAGAACCCATGTAGCTTCCAGAATTTCTAGATGGAGGAGAGCCTCTTGAAGAATCCATGTAGCTTCCAGGATTCCTAGATGGAGGAGAGCCTCTTGAAGAACTCATGTAGCTTCCAGGATTCCTAGGAGGTGAAAACCCCCGAGAAGAACCCATGTAGCTGCTTCCCACATTTCTAGCTGGAGACATAGCCCTAGAACCACCACTAAAGCTCTGGTGTTCCTCGGCGGTGGTGATAGATCCCTAATCATCCTTCCAGCATTTTGTGGCGGTGATAGATCCCTTGGATTGACAATCATCCTTGAAGAACTTCTTGGCGGTGACAGATCCCTTGGATCGCCAATAATCCTTGAAGCATTTCTTGGCGGCGATAGACCCCTTGGAGCGCTAATTATCCTTCCAGAATTTCTCGACGGTGATAGAGACCTTTGAGTGCCACTGATACTTCCAGCATTTTTTGGCGGCGATCGACCCCTGGAACTAGTCTCTACATACCTCTCTGGAGATGATCGACCTCTGGAACTGGAAGTATACCTCTCTTGAGATCTCCGTCGTATATCATCCAGGTTCCATGGAGTATGAGAATTGGCTGACGAAAGCATCTGAGAGGAACCACGAGCAGTTCTTGATGGAGGCAAAAGGCTATCCCTCGGCTCAGCCATATGAGGAGGTTGAGTGTCAAGGCTACGAGGAGGCTGCTCGCTCCTGGAGAGCTTCGCACATAGTGCTGCCTCCCTCGCTCTGAGCTCGTCTCTATGCATTTTTTTGCAACAGTTTGAACCGGAGATCATTTTCACCGATCTGCAAATCTTAGTAACAAAGAGTGGAGGGTCAGAAAAATCAGCAAAGATGCTGGTCTGTATCCAGTAATTCATATATCTATACCATTTCCACTGGAACTTGCTTCTCCTCTTTGCCTACACAAACAAATAAGAGCAAAAAACTATATGTTAATGAAGACACATGAAGCGAGTCTAAAACCTAAAATTCAAAGCACAACCCATCAATCCATCACAAGGAACCAGAAAAAGAGGCTAACTTTCATGACATCACAAAGTTAAGAAGCTCTTGGTTCCTGAATATTCAATATGCAGCAAAATACACAAAAGAAGGAAAATGTAGACACCTTTTACTGACCGCATCACTTCTGTAAACAGAGCTATCTAACGGATTCCCTAATCTTTCTTTCACAGAACGCTTAGTCCCAACTCTGGGCAACTCTAATCCGCCATCTAAATCACTTCCATCTCGACTTACAACCTGCAGAAAGGGATACTCACAAATTGAAAATCTTTTCTAAACACAGCTCAGTAATCAATCCTACACAAACATACAGTACTTTGAATATTTCCTTCGTTATAACCATATATATATATATAACAGTGGAACAGGCTATGTTTCCAGATTTCTAAACCCATCTCATAAACCAGATACCATCACGAAAACACCAAAATAAAAACCTCTGCAAGCTTGTCCTCTCACACATTACAGAGTGTGTTGAGTTTAACATGTTCCTTTCTACCAGAAAATTAGCTAAAATATACGAATTGTGAGATGAAACAAAACGTACCTGGCCTGTACGCCCTAGAGTAATAGTGACCCTACTCTGCCGAGAAGCTTCTGACATTTGAAGGAACTTGAGGACGAAACCCTAGGAAAACAGCTGGAGGCGATTCTCACTTACAGGGAGATAAAACCAAGAGCGAAAAGAGGTACCAAGACCACTTCCTTCAAACCCTAACCATATGGAGCCGAATCCACTTAAGATCACACAGAGAGAGTGTACAAAAGGTTCCTGAAAAAGGTATAATCAGAAGATATGATAAATTAAGGATATAGACGTAAAATCACTGGAAGATTTTCCGGTGAGATAAAAACAGAAAAGAAATCGGAAAGTTTTATATACGTGATGAATCGCTAGGGACGAAGACGCTCGTGACAGACTCGCTTTGAAAGAGCTGTGCAGGGCGATTCGGGAGACCTTACTCTCATTTGATGGCTTCACATGTTCATCGACTGCAAGGAAATTAAAGAGATACCCTCAATTTTATACAGTATTTGTATATTTGACCCCATAGTTTCATTTACGGTCTATCATGTCCTCCGTTTCACTTAAGGTCGTGCATAATTATTTGTTATATCCAAGCTCATTCCAAGTAACACTAGATTGTGAATCCTATCATGTTCCACCATTGAATGTCGAATCAATTCCATTACTTAATTATAAAACGAGGTTTAATTGATGGGCGATATATTAAGGTTTATGGAAACGAATTGATATTAGATGTAACATCGTTTTACAAGAGATATGGGTCTTTTTTGGAATATGCTGTGGTGTGTGTGTGGCCATCATTTTCATGTTTCACACTTTCACTTTGTCAATGTGATAATTTACCCATAAAATTGCCAAACAAATATGTAGAAAACATTCATGTAACTATTTACGAATACGTACAGAACTTCAATAGCACGTTCGAAACATTTGCAAATTCAAAAATCATATGTATTGTAAAGCTTTTAATCGCTTCAAATACCATGAGACGCACACACACAAAAACAAAAGTTTTAATATGATTTCTTTTGTTTATTTGATCATCGTTAGTCATAAGGAGGACTTTCAATAAGACCAATTTGCAAATGTAGTGCTTGTTTGGAGTAGGCAAAGCCAGGACAAACTCACTAATACTATGTAATGAACACTAATCACGAAAGTAACACACTAAAATCAACATTGGTAAGGTAGTTTCATCTGAAGAAATTTTATATACAAAAAGTATATATATGAAAAGAAAAAAGAACTGAAGAAAGGAACCAATGCCTGAATATGTGTGTGTGTATACATCCCATCCTTTTATAGAAAAAAAATTAAGATGTGAGGTAATAAAAACCAAACTAAATAAATCAAGTAAAAAAAAATAATTTTATCTACGGTAAGAAACACAAGACAAATCCGACGGTTGACAACAAGAGACTGAAAGCCGTCAACCTCGATGAGCCGTCGCTTATCCAGGCGCCACCAAAGTCACCAGTATCTCGTTGTTTAGTGGTCGTGGACGGTGGAGATGTGCCGTTAAAATTAGGGTTCGCGCCGTACAAATACTGGATTCCTTCCACGTCATCATTCGTCAAATCAACTTTACGCTTCCCCGTCGTGATCGTCGGATACATGATCGATTCCTCCACCGATGAATGTCCTAAACCGAGAAGATGACCGATCTCGTGAACCGCCACCGATTCAAGATCAACCGCCGCCGTAACGGAGAGGAAACTATCGAGGTCGCCGGAAACAACCCAGTTCTCATCTGCGTCGAGATGGAATTTCCCGCTCGGAGGCGAGAAAGCGTGAGCTAGCGTTCCCAGCACGCCGTCGAAAGGCTCGCCGTCGCCGTGATCTCCGGTGTAGAATCCGATCGTGATGTCGGAGCTGGAGAAAGACTCGATGTTCGTGAAATTCAACTTCGTCACCTCCGACCACCGCCCGAACGCGCGTGAGAACACGCCCTTAACCTCATCCGTCAACGGATTTGTCGGGTCGAACGCGTAGGTCAAGTCACGGCGGTCTCTTGGCCACCGTGGCTCGCCGGGGAACAGCGTGTAGTGTTTGACCGTGTGCAAACGCGCTCCCCGGCCGCCGGGGGAGAAGTTGACCTCGAAAGTCTTTCTTCTTCCGTCGTGCATCAACGAGGTTCCGTTGACCACGTCGGGATTGCCGCAACGTGGGATCACGATGTGTTTGATGGTTAGCTCGTCGAGCTCTCCGGTGACATTAAGCCGGAAATTCTTCTGGTACAATTCGACGGCGGATTTGAGGATGTCATCGAAGTCATCTGTGAAATTGCCGGAAAACGTTTCCGGGATGTAACCAAAACGCTGGAAATATTTTTTGATGCGGTAGAGACCATCGACGTTTTGGCCGTGGTGACAGCCGGTGAAATTGGAGAAAGCGTCCCAGAAAACGCGCGTTGTGTTACGTAGAGACGGTGGAATAGCGGTGGAGTTGGGGAAGAACCAGGCGGAGACGGGAGGAGAAACAACTAGGAAAAGCGATAGAAACCCGAAAACGCAAAATCTCATGGTGGTGGTGGTTTTGGGATTAGAGGTAAGCCACCCAAAAACGAAGAGAAAAAAAGAAAAATGAAATGTAATATTTAGGATTTTAGGAGATAATTTTGAGAGGGAGAGAGAGAACTAAAAACAGGTAATGCCGTTTGAAGCTGGTTTTTAAAAAAATTTAAGATAAATTGAGATTACGAGTTTGAGGTCAGCTACTGCGTTTGCGTTTTGTGTTGGCGGGTGAGGGGTCGTTGGGAATCGTTTGCGTGTTTGCCAATTTTGTTATTTTTGTTTATACTTTCTTTTAGAGAAAATGCTGAATGATTCAAATGGAAACATCTATTGTCTTAGTCACGTTCAAACTTGGCAGAAGTCAGCAAGACTTCAAGAGAGAAGACTCTTGTGTGCCACAGAGAGATTTCGGTCTGGTTGGTAGAATTTGATCCGGTTACATATCAACCGATGATGGTAGATAACCGGTACTAGGGAAAAGTGAAGTCAAACAAAAAGAGGTTGAGCTAGCTTTTTTAGTTTAGTTTTAAGTGGGAGTTGGTTTGGTCGGAAAAGTCATCAGCGTTTGCTCGACTTACACGTTTTGACGACGTCACAAGTTGATATATCATATAAATTCTGATGTTACAATCTCTTACCTTCGATAAACGGTAACAACATATGATTTATCGGCTTCACGTCATACCTTTTTGTCCTTTGTATTCTAAACAATCCATAATCATAGGGGTGTCATCTTAGAGCATTTCCGGCGGTTAACAAAGAATATCTAAAAAAAAAATATTAGTTTTTAAATAATGAAAGAATCTGAACCAAACATAAAAGTACACATATTAAATGAGTCTGTAAAAAACCTTACAAACATATCTTATTTAATCAATTTGGGAAACAGTTTCTTCTTCTTTCTTTAACTTTTGTTATTATATTAATATTTTTAGTAAGATACTGAGATAAAAACCCATCGATAGAAATGGTTTTAATACATTGTTTTAATTTGTGCTCGAAGTTTTTTTGTCAATTCTTCAAGAAGATCTCATTAATTATCTCTCTAATGACTTGTCGGTTGATAGTTTAAACAGAAATCGAATCAAGATTCTCGGCTTTAACTACTGACCATAAAAGTAACAATAAGAATGAATAGGAAAATGAATAAATTGAACAAAATAATTATTGTTCCTTCTCATTTTATATAGAAAATATATTAACTTTATAGTTCTCTAAAACATAATAAGAAGGAATCATAGATACAATATATTCTTTTTAAATGGTATAAATTTTAAGAAATGATAAAGAATTGAATATTCCTTTCCATTTTTTATAGTCACCAGTTAGAGTCTACGTGTTATGGCTATTATTTACTCTATAGCTCCTCACAGAACAGATATTATACAAGTTCATACAATTTTTTGCCATATTAAACAGATGAAGCAAAACAGTAAGGACTAAGAAGCCAAAAATAGGATTTGATAAAACAGCATCATATATTCACATAAAAATTGTTTTCAAACGTGGCTCGGTTTCTTCCTCCGTATCGGAATGGTGCGTTTTTGCTGTCTAATTATAAAGATTGCAAACGTGGTCGAGAAGTAAAAGGTGAGTTTTTGCTGAATTTTATTTCAGAAATGGCAAACGTCAGACCTTATTCTTTAATTGGATCCGGGATGAGGAATCCAAAGGGTTATAGTAGTATTTTTCAAGGAAATTCGTTGAACATGCAAATACGGATATGCATTCACTGATCAGTTGAATTAGCCCTGATTAATGTCCACTTTATCACAATATTTTGAGAATTGTATCCCATATTCAAAGCTTTTATGAGTCCCGAGAGGTTCATTAATTTCATTTTACTGTCTGATAAGAAACCTCTTGAGATTCATAACCTCTGGTTCTTCAATACATAGAGGCAAATCTTTAGGTTATACGTCAAAGCGTGTTACATTTTTATAAAAAAAAAAAAAAAAAAAAAAAAAACCGTGTTACCTAAATTCTTGGTTTCTTGTCTTCCACCATTTGGTCTCTACTCGTTTTCCTTGATCGTCAATGGCTAACAGTGAAAAGTTCAGATTGAAACTTCTCATCGATGAGAAGAGAAACAAAGTTGTTTTGGCAGAGGCTAATCAGGATTTTGCTGATGTGCTCATCAGTCTTTTGACTCTCCCAATGGGTAGAATTGCTAAATTGCTGGGGAATCATAAGACAGTCCTAGGCTGTTATAAAAACCTAAACAGAAGTGTTTCAGATATGGGGTTTGGTCATTTTGAGACTGAAGCTTGCAAGATTATGTTGCTGTGCCTGAAGAGTACTAAGGGGATCCATTGCAAAAATCTGAAGCTGAACATGGGTGATACTACTCCCACCAGGTTCCTTACGTGCCCAAAGTTATTTGAGAATGGTTCATGCAGCAGAAGGACATACAGCAATTTTTACGGCTCAAGATGTAGTTGTGGAGCTTTGATGAGCGCTGAGATTCTGGTCCCAGAAGAAGAGCAAGTTGGAGAAGTGATAGGAAACAATGAAGATGGAGTGTTTGTCAATTCCCGATCCTCATTCATAATCACTGATGATTTGAAAGTGACATCTAACTCTACTGGTGGTATCACGAAAGTTCTAAATGATCTAGGGTATGTTGGTTTTAGCGATCTGCGGGAAACCTTACTTGATGTAGGGTTTGGAGAGGTACTTAATGTCTTTTTTATCTTTCTTTCTCTGTCGTGTTCTCATTGTCTTAATATACATAATCTTCTTTGAATGTAGGTGCGGAATCTACTGGGATGTTTATTCACTTCAGAAGATCCCTTGACTTGCGCATTCCTCAGAGAAACTTACACGACAAGGAAGCATGAATGGTTATCTCCGCCTGCGCCAAATCTTCTGAGGTATTTGTTTGAAAGGTTGACAGGGAGAGTATGTTCTGTGAAAGTATTTGTTAGAAAGCTTGACAGGGAGATTCTCTATGCCGAGTGCAATGAAGACTTCGTTGACTCTCTTCTCAGCTTTTTGGCTCTCCCTCTTGAGTTGGCTTGCTCATTGCCATATTGGGATGTGTTGGGAATTTGTGCAGAAGTCCTTGTAGAAGAGCTGCTTCCAAAAGTTGTCAACTTCCTGATTATTATATTTGCAGTAACAACAATCTGCTCAATTATGTACACCAATCAAGAGTGTATGAATGTTTGATTCCTCGTAGCTGCTACTCTAATTGGAGCTGCACAGTCGCCAGGCGCATTGACAGGTCTCTCGTAGGTGATGGCGAAATTGTGACTTTGTCTCCAAATGATCCAAAAGTCGAGCCTGGAGCTTCATCAGGATGTGGGAGTGGGTTTATGAAGAAAAGTACAAAGTTTGTCGTGTCTAATGATCTTGTCATAACTCCGATGAGTTCATCTTCGATCATTGGCTTGTTAAAGAAGATGCAGGTTGACATCAGTGATCTCCAAGACTATCAACTTAGCATTTCCAAAGCAGAGGTATGCTTGTGACTATTAAGCTTTACCTTCTTTTACTTTGTTGTGGTTTGGTATACTAATCTTGATAACTGTTTAGATTTTCATATATTAATTTCGTTATATTACCTTCTTTCACTTTTTTTTCTCTACGATTGTAGCTCATCAGCATTCTCAAAGCTTCCTTGATCTCCTCCTCTGCATTGACCATTGGTCTCTCAAACTTGCTCGCGAAGATACCCAAGGAAGAAAATTAGACTCCGAGGATGGATGATTCGTTTTAGATTCTGCAGCAGTTGTTTCTTTCTAGTTTTAACTTTTAATTTCTCTGTTCTTGCAAGGCTTTCAGGATTTTTCGTTTGACGTTTCTTTATCTATGCATTTCGTTTCTTTAATGCACTGTCTCTGACTATCATTCTTTATTTCTGAATTTTCGGCATCAAACAAGAGCAAAACAGAAGAATAGCTAAATCAGATTGTATTTTAGCAAACAGTGGATTTGATAAAACATCATCAATATATTCACATCAAAGTATTGTTATTAAACGTAGTTTTCTTCCCCTAGTAGCTAAAAAGAGGTAAAGCTTAATAATAAGATAACCAAAAGTAGACAAATACAAACAGAGAGACAGAGAGACAAACAAGTTGATTAATTTTCCCTAACACTTAGAAAGCCTCTCCTAATTAGGAGGCAAACTCCCAAGAATAGTAAACTCTCTGAAAGTAAAATATTAGATTTTTTTTAAGTTTGGTGTTATATTTAAGCAAACAGTGGATTTGATAAAACATCATCAATATATTCACATAAAAGATTGTTCTCAAACGTAGTTTTCTTCCCCTATTAGCTAAAACAGTAAAGCTTGATAATAAGATACCCAGAACTAAACAAACACAAAGAGAGAGAGAGAGAGAGAGAGAGAGAGAGAGAAACAAGTTTATTAAATGATCTAACACTTAGAAAGCCTCTCATAATTAGGAGGCAAAGAAGGGCAATTCTCGTTCATATTGGGGTAAGGTTGAATAGTGTTATAAGCAGGTAACTCCATTCTATATTCACCCAAAATCTGACAGAACTCAAGCTTCCCTTCCTCTGTGTTACACCAACTCGGCAAGCGTGTCTGATTATCTTCAAATATCCTCAGAGTATACGCATCTCGGATCTGAAACAAGAACAAAAAACCCACTTATGAGTAATGATGTTTAGTGGAAAACAAAAATGTCAAAAGACTTTGATACTGTCAAAAAAGGTGAAAGAAGACTCACAGTGAACTCAGTGACTTGAATGTGATCAGCGAGAGGCCCAAACACACCAGCGGCTTTGTACATAGCAAGGATGAAAGCAACGCACGTTGTTGACTTCCCATCGCTGTAAACTTGGCAGAGGTCAGCAAGACTTCAAGAGAGAAGACTCTTGTGTGCCACAGAGATTTCGGTCTGGTTGGTAAAATTTGATCCGGTTACATATTAACCGATGGTAGATAACCGGTATTAGGGAAAAGTGAAGTCAAACAAAAGAGGTTTAACTTGTTTTTTTTAGTTTAGTTTCAAGTGGGAGTTGGTTTGGTCGGAAAAAGTCATCAGCCTTTGCTCGACTTACACGTTTTTATGGCGTCACAAGTTGATATATCATATAAATTCTGATGTTACAATCTCTTACCTTCGATAAATGGTAACAACATATGATTATCGGCTTCAGGTCATAGTACCTTTTGGCTTTTGTACATTAATTGTAACTAAACTATCCATAATCATAGGGCTGCCATCTTAATACTTTGTTTTAATTTGTGTTCGAAGCTTTCTTGTCAATTCTTCAAGAAATCTCATAAATTCTCTCTAATGACTTGTGGTTTGATAGTTTAAACAGAAGTCGAATCAAGATCCTCATTATGACTATTATTTACTCCGTAGCTACTCACAAAACAGAGATTATACAAGCTCATACAATTTTTTGGCATACTGAACAGATGAAGCAAAACATTAAGGACTAAGAAGCCATACATAGGATTTGATATAACAGCATCATATATTCAGATAAAGAATTTTTTTCAAACGTGGCTCGGTTTCTTCCTCTGTAACGGAATGGTGCGTTTTTGCTGTCTAATTATAAAGATTGCAAGCGTGGTCGAGAAGTAAAAGGGGAGTTTTTGCTGAATTTTATTTCAGAAATGGCAAACGTCAGATTTTATTCTTTAATTGGATCCGGGATGAGGAATCCAAAGGGTTATAGTATTTCTCAAGAAGATTCGTTGAACATGCAAATACGTATATGCATTCACTGATCAGTTGAATTAACCCTAATTAATGTCCACTTTATCACAATATTTTGAGAATTGTATTCCATATTCAAAGCTTTATGAGTCCCGAGAGGTTCATTAATTTCATTTTACTGTTTGATAAGAAACCTCTTGAGATTCATTCTTCAATACATATAGAGGCAAATCTTAATGTTATACATCAGAGCGAGTTACCTAAAGTCTCAGTTTCTTCTCTTCCACCATTTGGTCTCTACTCGTTTTCCTTGATCGTCAATGGCTAACAGTGCAAAGTTCAGATTGAAACTTCTCATCGATGAGAAGAGAAACAAAGTTGTTTTGGCAGAGGCTGATCAGGATTTTGCTGATGTGCTCATCAGTCTCTTGACTCTCCCAATGGGTACAATTGCCAGATTGCTGGAGAATCACAAGTCAGCCATAGGCTGTTTTAATAACCTGAACAAGAGTGTTTCAGATATGGGCGTTGGTCATTTTGAGACCGAAGCTTGCAAGAGTATGTTGCTTGATCCGAAGAGTACTAAGGATATCCATCGCAAAAGGCTCAAGCTGAACATGGGTGTTACTACTCCCACCAGGTTCTTTGTGTGCCCAAAGATGAAGAGTAATTTATGCAGCAGCAGGACATACAGCAATCTTGACGGCTCAAGATGTAGTTGTGGAGCTTTGATGGACGATCCAATTCTGGTCCCAGAAGAAGAGCAAGTTGGAGAAGTGATAGGAAACAGTGAAGATGGAGTGTTTGTCAACTGCCGATCCTCATTCATCGTCACTGCTGATTTGAAACTAACACCTAGCTCTATTAGTGTCATCACGAAAGCACTTAATGATCTAGGGTATGTTGGTTTTACTGATCTGCGGGAAACCCTACTTGATGTAGGGTACGAAGAGGTACTTCTTGCCTTTTTTTGTTTTCTTTTTGTTACTCATTGTCGTACTCGTATATCTGTTAATGTATAGTCTCCTCTGAAAATAGGTGCTGTCTCTATTGGGATGTTTATTCAATTCAGAAGATCTCTTGACATGCGCATTCCTCAGAAAAACTTGCATGCCAAGGAAGCATGAAATGTTTTCTCCACCTGCGCCAATAAAGGGGAGAGTATGTTCTGTGAAAGTATTTGTTAGAAAGCTTGACAGAGAGATTATTTATGTAGAGTGCAACGAAGACTTCATTGACTCTCTTCTCAGCTTACTGGTTCTCCCTCTTGAGTTTGCTTGTTCATTGTCTAATGACAATACCATTTTGGGATGTGTTGGGAACTTATGCAGAAGTCCTTGTAGAGGAAAAGCTTCCAAGATTTGTTATGTGCCTGCTTACTATATTTGCAGTAACAACAATCTGATCGATTATAAAAGCCAATCAATAGTGTATGAATGTCTGATTCCTCGTAACTGTGACTATTCTTCGAGCTGCAAAGTCGCCAGGCACATTGATTGGTCTCTCGTAGATGATGGCAGAGTTGTGACTTTGTATCCAAAAGTCAAGTCTGGAATTTTATCAGGAGGTGGGACTGGGTTTATGAAGAAAAGTACAAAGTTTGTCGTGTCTAATGATCTTGTCATAACTCCGATGAGTTCATCTTCAATCATTGGCTTGTTAAAGAAGATGAAGGTTGACATCAGTGATCTCGAGGAGTATCAACTTAGCATTTCCAAAGCAGAGGTATGCTTTTAATATTATTACCTTCTTTTTGCTCCTCAATGTATTAATTTTGATAACTGTTTATATTTTCTTCATCTTGCTTCTATTGCAGCTCATTAGCATTCTTAGAGCTTCCTTGATCTCCTCCTCTGCATTGACCATTGGTCTCTCACACCTGCTCGTGAAGTAGCCAAAGGAAGAGATTTAAACTCCATTCAAGAACTATGTCCGAGGATCATCCCTTAGGTTTTAGATTATGCAACAACTATTTCTAGTTTTACTTTCTCTGTTCTTTCAAGGCTTTCAGGATTTTCGTTTGCGTTTTCTTAATTCATGCATTTTGTTTCATGGTTTTTAAGGAGGATATTCTTTAATGCATTATCTTTTAGTATCACTCTTTATCTCTAAACTTCAGGGATCAAACAAGATTAAAACACAAGAATAAATATATTTTACTGTTGTTAACCAGAAGATATTATCATTAAACGGTCTGATAATTTGGTGTTATATTTAAGCAAACAGTGGATTTGATAAAACATCATCAATATATTCACATAAAAGATTGTTATCAAACGTGGTTTTCTTCCCCTATTAGCTAAAACAGTAAAGCTTGATAATAAGATATCCAGAACTAAACAACACACAAAGAGAGAGAGAGAGAGAGACAAACAAGTTTATTGATTGATCTAACACTTAGAAAGCCTCTCATAATTAGGAGGCAAAGAAGGGCAATTCTCGTTCATATTGGGATAAGGTTGAATAGTGTTATAAGCAGGTAACTCCATTCTATATTCACCCAAAATCTGACAGAACTCAAGCTTCCCTTCCTCCGTGTTACACCAACTCGGTAAACGCGTCTGATTATCTTCAAATATCCTCAGAGTATACGCATCTCGGATCTGAAACAAGAACCAAAAACCCCTTGTGAGTAATGTTTAGTGGAGAACAAAAAGGTCAAGACTTTGATACTGTAATAAAGATGACGAACACTCACAGTGAACTCAGTTACTTGAATGTGATCAGCGAGAGGACCAAACACACCAGCGGCTTTGTACATAGCAAGGATGAAAGCAACGCACGTCGTTGACTTCCCGTCGCTGTACACCCACTCATCCTGTTCAGGGATGGTGAGTAATTCATCAAACGACATCCCACGCTTCGCTGTCTCTTCAAGAATCCCATACAAATCAAGATCCTGTTTATAAAAAAAAACAGAAACTTTATCATACCCTGTATGAAACAGTACATGAGAGAAAACAAGTGTATATATATACATTACCTCAGTACCGAGTCGTTTATTGAGTGCCTCGTTCCACATATTTGCAGCATATGCAGGTTGTACACGGGTCCACATAGACATGACAGAAATAACCTGAAAAAGTCCCAATGTCACTTGCTTATTTGCCATGATGATGGAGATGGATCTTTCAAGAAAAGAACAGAGATTCAAAGAAAAGTACCAAGTGAGCATCAAGGGGAGGAGGGTAGTTATCGGCGAGAGTATCGATCCAGCTGAATATCATGTTGTGATATCCATAAGGTTTGCCCAACATGCTCCGTGCGTATTCCCACGCAGCGGTGTTGTTGAACTTCTCTCTGATATCGGGATGTAGAGGAAGCAAAGCTATTTGCGGATTTGAATTATCCTTCAACGTTAGATCCCACCATTCATCCCAAGGTATCACAACAATGATCTCTTCACCCTTAAAAGAGGTAAAAAGCAAAAAAAAGAGTATTAAAACATCTCTCTCTCCATCGCTCACGTGTTCTCAAGAAACATATATATGTCTTTTTTTACCTTCTCGTTCTCATGTCCTGATTCACCAACCCAAAGATTCCCCAAATCATCTTTCAAACAAACAGCAGTATGACCAGCAAAAGCACCAGTAACCCATTTCTCCAAAGTCTCAAAACCGCCCCATCTTCCTCGGATCTTCGACACGGCCAAGAAATCGCCGGAATGCACATCTTCCGGGTCGATGGTGGACCGCCAAGGCTGAGGCCGTTTCTCAAACGTAGCGCCCATGTGCTTCTTCAAGAAAGCCAAGTTCGCGTTCTGTCCCCAAGCAGTGTTTGAGAAGAGAGGCAACACGTCTATCAACGAAAGCAACGTCCCGAGCATCCCTGAAGGCATGAGGAACACTGAAACTCCATGCTCCTTCACCTACTCATCGACATAGGGGAAGAAAACTAAACCATCACGGAAACAAATAGCAATAAAGCTTCTTTTAAGACTAATCAAAAGCTCTTCTTACATATTCCAGCTCAGCTTTCTCTTCCCAGGAATCAAAGTTCAAAGTATGATCTCTAGCAGAGAAATAGTAGTCCCATGTGATCCTGTACGGCGTTGCGAACACATACAGGTCCATGCAAGTCAAGCTATGTGCCTCAGATGTCTGCAAAAAAGTTCCCAAATGGTTTTCAAATTTGAAATTTTTACTCAAGATTTTTTTTCAGGATTTGAATCTCGTTTGGTGTGTTAACTATGATCTTTGGGTCCGGAGCAAAAAAAAAAAAAAAGTCAAATTTCAACCAACCTTGAGATGGAGAAGGCCGCCTCCAAGACCAGGGACGTTGCGATCGCTGCCGGTGATATCGAGGCGAGCCTCGTTGCCATGAAAGCAAGCACCTTTCCACTCAAGAGACGCGTTATCGGGAGTAACGGAGCCGATGAAAACCGGCAACAAATCCACGGCGCTGTGGAAGCTGTTCAGAACGGGCCACGATACTTGACGAGGCAGCATCGGAAGAACATCGTTGACGCTGAACGGGACCTTCAGGGATTGACCCAGGTCAACGCAGAGTCCTAACCCTAGAAGAAGACATGGGAGCAAGAGGAGCGTTCGAGTCAGAGGTGGAGGGTTCTGAGACATTCGATCGGATCGCTCCGATTCTTTTCAATTACTGGGTTTTTTTTTATGAGACTTTTGTCCAAGATTTTTGGGGGAAGAGAAAGGGTTTCCGTGTGCTGTCAAGGTTGAAGATGATCCATTGGGGTTTCTCTCTCTTCTCTCTCTCTGTTTCTGCAGTTTTTTTTTTGGGAAATTGGACTTTGGGGAGGTTAAAAGATAAAGATGATTGAGATGATGGAGAAATAGACTAACCGGCGACTTTTCTTAGAAAACAAATTTGAAGATTCTTTGCTTTGCTTCCCGTCTTCCACGTCGACACTACGACTCGGCTCGCCGAATCTCCCCATAACCGGTCCGGTTTAGTTCGGTACTCATGTTCAGTTACTTCATTTTGAAACTTGAAATAGCTCGCTGAATAAAGCTTTATAACCGGTTTTACGATCAGGTCCGGTTCAGTTCAGTACTCATGTTGTACTTCCATTTTGAAACTTGAATAGCTTGCTTCTTGTTAGTTTTTGGTTGTCATGTCCCTATAACGAAAATTCCGTTTTTTTTTTTACTTTTCTTTGAACTTTCTTTTTCTTTTTTTTTCTATTATTTGTTAATGACGCAAATACCTAGTGAAAAATAATAGCATTTTTTTTTTTGGCTAGAAACATTACATTATGGGATTAATAAAAAGTTCACCTAAGAATTAAATGGCTACAATGATGGTACATGCAGATGCTGGTCCTTATCCACATAAATAACTACAACAACCAAAAAATCAAATGATGTGGTATTTTTCTACTTTCATCATTATTTAGATGACAATCATTTCCTGCGAAAATGACCGGTCTGGTCCATACCACAACACCTTACCATTGAGACGATCAATAATTTTTGGAGAGTTCAGATTGCGAAGATGAAGCAGTTCGAGTAGCAAGGGATAAACAGAGGACTCTCCTCCACCGCCATTGGCTGTCTGAATGGATTTAACCTAATCTGCGTTTTTCAAGTATTTACATTATTCTCTATTTCCATGCATATAATAATGGCTACAATGATGGTACATGCAGATGCTGGTCCTTATCCACATAAATAACTACAACAACCAAAAAATCAAATGATGTGGTATTTTTCTACTTTCATCATTATTTAGATGACAATCATTTCCTGCGAAAATGACCGGTCTGGTCCATACCACAACACCTTACCATTGAGACGATCAATAATTTTTGGAGAGTTCAGATTGCGAAGATGAAGCAGTTCGAGTAGCAAGGGATAAACAGAGGACTCTCCTCCACCGCCATTGGCTGTCTGAATGGATTTAACCTAATCTGCGTTTTTCAAGTATTTACATTATTCTCTATTTCCATGCATATAATAAAACATGGTTTTGAAGATGTTTCGTGAAGAAACATATAAGAAAAAAGTAAAGATTTTCTATGCAAACACATCAATATATCCAACTAAGGTTGATTAGATAATTGGACATTAGTGTACGTGGCTCCAAAGTTAGCTGTAAGATATGAAAAAGAAGAAGATGATTTTTGTCTTCTTTCAACTTCATTATATGGTTATACGTGTCGACTCTCTGTTGTCTTTCTACAGTTTTGATGAGACACAAGCCTGAACATATGCAGGAATCATATTCACCTTTCATCTTGTTACTTACTTACTATCACAACATACTATATCACATCAACCCATTTTTCTATTAGTTTGACATCAACCCACACAACAAAAACATAGACTTGAATAGGATAATAAACCTAAAACGTAGACTTACAGGTGATGACAGAGGTTGTCCTGTGATGCTTTTAATGCAACAGGCCGCAAGATTACAAGCTTCTTCACAGTAATCAGAAAATACCGCTGGGACTTTGATCTCTTTTATCAGTTCCTGTAAGTTTATTTTTCACACACATGACATAAATGAATCAAAGTTGTTGTGCTCTCTGGATATATATATGAATGTGATCATCAGTTACTGGAAAAAAAACAACGTACAATAGTCGGCAACCAGCTCGGATATGCTGCGATTCCGGCGTTTGGAGCAATTACTATGTGAGGAGGAGGCGAATCCTACTCAGACAAGATTGTAAATCAGAAATCAAAACATTCTTACGGATCCAGCATTTCAAGGCCAAGTGAAAATGACTGTTTGGGTCCTAGAAAAAATAGAAATGTACCTTAGCTATGTCACTGTAACGATCATGGTAAAACCCTCTATGGAGCTGTAACGACACAGCTGATTCGTTACCGGGCCTGAGAGTTTTGCTTGAATAGTTACATTCACATTCTTCTTCCGTGCAAGGGGCATATCCGCAAAGAGAGATCATCTCTCCATCCCTATTCACGGAATGAACATATAGAAAACGATCCATCAGATTGATACCAGTACATATATAACAAGTTTCATCCCAAAACAATGAATACAGGACTCACATATGTTGTGGAACGTCGGGTCCAACCATTTCTACACGAATGCGCAGACCAGGGAAGAGGGATTGTAGCTCAGCAAAGACACCAAGTTGTCCAAGCTCTCTCTGAGGCCCTTCAGATACTCAAACTATCAGCAAATCATATACCAGAGTATTGCACCGATAGTGGCAATGATGCAATAAGATAGTAACCTCAAAGAAAGAAGAGTTACACAGAATGATACATACCAAGATAATGTATACGAAGTTCGTTACTTATTTGAGGAGTCAGATTCCCCATCCCAATGGTTTGAATTGCGTGATATATCGTAAGCGGCTGAAACAGAAGCAAGCTCAAGGAGGTCAATTAAACAGAGAACCTTGTGAAGTTTAGTTAGACTAGCAATCACAAGAAATGTTTACCCAGTGGAGAAGTAGAGCTACAGGAGAATCTAGAGGTATCTTTCTCCACCCGTAATAATCCGTCCAGCTACATAGCTCGCTTGTTAATGGAGACAAAGAGCCTGTGCAATCTCAAATCAGAATTCTCATACGAACAACTCTCACTTTCAGTAAAACCATAAACAGAGAATTGAAGCTTACCACGACATGGGCAAGAAGAGCTTGGCAGATTCCATCCGTCGTTTTTAAAACTGCAGGGAAAAGGACAGCAATTAGCTCATGTTTTAACAATGGCTTCTGAATCAAAACGTGAGAAGAGAAGCGACGAAACCAATCATCATAAGCAGAAGCTCCACATTTGCACTCATACATCCACATTCCAAGAAGATGTAGTTCCCTTTTGCTGAGGAACGAGCACCTGCTCAATTGCTTTTGACCAATCTGAGAAGGAATGTAAACAATATGAGCTGAAGTTTGTATAATCCATCAAATGCAAATTTATCAACAAACCTGGATCGTAGCTTCTTCTGCGAATGTAAATGGAAAATCGTTCAACAGATCAACACGACGCATTTGCTCTTCTAGTCTCTCACATTCTTCCTTGTGATAGCTCCAATGCGAAGTCTACAAACAAATCAAGACCTATTGAATTTTTTTTTCTTTTCTTCATGACTCTCAATCGTTACGTTCATTATTTGCTTGAAAAATTTAACTTGATCTATCTACCTAGCTAGAAGCGATTAAATCAGCAATTTCCCAGAACCTAAATGCTCGAGGAAGAAGAAGAGTTAGAGAGTAGAAGCATAAAGAAACCTGATGAGAGACGGAGCAATACGCCACAGCGCCACACTGGCCACACCTCCGCGTCGGTGGACCGACACACCGCGTCCCAAATCGCCGCGCAGCGCACTCCATCGGCCGTCGGCGACCACTGAAACCGCCGTTTCTTCCCCGGACGAAAAGTATCAAAGAATCTTAGTGAACACAAACTTAAAGGCCCATTTTGTATAATCATGTGGCCCATTAATCGTTAATTACTTGCGCCTTAGTTATTCATCGCCATACTGTTGAACTACTACGTATCCAACATATCACAAATTTAATCTTATAAAGTTGCCGATAATTACATAATTTATATGTAACGAGAAGAATTATCAAAAATTCAACACAAAATATTGTTTATTTAAAAATTAATCAAATATTAATATTTCCAGTAAATCAATAACAACATAAAACAAAATCGATAACAACAACATACTGAAAAAACATTAACAAATTATTGTAAAATATCAACAGCATGTTGAAAAAAAATCAACAACATTATATAGAAAATTCGGTAACAATAATAACATGCTTAATAGTATACTAAAAGAATCTCCTTTATATAAAATGGATAGATTTCCTGCTCTTTAAGAGGTGCCACATAGGCAAAAATAATCAACAAATAAGAATATAACAAATTGTCACATCGTTAAATTATAAAAAAAAATTAACCAATAAGAATAAGACAATATACCACATCAGCAAAAATGATTAACCAATGGTAGATTTCAAAACTGTTATGTCATTTTCTCCAATCAATAATTTAAAACCATTTTATTAAATAATTTATTAATCAAAATTTCTTCAAATTTTACCTAAAAAGCTTTTATAATTCTTAAATTCTCAATAAAAAAATAAAGCTAAAGAAAAAACTGAAAACAAATTACATTAAAACTCAATTATAAAGCTTAAACAAAAGTTTAGTTTATGGAGTCATCGTCTTTTCGGTTTCTAATCATCTCGCCTATGACTCACAAGAAACGGAATCAGCTGTCACTAAACACAAATTTTACTTATTAATTAATGACAACCAAACTGGTGATAAACAATAAAACTTAAATAAGTGGAGCATAAATATTTGGAAATCCAAAAGACATAGCAATGAGTATGTAAAAAAAAAAGACATAGCGATGAGCCACATATGGTATAAATAATACACAACTCTATCACAAATGAAGTCTAATGTGTCTCATGCTTGAGATTGTTGTAAGCAACATAAAAATACAATCTCAAAACTATTTTGCATTTATATTTACAATGTGAATCAAGTAGAATGAGTCTGAATCATAGTATTGTTGGAACTGGAGAACGTCTTTCTCGCCAAAAGTAAAACTTAAGAAGCGACTCAGTTTTCTTTCGTCTAGAGAAAATTAATTTATACAATTGTAACTTTTTTACTTATAACAGATTTCAAGTTTCTAAAACTGATATAGAGTTTCATATTGTTCGTTGTAATCCGATATTGTAGAAAAACTGAAGTAAAAACTTAACTAAAGAACCAATGATTAAAGACAGTTACTCACCGTTTCTTAATTTTTATTTGCAAAATTTTATGAAACATAAAACTGAAAATATTTTTTTTCAAATAACATATAACGATAAATTCTTCACTCTTCACCAATATTGGCAAATGACTGAGCTAGCTAAACTATCAAACAAATATTATATCAATTAATAAAGAATTCATATAATAAAAAAAGTTTATTATTAATTGCCATTTGTTTTCTTCGTTGAATATATGAACTAATTATAAAACATCTATGTACATACTGAATCTTAAAAAACTGATGAGTAGAGAAATGCATACTATATGAAAATTAAAAACAAAATCCTAATACACAATATGAAACAAAAATGGAGTAAGGATTGAATTTTTCTTTTTAAAAGCATCAAGCGAAAGAGAAGCTTATGCAAAATATTTTTGAAAGTATAAAAAAATACTCATGGTGTTCACTAAAGAAATAGCATTATAACATAAGATGTCCAAATTTAGACAATATATTTCTGATATAATATATAGTTCATGTGGATATTATTTACATAAACAAAAAATATAACAAAATTATAAATCAAATTATTATACAAAAATGTCAAACTTTACCTTTCATATTTCCAAAAACATGCATTTAACTCTTAAAAAAAAGTTTAACTAAGCCAAAAGGTATATTTATCTACTTTCAAATTATTATACAAAAATTTCGATCATCTTTTCACATATATATATACATCTTTCTGATACTTACTTCGCTCGATTATATCTAAGAATCACATGCAAATATATTACTCTATAATTTATCACAATATTAAACACAAAATTAATTGATAACATTTTATAAAATTACAATATAACTATACAATCTACGCGTAGCGTGGGCAAAACACTAGTTCAATAATAACATAAGCTAAAGTTGCTAACAACAACAACATGCTGAAAAAAATCAACAATATATTGAAGAAAAAAAAACTCAAAAGCAATTGCTTGAATATTCATATCAAAAGAAATATTTATATTTTGATATTTTCAATGAAAAATTTAGGATTATATGTTTTATTTTTATACATTCTTAAGCATATGCAGTATTTTCAACAACAATATAAGTCAAAATTGTTAACAATAATATGCTGAAAAAATCAACAACATAAGACAAAGACAAAGTCTTTAATAACAATATACTGAAAAACATCAACAAAATATTGTAAAAAATCAACAGTATGTTAAAAAAAATCAACAACAGTATAAATAAAATAACAAATACAACATGCTGCAAAATAATTAATAATTTGCTGAAAAAATTTTACAACAAAAGTCAAAGTAGCAAACAACAACAATATGCTAAAAAAATTAATAATATATTGAAAAAAATCTATTGCATCCTCCACTGAGAACCACGAGATTCATGAGTTTCCTAGAATTCAACTAGCTTTTCTTTGACATGTTTTGCACCGAAATCAGTAATAACAACCACATGTTTACCATAGTTCTCAGAAGCAAGTGCTTCAATTTCAAAGTCACAAGGATCATATATACCCTATAAATAATATAAATAATTGAAATTAAATATTATTGATTTATATTTAAATATTTATTTTTTAAGGAAAATATATATTAAACCTCATTAATTAAAATACTTACATTTCCCCATCAGAATCATATTTTGCATAGAAAGGTAAAAAAACTGAAGAATACCACCACATGACCTTTGAGTAGAAGGTTTTAAATTAATACTTCAAAATATTCAAAATTCTTTGAGAGTTGACGATCGACACCCATTTTTGTGATGTATCGGTTGTTAACCAAAAACTCATTTGCACTTTCAAGATCATCAATACCATCAATGTATCATAGATATGTAAGAGAGACATCATGCATGAGGTGTTGTAGAGTTATCCGATCTACTGTTATTTCATTCAGATCAATGTAATAAGCATGACCTCTAAAGAGGAAAATAGCCAAATAATTTTCTGCAAAACAAAAGCATAAAATATGTTAAACATGTTGTTGTTATAACTGGTTTTGGTGCAAAACTTGTCGAAAGAAAGCTAGTTGAATTTTAGGAACCTCATGATTCTCATGGTTCGTACTGAAGATGTAATAGATTTGGTAAGTTGGTTCATATGAAAGATTGAATTACATTAAATTAAATATGTAAATGTTATGTTAAAATTTTGATAATCAACAACATATGACAAAGTTAATAACAACAACAACATATTGAAAAAAATAAAAAACAACTTAAGACAAAATTAATAACAACAATATACTCAAAATAATAACCAAAATGTTGCAAAAAACACCAGTATAATGAAAACAACCAACAAAAATATAAAGTATATTTGGTAACAACAACATGTTAAAAAGAAATCAACAACATGCTGTAAAAATTAACAATATGATGATAAAAATCAATAATAACATAAGATAAAATCGCTAACAACAACATGCTAAAAAGTCAATAACACACTTCAAAAAATCAGCAATAACATCAATTAAAGCCGAAAACAACAATATTCTGAAATAAAATCAACAACATGCTGCAAAAATTTAATAACATGCTGAAACAATCAATAATAACATAAGATATAATCGTTAACAACAACATGTTAAAAAAATCAATATTATGTTTCAAAAAATCAAAGCCGAAAACATCAATAACATGCTGAAATGAAATGAACAACATGCTTCAAAAATTAACTGCATGCTGAAAAAAATCATCAATAATATAAGATAAAATTGCTAACAACAAGAAGTTAAAAAAAATCAATAATAAGATAAATCAAAGCCGAAAATAACAACAACATTCTGAAATGAAATCAATAACATGCTGGAAAAAATTAACAATATGCTGAAAAAGTCAACAATAACAAAAGATGAAATCGCTAACAACATGTTAAAAAAAATCAATAACATGCTTCAAAAAATCAAAGCCGAAAACAACAATAACATGCTGAAAGAAAAGCAACAACACGATTAAAAAAATTAACAGCATGATGAAAAAAATCAATAACATTTTCCAAAAAATCAATAATAACATAAATCAAAACCGAAAATAACAACAACATTCTGAAATGAAATCAACAACATGCTGCAAAAAATAACAACATGTTGAAAAAATCAACAATAACATAAGATAAAGCCACTAACAACAGCATGTTAAAAAAAAATCAATAACATGCTTCAAAAACCCAAAACCGAAAATAAAAATAACATGCAGAAATAAAATTAACAATATGCTTCAAAAAATTAACAACATACTGAAAAAATTCAACAATAACATAAGATAAAATCGCTAACAACAACATGTTAAAAAAAATCAATCACATGCTGCAAAAAATCAACAACATGCTGCAATAAATCAACAATAACATAAATTAAATCCGAAAACAACAACAACAACAACAAGAATTAATTCATGTTTTTAAACATAAATAAAAACAAAAAATATAGTAACTAAATATATAAATATCGCTCATGCTTTTTTACTTTGGCAAGAGAGAGAAAGAGCAAAGTAAAGATATAAGCATTACAATTAATGAAGTAGTTATGATATTGTAATTGTCGTAACCCATTATGACAATAAGGTAAGTAAATGTATGAGTCGCTTATGCTTTTTACCTGCCATTTACTTATAATGGATGTCCCATCACCCTCTCTTCTCTTGCCTCTTCTACCATTAAACTATAGCCTCTCCCCGCTTTCGTCTTTCTTAACTATCTCAACAATGTCATGTAAGAATTTCATGTCTTATTAAATCTATTTCAAAACTTCAGCAAAGAAGTTTTTGATAACTAATTATAGTTTTATTGATTTTTGCCTCTGTTTTTTTTTATTTTAGAATAAAACTCTGGAGCAAATTCTTTCAAGACAGGAACTTGTCAAAACTTTGAGACAGCTTATTTCCAATGTTTCAGTACATACTATTTTTTTTGTTAGCATTGAATCTCTTTAGTTGGACTGAAGTTATTTTCTCTTGGACCACAAAAAAACTTCAATATTCAGATCTATTGTCAGATAACACGTACGTCTTCTTAATAGTTTGTTTGTTGTTTGTATGTAATTAAATTTTTATTATTTATTTTAAGCATGTTTTCTTTTCTTTCCTGCTGTTGTTTTACAGAAAATTGTTGGGTTTTTGCCCTCTTCAGAGACCATGTTTATTACATTGATCTGAATAAAATAGTAGTCAGGTAACTCTAGAACTTCTCATGCAGGGTGTCTCTCCTACACATATATTATTCGCTGAGGGTATTGATGACCTTGAAAGTGCAAAAAGTTAATGGTGAACAACCAATATGTCAGAGACATGGTTGTGCATCTTCGACCTTCAACAGATTTCGAAGGTTTTGAGGTATTAATTGAAATCCTTCTACTCAAAAGTCATGTGGTAGTATTCTTCAATTGCCCACTTTCCTATGCAGAATATGATTCTCATGGGAAAAAATAGGTACTTTTAACTAGTGATGTTAAATATTTATTTTCCTTAAAATTTAAATATTTTAATATATATCATTATTATTTAAGTTATTTTTATTATTTTTATTTTGATTAGGTTCTCAGAACCATCAATATTCTGTGAAGGCCAATAATGGATAAACATGTCTTTGGTATTATTCATCTTTACTAAATGCATTAAAGAAATATTATTAATGATATTATACATGTTTTGTTTTTATTTCATTTAAAGCAGTGAAATAAGCATGATCTCCGAAAACGCCAACAGTCCAATAATTTTATGCAAAACAACAGCAAAAATAAAAAATATATATATATTCAAGTATATGTACATGTTATTTGCTTATAACTCTCAAATATAAAGCAAATGAATGTTTATTCAAGCAAATTCTTAAAAATATATATCTAAGAAAAAATAAACAGCAACATAAATTAAAACTGGTAGCGATGACAACATGATAAAACAAAGATCAACAATATACTGAAAAAATCAACAATTAATATATTCTGGTAACAACACCTAACATGCTGAAAAAAAAAATCAAAAACAAAGGAATGTTTATATTCTGAATTAATATAAATATTTAAAAGTTAAATAGCCTAATTATGAAATTAACAGATAAACATATATATTGACTTTGAAAGAATCATGTCAATGTTAGTTGACTAATTAGACAGGTAACTGAAATCCTAGGTCCAACATTAACTGCAACAAAGTTCAGAGAGATGAAATGGTTTTTTAAAGACACATAAAGATATAAAAAAACTGAAGTTGGTCACAATTAGAATCAAGTATATCAAAGACAATATAAGGAAGCCGACATCTTTCTTTTATGAAAGTAATAGTTGTTGACTTGCGCTTCGCGCGAGAATTTTATTTGTTGTTAAATTTTAGTTGTAATTTATTATTTGATTTCATTATTTGGTTTCGTGTTGCTTAAATATGAAATATTTTTTTTTATCTGTTATTTTAATTCTTAAAATATTGAATGTCTTGAGTTTTGATCTTCAATAAATCATTATTTTTTGCTATCATAAGTGTTTTACCAATCATTTTTAGGCTATTTGTATTTCATATTTTTTGCTTATTATTATATTTTTTTTTACAAAAATTCTTATTATATTTATTTTGTGTGTATATATTTTGTTTTCTATCTACTTTATGTATATATATATTATTTAATATTTAGTTATCCATATATATATTCTTTTGTTGTGATGTTATGTTTATCTTGTTTTTATACATACTTTTGTGTTAAGGATCTATCTACGTTTCTTTTAGTTTGACATTAGCTTGATTATTTTTAATTTGTTTTTTCTCTTTTCTAACCTAATGTCACTATGATCTTATTGTTTGATGGTTTTCTTAATGTGCATCTGTTTTTATGGACGATTTCTTGCTCACAGCTTGCAAATATTATTCATTTAAAATTATAAATCTACTCTATTAAATTATTTTGTTATTAGTTTGTTTTTTGGGGTTTTAAAAACTTGTATTTCAAAATTCTATATTTTAGACGCTGATATATATATATATATATATATTGGTTAAATTTGTGTTTAGTTGGATTATTTATCAAAGTTTTTCTGACCTCAATTAAGTGTACATATGATTTGTTAATAAAATTTGGTTATTAATTTTTTTTTTCATTTTTTGCAGTTGGATTAGATTGTAATTTTTTTCTTTTTTTCTTTACTAATTTTTTTGTCATAACTTTGAATTGATTTAAAAACTGCATGTAATTTTTGTAGGTTGTCAAATAGTTTTGATTGTTGCATTTTACATGATTCATGAGAATTCTTCCTCTTCTCTTTTATATATATGGTACTGTAATTTGTGTAAGTTGCGCTTGTGCTATTGGTCAAATGTCAGATGCGCTTATGGGATTTTAGGTTTTGTGGACTAAATTTAATAGTGAAATTTGATTTTAAATTATATAGTTTGTGTTAGTGAAATGTTTTAAGTATGAGATAGATGGTTAAGTGGCAAAATAAAAAGTGAAAAAAATAACTTTATATATTTGGTAGGCGTAATTGTATTGTTTCTTTCTCTCTTTTCTCACCAAATGTTGCTGTAAGTTCTATTGTTTGATGTGGTTCTACTTGCGACATCGGTTTTGAGAGATGATTCTTGTTCCCGGTTTTCAAATGTTATTTATTTAAATTTATTTAATTTATTCTATTAAATTATCTACTTATTTTGAGTTGTGGATACTTTTATTTCAAAGTTTCATACTATGGTCGTTGATATATATTTGAGTCTGTTTTGGTTAAATTTGTGGTAGATTAGATTATTTATCAAAGTTTTCCCCACCTCAATTGTGATACTTATCATCAATTAACAGTTTTTTGGTTATTGTTTTTAATTGTTGTGGTTGAGTTTGATAAAAAGTTGTCTTTTAATTGTTTTCTAATTTTAGTTGTCATAACAAAAACTGATGTATAAACTGAATGCTATTATGTAGGTTGTTATTGCTGTAATTTGTTTCATCATGAAGTTTATAATTATATAAGAAATTTATAGTATATTATTTGATGTAATTTTGGGCTTTTGCTATTGGTCAAATACTGTTGGTTGCATGGAATTTAAGTTTAATGGACTGAGTTTAATAGTAAAATTTAAATTTAAGTTATATAGTGTTTGTTATTAAATATTAGATGCTGAGGTGGAAGCTGATGTGGCAGCACCAGAAGAGAGAAAAACTTACTTTATATATATAGATAGATGAGAGCAAAACTCGGTGTCTTTGGACTCGCGAAGCTATGCGATTATGGATTTGATCTCTAATGTAGCATGAGTTCAAATGTTAAAATATATTTGCTACGTACTTGTGGTACATCAAAAAATTATTTGTGTTCGAGACATTTTGAAAGCTTGTGAAGCACGGCATCTCCTTGCGTACAGCTCCGTTGCTCTGTTGGCCTTTAGAACCGTTAGTCTCTCATGGGCGGGATAAGTTTCTGTCAAAAGGTTGAATCATCTTTTTGTTTATGCTGTTGCAGGAGAGTGCCTTTACAAAAACCGGTGTTATGCTCAATTTTCCCGTCGAGGAATCAAACTGTTATATTTTGTCATAAGCACTTTTCAAGTTGTTTTATGTTGTCAAGTTAATAACAACTCATGTGTTCTGTTCTACTCTAAGATTGCATAATCATGTGTTACAAGTACAACTGCATCTTCTTTTATATGTGTTTTTGAGTGTAATATGTCAGTTCGTTTAATTTTCTTGAATCAGCTTTTCTCACGTCTCCAAATACCAAGATGTTCTGTTTATTTTAATCCTACTCATTACTAGATTGCTGATTCGAATTATCAAATCTCTAGTCTCGAGATGCTTACAATGTTTTTAAATTGGTTATGTTGTTTTGGCTTTGGGGAAAACAAACTTGAGGTTTCTGCAACTTAGAAGACAAGGTCCGAAGATGCTCTGCTCTTTATGAACTTGAGAGGTGGTTCCTTAGCATTTACTATAAAGAGAGAAAATTTTCAAACTTTTTTTTATGGTCCTGTAACAGCAGCCATGAGGCCAAGCATGTCCAGTGTTCTCTCATGTGGCATGACCGCATGAGTTTAAAATGTTAAATATACTTTGTTACATAGTTGTGGTACATAACATTATAACTTATTTGTGTTAAAGACAGATGAAGGCTTGTGAAGCACGCATTTTAGAACACTAAATTTCAGACGGCGTAAGTACAAATCGGCGGCAACGACTTACATTACCGAGCCGGTACACAACGATGGCACAGAATAAGACCATTTAATGGAATTTATGTCAAGACTTCACACAGAACACTCTTGTCTACAAGCAGAGCCGCTTAATCTTTTTGCAAACGTGGTATATTTTGAGGAGTTACGTAACTAAATTGTTTATACTGGAGGAATGATTCAATGGCAAATCGAGTTTATAATTTTATAAAGCATATTTTCTTAACTCTTGCAGAGTAGAAAAATTAATTTAAGTAATATTTATTGGCATTGGACTCCCTAATTCCTATCACCTGCTGGCTCAATGAATATTTGAATATTATTAACTCAAAACGATTTGATCATTCCATGTTTAGTTCTCTTATTGATCAATTCTCTGCGTTGACTCACCTTAAAGATTCTTTCTTGGTAATTGGCATGAACATTTTGGTTGTGTTATCAAAATCAATCATGTCTCAGCTAATTATGATGTTGTTCTTGTTGCTGTTCTTCTTCCCCAAGAAGTTAGTATGTCAGGAAACAAACCCAAATGGAGGAGAGTTAAGCTTCAGTGGAGGAAATCTGTGTACCAGTGGATCAGCAAATCTAAACAAGAATGGTTTGGTCACACTCACGAATTCCAAAAACCATATAGTAGCAGTCGAGCTAGACGCAAAATTTGATGAGCATTTAGGGGACATAAATGACAACCATGTGGGTATTGATATCAACAGCTTAGAGTCAGAAATAGCCGCTCCATCAGCTTATTTCAAGGATGATGATGGTACACCTAGAAACCTCTCTCTTTCCAGTGGAGACCTTATGCAAGTTTGGATTGAGTATGACAACAAACAGAAACAGCTCAGTGTCACACTTCATCCTATTGGTGTCCCTAAGCCAAAGATTCCTCTCCTTTCTCTGCAAAAGGATCTTTCTCCCTATTTACTTGAGTCTATGTATGTTGGCTTCTCCTCATCTACGGGGGAGCTAACTGCATCTCATTATATATTTGATTGGAAGTTCAAGATGGACGGGATGGTTTCAGATATAAACCACTCTCGTCTTCCTAAGATTCCATCAGCTGATCAGCGAGAGAACCAGAGTCTAAAGAGAATTTTAGTGATCAGATTGAGTGTATCGGGCGTCACAATCCTCATCGTCTTGAGTCTCGGCTTATAGCTTTTCATAAATAGGAAGACGCTGATGGAAGTTCTTGAAGACTGGGAGGTGCAGTTTGGTCCTCATAGGTTTGCTTACAAAGATCTACACATTGTCACAAGGGGCTTTAAAGATAGTGAGCTTCTCGGTAAAGGAGGGTTTGGGAAAGTCTACAAGGGTGCATTACCAGTGTCCAACATGGAGATTGCGGTGAAGAAGGTTTCTCATGATTCAAGACAGGGCATGAGAGAGTTCATTGCTGAGATTGCAACCATTGGGCGTCTCAGACACCCGAACTTAGTTCGGCTTCAGGGCTGCTGCAGACACAAAGGTGAACTCTATTTGGTGTATGACTGTATGCCCAAAGGAAGCCTTGATAAGTTCCTCTACCACCAGCCTAATGAAAGTCTTGATTGGTCACAAAGATTCAAGATCATCAAAGACGTAGCTTCAGGGCTCTGCTATTTGCACGAACAATGGGTGCAGGTCATTATTCACAGGGATATCAAGCCAGCCGAAACCCTTCTTGACGGAAGTATGAGTGCTAAAATTGGTGACTTTAGTCTTGCAAAGCTCTACGATCATGGGATTGATCCCCAGACCTCTCACGTGGCAGGTAAGCATAAATATCAAATAAACTTGTGGTTACATTCAGAACTTATGTGTGTTGAAAAGACTTATGATCTTGCACTTACAATGGTTTTAACTCTTAATAAGGTACGCTTGGGTATATCTCACCTGAGCTCTCAAGAACAGGAAAGGCAAGCAAAAGATCTGATGTATTTGCACTCAGAGTGGTAATGCTAGAGATTACATGTGGACGCAAACCCATATTGTCACAAGCATCGCAAAGCAAGATGATTCTGACTGAGTGGGTGCTAGAGTGTTGGGAGAAGGGAGATATAATGCAGGTTCTTGATCATAAGATAGGGCAAGAGTATATCGAGGAGCAAGTGGAGCTTGTTCTGAAACTAGGCTTACTCTGTTCGCATTCGGTAGCAGCTATGAGGCCAAGTATGTCCAGCGTCATTCAGTTCTTGGACAATGTGTCTCAGCTTCCTCATAACTTACTTGACATTATGAAAGCTCAAGAAACTGAAGAAGCACCTGATTCTCCTGCATCTAGCTCCATTGCTCCATTGACCTTTACAGAATTGTTTGTCTCTTATGGGCGGTAAAAATCTAAGCCCAGATTGTAACTTGAAATATTATTCATGTTCCAAAAATTTGAGACTGGTTTTGGCAAAGAAACTATAAAACCTAACAACGATTGTTGTCTAAAATAACTGGGTACTTAAATTTCAGTACATGCTTCTCGATGTTCATTGTGGTTGATTTTAACAAGTTTGTAAAATGAAATAGTAGAAGCGGATTATAACACATCTCTTTAGGAGTAATTAAAGGGTTGATTCATTTCAAATAGTAGAAACAGATTAAAACACATGACTTTTCTCAATCATGATGATGCACTTACTTCCCTTGGTTTTGTTTGACAGACAAAATTTTTGTATGCTTAGACCATGTGCAACGGTAGTATATGCTGAAGCGTATCTTATTAATATAATAATAATATAATTTGTTTTTATATTTAAATTTTAAAACATTAAAAGAAATCAAAAAGAAAGAACCATTAATAAATAAACATGTGGCAAAATATGGACAAGAGTATGTAGAACCGTTGTTCATGCTCTTGGTTGCTTACTAGTTTCTTTGATCTCCATCAGTTAAAAAAAAACAGTAACAATGCACTCAAAATCGATGTTAAATTAACTATGCTAATTTCAAATATTTGAAGGAATTAGATAAAGGCATTTTTTTCCAGCAGAAAACGTAGGCTATTTTAGAAGCCCAAGATGTGAAGGCCTGATGGGCTTCGAGGCATTAAGTATAAATAGGTTTAGGGTGTAATCTTTTCCTAAATTAACAAAAACATGGGGTACGTTTCTCTCCTCTCTCTGATCCTTCTTCTCCTGCCGTCTCTGTTTGTTCTTTTAGCGTTTTATCGGTTTGATTTCCTTGTTATTCCAGTGAATTACAAGGCATTTAATCGATTGTGATTTTTTTTTTTTTGTTGGAATGGTTTCTACTTTGGTTTTATCGAGAGAAGTTATTTTGTTTTTACCTAATGTTGTGTGTGGTGATGATATGTTACAGTAAGACTGGGTTCAAGGTCAGAAAGCTTCGGATTAGGCAGAGATGGGCACAAAAGAAATCTCACGCAAAAAGAATTGTCTCTGAGAAGAAAATGTAAGGCTATTAAAAAAACTTATATCTGCTATATATATTCTAGACATTGGTGATGACGATTCTGTGTGTTTGATTATGTAGCAATCCCAACGAGTGGATACCATATTATCCGGTTCATATGATGCCCTACACTCGACCAAAAAGGTGTCCTGTGATACAGCTTATCGAGGATGCAGACAAGAATGTTACTGTCCACTATGTTGGGAAAGATGTAAGTTGAAGAATTGAAAAACCAATTCGTAAACATGGATTAGTTTCTGTCAAAAGGTTGAATCATCTTTTTGTTTATGATGTTGCAGCTCAAGAACTATAAAAGACATGGTGTTATGGCCTCTTTCGCCGTCGAGGAATCAAACCGTTTTGTTTTTTCATAAACACTTTTCAAGTTGTTTTATGTTAAGTTAATAACAATTCTTGTGTTCTGTTCTACTCTAACATTGTGTATAATGTGTTACAACTGTTTATGAGTTTTAATTAGGTTCTTGATTTCTATTGAAAACGAATGTCTTTTGTAATAATTTTGAAGCGTGCAAGAAGGTTATAATCCTGGTGATACAACAATTTCCAGTGGATATAGTATGATTGGTTTTCAATTACTGTATGTTGTCCTTATTAAGAAAATCACATCATTCTTACTTTTAGTCTATACACATGCATTCACAGAAGACATTTAATCTTTTTTTTTAACTTGGTGACTTCTGTATATAACAAACATCATTGACTTTTACCTCTTGAGAGTTGCCTGAAAGCTCGGAGTCATATGATCCTTATATTTTGATGAGCGTTAGTGAAGTAGATCTTTGCCTTGTGCTTTAGTCACGTACCTACCGTGGAACCCTCCTGGAGATCATAGAAAACAGTACTCATCTGTTACAGAACAAGGTTCTTGAATAGAGGACTGCCACATCTCATCGTCATTTGTCTGAATAGCCTTTTGGGAGAGGTCTTTGCATGGATTTTGCTTTTGGATCGAGATTTTGAAGAAATATTAGTAAAGCCACGCATTGTTAAACCATCACGTTGCCATCTCAACGGAGAAAATAATTAAATGATGGATACATTTTGGTTTGCTCATCAGCCATTCTACCTCATGTTTCTCTGTTGTCCCCTTGATTTTTGGTTCAAAAGATGAAGAACCGTGAGAGTTAGAGCCTTTTTTCTCCGTAACATCTGATCTCGCAAGCCTGTTTCAGGTAAAGAACACAACTCTAGGACTTAGTGAAACACTAGATGGTGATGCTTTAGCAAAAGGAGAAATGAAACTAAGAAAGAGAGCATGAATCCCATTTATATATACCTGCCGTTTTGTCTCTCACCAGTAGTAGCTAACTTGGAAACACTAGTTGCCTTTCCAGGAACCTGGTGTAAGAACAATGGTAGCAATAGCATTCATCGATGTTTAGTTACTACTTACTAAACAGCAGAATCTCTTATCACTTGGTGAAAACACTAAAAAGGCTATACCTGCTTTGGAGCTGGATCTTGCACATCAAGAGAAGGTTTCATTTGGTCGAAACTCTTCTGGAAAGTCTTGAAAGCACGTCTAACGATGTCTTTATCTCCCATTTGTTCCGTGAACAAGGATCTTCTGGTGGTAGCAAGAGCAGTAACTTCAGAGCCCGGTTGATCCAGACTGAGAGAAGTGTCTAATATCTTTTGAGCGGTTTGTTTCTTTCTCGGTAAGGTCGAGACATTCTCCTTCTTTACTGAAGATCGAGAAGTAGACATCGAATTGATTGCTGAAGCTGGCTTGGACACTCTTGGAGTCGAAGCTTTAGAGACAGGTGATTCTGCTTTATTTGTTGCCTTGATCATGCTTTTCTCCTTGCTTGGTTGAGTTCTCCTACTCGTTACAATCTTGGTCGCTGCAGCTTTCTTGTTCACCTGATTAGGCTGTAAGACCAAGACACAGTCACTTGAACGAAACTTGAGACATAACACATATATAAGAAAGCTTATGGTGTTTACCTTTGGAGAGCCTCTTGTATGGTTTGTTCTCTACATTCTTGTCTGTCTTCTTGATTAGATCATAATCTTTCTCTTTCTCCATCTCCTTCATTGGCGTTTCATTATCTTTTGATGAAATGTCCTCTTTTACTTCCTCCTCTATACATACAACCTCTTCTGGTTTCTCTTCAAGCTTCTCCAACTTCACCGTATTCATCCTCCCCTGCATCAACCGAGCTTTGACATTCCCCAAGATTCACAGTTTCTTCAAGAGGCTCATAGTTACATGTCTCATTCACTTCAGTAGCAATGCTGGTCACAAGCTTATCTTCTCCCGAAGTACTTTCGCCATTAGATACATAACAAGCACTTTCACTGTCTGTATTTCCACGGTTCTCAAGACTTGCCCTGAAAGATGCAATCGTCTCTGATTGTTTCTCCTGCTCCAAGATGATCTCGGCTTTTCTCTCGGTGATCTTCTTGTAATGTGATTCGAAGTAAGCCTTCTTCTGAGACACTGATCCTGGAGTTGCACACTTCTCAACTTCTTCCAAGTACTTGTTGGGAGAGAAAGACGAGAACTTCTCCCATGAGAGTAAATCATTCTCGAACTTACCAAACGAAACAGAGACTTGCGTGTCTTGATTCGAAGAAGTTGAGGTCATTATCTGTTTTTTTATCAACAAACAAGTTTAACAATGGCAAATCAAGAACCACACATAAACATGACAGATCGTATGAAATTGACAGTAAAGGGCCATTTTACCTTATCTTCACCATTGGCAATAGCAACTTCCATGTCCCCTCATTAATGCTCACCAGCAGCAAGAATCCTAATCCACACGAAACCAAAGAAACTCTTATCACTTACAAACTTGAACAAGCTAAGAACAAACGAGAATCAACTTGGAGTGGGATAAAGCAAAACTAATTTTAACATCCATATAATCTTGGTTTAGTGAATTGGTAGCTACTTTCAGTTTTGGTTTTTTTTTTTTTAATCTTTTTTCACAGAAATGAAAACCCTTCACGGTGAGCAAACTCAGATTCTTCTGAAAATAAATGAGTAACACCGTCAATAATTGACGAACCAAAGAAAAAGCCATTAATCAATGATTGAAGCTAAGAAAGTATCATTTCAAATCCAAAAAGAAAGAGAGAATCTAGGGGAAATCTTGTAAGCTTACCTGAAAAGTGAAGATAACCCACAGAATTTTGTATTAGTTCCAAAATGATGATGGATGGAAACAAAACTCTTGTTAAAGTAAAGATTCACCAAATGCCTTTTCAAAGTTGGAGACTTTAGGGAGAAGAACAGAACAGAAAGCCCAGGCCTAAGTTTTTCGGGTCCGGTTTTTATGCCCAGGCCTAAGTTTTCCTACTCGTTGCAATCTTGCTCGCTGCAGGTTTCTTGTTCGAGGAGAGTACGGTACTTACTATTAAGCGGGGACCAAAGAGATTATTAACTATATTAACTGACTAATTCTCATAGTTTAAGATCATAAAGTCAAAGGTGAGTACTATATAGTACATCAAGTTTTCACCCTTTTTTTACTGTACCTACTATTAAATTAATTTTTAATTACAGTCTTTTTTTTGTGTGTTGAAAACATGATTTCGCCAAAAATGTTCATTTGTACTAAAATAGTTTAAGTAAAACTTTGTTCCTCTATTAGAAAAGTTTAAAACCAGTTTTTTATTCAGCTTAAAGTTTTCCATTGTTTTGTGATTCCACTATTATGTTGTTCAACTATGTATTTTGACTCCATTGATTCTTTGTTATCAAATGACCTTGAATTATAAACGCTATCGGATAATTACCGATATAGATAGACCGATAAAATGGTGTCGCTATGATTCACAGTAGTGAGTGGAAATTATTTTCAGAAATCATTGCGAAAAAACGAATTAGTTCAGCCCAGCCCAGCCCAGCCCAGCCCAGCACCGTAATAGCCCAAATCATGTAGTTTATGATGAGTCTGATAATAATGAAGTTTGACAAATGTTGACCATTTTGTGGTGGAGACTTTAAGATATATATGAAGAGTTATAAATTGTGTGCTCAGTTTGAAAACTTATGTTTCCGAGGAACAGAGTCTTTAATGTCTAAAAAGACCAAATTCAAGCAACGTAACGCTTCTTCTCCATCCTCATTGATTTCACTTTGCTTCATCATCACGATCACATCAAACTCTTTTTCTTTTACAATTTCAAGTAAACCATTCTGAGATACAGTCAAATATGAAATCTGCAGTAACAAATTTAAACACAAATGGGTTTTTTACTTTTATATCTCCATAGAGAAAATTGAGTCTTCTTATGCAAAAGGTATACAAAACGAATCTGAATTGAGCACAAACATATGAAATAAACCAGAGTCCCTCCTAACTAGTCCTCATCAATGGCTTCTACAGACTCTCTCTCTCTGCCTCTCACTAATCAAATTTTTACACAAACCAGCAATCAAAACAGATATTTTCTCTCAACGATGTAATGTGATTAACCATACTACAAAAAAAAAAGAAGAAAAAAGAATGTTTGACTTACACATACACTCTCACAAAAAGCTTGACTCTTCTGTTAACTCAGACAGAGAAGAGAACCCAAGCAAAGACTGATCTTTAGCTCTCTCAATCTTATGTTCGTACAAATCATACGGCTCCCAAAGATGATCCAACGGACACGGTCTCTTCTCATCAAGCCTCACCCATGGCTTCCCTTTCCCACTCCAATGCAACAAGCTCACTGGTCCTTTATGCAGAGACCTACAGCTTCCTCGTACATTGTCTCCTCCTAAACCATGCTGGTTCCACCTATGATCAATCGCTTCAACATCACCTGCGAAGACTAGAAGGAAAGGAGGCAACGAACCCAAATCGTAGATTCTTCGTTTCTTCTGTAATTGCATCCAAGTTTCGATCTTTTCTCTGTAGTTCCCTTCTCTCCATCTAACCAGATCCATCACCATCACTCCCGTGTTGAAATAGCAAGGCTTTCGACCCGAGAGGAATCCGGGTAAAGCCGGGTCGGACCAGAAACCTGAGGTGAAGTATTTGGTGAAGTTTGCGTGGCAATACTCCGGAGCTCCGATGATTCTTGACCCGGTCAGCGTCGTGTTCCATAGCTTGGTGATATCGTCGACGACGATGATGTCCGAGTCCAGGTAGATGACTCGGTCGACGCAGCGATCGAGGATGTCTCCGAGGTAGTTCCGAGCGTAGTTCAACGGGTTCTCGAGGGCTTGTCTGATCGAAGACGATATGAGGTTGATGACGGTGTCTTCCCGGAAAATGTAGACTTTGAAGTTCAGCGACGGGAAAGTCGATCGAACGAGTTGACTCAGAACGCGTGGACTCGCCGGGTCAAACTCGGCAGCGATGAAATGGAAGAAAACGTTCTCTGGACACGACGCGTGGCGGAGCATCGAATGGACGGCCGCGATTGAGCCACGGAGGTACTCTGAGTCAAGCGTCATGGCGATGTGAACGAGCGAGGGGTCGCAGGACGACACGAAGTTCTCTCTGTTTAACGACTGCGACGCGCACTCCTTGCCGTTTCGGTACTCCGGAGCTTCCACGAACGCGCCAAAGCCGAATCCGATGCCGACGGTTGCCGAGACGGTGGCGATCCTCCCAGGAACTATCCGTATTCCGACGGCGAACTGAGAAAGAAACACCAAAAAGAAGACCGCAAACGCTAAAACCGCGGATGTCATCGGAAAACGCAGCCGCATTATCAGTAAACGAGCTTTATCTTCCTCTCTCATCGATTTCGATGAATCTTCCGAAGCGAATTAAAGATCTGTGTCTTCTTCCTCTACTGATTTAGCATTTTCAAGAACTGGGAAGCTTCTGTAGAAAATTACTCTGTAGAGTTCAAGAATGTAGAGAGCAAGAAGATGAGAAATGAAGAAGAAGATTGGCTTTTATTTGGCTTTAGAGAAAGATTTGGTTTGTACGCGCCTTGAAAGCGCGTGGATAGTGATGTGGCTTAGTAGTATTAATTTGTTCTTTTTGGGCTTAGTCGTCAGGAGAAAGTGTTTTATGATCAATCCCAACGTAATTTACCGATTCAACTGATGAGATTAACATTAATAATCCAAGATCTCGGTAATTAAAATGAGAAGCAGAGTATTTATTTTAATTATATGCGGGTTGGTGTAGTGTAAAGATGAAAAATTGAATGGTGGTTTTTGGAACTTGTGATTACTTTCTGCCAGCTGTGAACACGATGGAGCCAGCTGGATTATTCTCGTAAAGTTATACGGAGATGAACGGCTGAGATTAAAAATACGATGTGAAGCCTTTCGATTGGCTGATCTCACTCGTGTCCTAACTCAACTTTCTCACGTGCTCCAGTTTCTGACTCTGAGCAGTAATTTCTTACTGTAAATGGATTGGTTAACCACACAAAAAATTTCTAAATAATTTTTGGACATGAAAAGGAAAATTGTTTTTTGGCTACACAGTATATTAAAAATATTAGATTTTGTTTATGCAAACAAGCAAGTTTTGGATGAGGGTTTATATATATCTTCAAAATTTTTTATGAGGGTTTATTTATCTTCAAATTTTTTATGCTCTTTCGTTACATTTTTGTTGTTGGAATAAGGAATAGCGAGCGTGTCTCACACTACGAATATTTCTCATTGCGTGGTGCCACTTAATAAATGTTTTTTTTGTCAACTCAACTAGTGCCACTGAAAATTTAAGATATAAAGTATTTTCACTACCCAAATCTTAAAAAGAAAAAACCATTATTTTGTGCTGCCGCCGCGTGTGCTATACGAAAAAACTGAATATTCCCTGTTCGTGTGAAGGAGAAAATTCTGAAGATACCGTCGAGCCAAAAACTGATTATCAACTTTTAGGCTAAAGAAAACTCAAAACTGATTATAATAATTCACTATCCCTTTTCCTTTTAAAATAAACTAAATATTTATTAGTGCTAATTCACTAATGTTAGGGTTTCAACTAGTCTATATTAAGCCCCACTAATGTTGTTGGTTAATTAAGTAATAAAGAACAACCATTCCTATTCCTTAATTCATTTTTGTTTATTTTGACTATAAGCACTACAATTGTCTGCCATGTCTTCATGAAAAAAACCAATTAACAAAAAATATATAGAAACACCTAGCTAATGACAAAAACTTTTCCCCCAAACAAACACATTAACATTTGTATCTTAATAGAATACATTGTTTTTTTTTTTTTTGGAATTTGGTAGAGGCGCAGAGTTAGCTTGTGAAGTTAGGTGGTGAAACAATGATGTCGTCTTGGATACGGACGGAGAAGGTAGATATATTTTCCTCTATTTTTTTACAATAATTATGGATATAATAAATGTGTGATGTTTGGTGGAGTATGTGACAATTTATGATCTAACGAATTAAGAAGAATGATGCTTTGCTTTTGACCCAAAAAAAAAAAAAAGAATGATGCTTTGCTTTGCTTGGCGAGTACAACACGGGTTAGGTTCATTGAGAGACTTTGTCTTCTTTACCTCTCCACTTGCTTTTATATTATTACTACAATGCAACAGCTAGAAGAAGACAGACCAAAGCCAAGTAGTAAACCAACTCTTTGCCTTCTCTTCTCGTTTCTGCTGTTATCCTAACGCCGAGGCAAAAACATTTTCCTATATCTTTTAATTCAATAAATTTGGTTAATTATGTAAGGACACTGTTATGTCTTTCACTAATTATATAACGACATGTAGTTTAAAAATTATATTTAAAGTAAAAGAAATTACAAAAAAAAAACTATTTGCAAACCATACATAGGAACACTTGGATAAAACAGAATCTCCAGCTATCTAGATCATCGCTAAATATCTTCATACTTGAGGTGTTATGAATAGGAACCAGAGTTACCTCATACTCAAACACAAACTCATCTCTAACAGGAGCCAAATGCAAGTTCATTTCTCTAAACTCGATTTCCTCAAAATTATATGCACATACTTTAGAATTGTATGGGTACTCCTATTGCAAATTCAGAACAAACTTTCCTGTTTTAGTCACTACTAGGAAAAAAACTCATAGACCTTACCACAATGTATTGACTTTTCAATATCCGTTAGATCATACCTGAATAGCTTGCTCCATGATTTGATACGACTCATGTCTTTTTCTTCATGATCAGCACACCAAACATTTGTTTCAGCGTATAAAATTTGTTTTGAAGGAAGTTCATGCAAGTGTTGCACCAAACGTCTGAGCATAGACTCCCACATTTATCTGGTTTATTGTCTATGGGAGTTTAAAGAAATGAGTTTAAGTAGAAAAAAAGAATTAGGAGACTATAACCGTTCCTCTCATAAAAGGAATCAACGCTTTTTGAGTTTTAACCCAATTTGCACTTTATGGTGTTTCGGAAACAATCAAGAAGAGTTATTAGAATGAAGCTGAGAAACTGCAAAAAAAAATGCTCTTACACTTGAATTGAGTTGAAAACCAAAACGTTTGGAGCAATATTTAGCTGGTCTTGGGATTTATTGAACCGGGATCTCATGCAGGGAGTTGCGGTCAGGACGAATCTAAGAGACGAGATGTGTGATGGGCATTATAACCGCGACCAAATTTTTTATGGAAGTGTTGCTCTCAGTTCCTTTCTGTCTGCTCCAAAAGACTGTAGAGAGGAGATTCATATTCACATAACTCAAACTCACTTAATAATGTCAAACCAAGGTTTGTCTTCCAAAGGATATGAAGAAATGAAAAGTTTTACCTCAGATCCGAAACCTTTCACGTATATATTTGTAAAAAGCTCTGATGATTCCGGTATCGGGCTCTCCTGAACACACACAAAAATAATGAAGATCGATTCCTTTAACATATGGTGATAATTGATAAACAAGTAGTTGAAGATTCTTTACCTTGGCCTGAGCTACCGCTGCATCTACTTCTTTCCTCACTTCTTTCTCCATATCCTAAGGTAAGACATAGAGAGAGTATCATTCTTTTACTTATTCTCCGATGAGTAGTAACAATCCATTGTTTTCTGACAGAAAATGGGAGGATTTGTTATGGTATTACCTTAAGCTCTTTCTCCGTAGCTATGTCATGAGATATGATCAACTTTCTCACTCTATCAATTGGATCTCGCACCTGAAGGCCACAAGATACACTCATATACAGATTCAAAAGTTGAAGTTTAAAATGATTGAGCAGTATTCCTAGAAAGTAGGAGATTAACTAACCTGCCTCACGCCTGAGATCTCATCACGAGTACGGTAAGTGCTTCCTGGGTCAGACATAGAGTGGCCGTGGTACCTGTAAGTGTCCATCTCAAGGATCTGCTCAAAGACAGGCAAATGCATGAATGGTCATTACCATTTAGGTTGATCAAAAGCTCACTTCCATCGAAGAGACGGTCAAATGCAGTAACTCTGCGTCATAAGCAAAGATACTACAGAAACAGCTTTCTCCTTCCAATATCATTCAAACACAACCCTATTCAATCCAGAACCCTGGCTAAGTACAAGCAATCAATGTTGCTAGCAAAGCATACATGCAAGCACGAAAATGATTGTCTAATTTAGATTTGATTCAAAGAAACAGTTTAGACCAAAAACAAAACAAAAGAGAATAAAATCCACAGTGCTAAAAACTTACAATAGGCCCATTCTTGAGTGCGTGTTCTTTGGCGAACTTGCACGCTTGCTTCACAGCCAATGCATCCATACCATCCACCTAGTGAACAAAACAGAAGATGATCACCAACAAGCTAAGCTTACTTTAAGGTCACATTCCCCCATATCAGAAAAAGCAAAGGCTATTGATTCTATTGGTCTAACTACAAAGATAGAGACTTTCAACAAAAAGTCCTGTCAATTTTTTCTCCTAACAAAGATCTCATCGATCACCTAAACCCTTCCGAAGGCATAACAGGTTTAGAAATCATAAAAAGGTTTCGTCTTTTCTCTTTCAGTTTGCGTAAAGATTCAGATCCTAACCTCCATTTCCTACTCCAAATCTTAATTTTGAGTAGAATTCTATTTTGCACAAAGTCTACTGTACAACAACCAAACGAAGCATAGCTACATTGCACAAAGATCAAAGATTATAGACAATTCAATCTCACCTTTAAGCCAGGAACATAGTCTCCACGCTTGAAATAAGCCGGAGACTTGGCCGATCTCCACTCAGCCGTTCCCATCCCATCTACAATCAGAAAGCAATTCAATCAAACACAGTACTCACTCACAGCTCATTCCACCACAAAAAAAGCCAAAAATTGACTCACAATGGTTGTTCTCGCAAACCAAAACCGCAGGCAAGTCCCAAAGCGCCGCGATGTTCAAAGCCTCAAACAACTGTCCCTGGTTCGCTGCGCCATCACCGTACAATGTAAACGTCACAGCTTCGTCCTTTGAGTACTTCTGAGCAAAAGCCAAACCGCATCCCAACGGAGCCTGAGCACCAACGATCCCATGACCGCCGTAAAACGAAGCGTCCTTCTTGTAGAAATGCATAGACCCTCCTTTGCCATTAGAGCAACCCGTCTTTCTTCCCATGAGCTCCGAGAAGGCCTCGAAAAGCCCCCCACCGCGACCTAGAAACGTACAGTGATCTCGATAGGAGGTGATAATCGCGTCCTTTTTGGTAATCGCCGCCTCCATCCCGATCGCCACGGCCTCTTGGCCGTCGTAGAGGTGGCAGAACCCACGGATGAGTTTCGCTTTGTAGAGAGAATCGGCGGCGATCTCCATCCGCCGCATCAGAGTCATGTCGTGGAAGAACGAGAGAAGCTCTTTGGATGACGTCTCGACGGCGCGTGACGGCGCCTCGCAGAGATGGGATGTGAATGGGACTGAGGTCTCGACTGTCAATGGCGAGGTGTCTGTTGAAATCTGGCGGCGAAGAGCCGCGGGGGAGGCGGCGGCGAATGGTTGCAGGAGAATGTTGGATCGAGAAGAGAGCCGTGATAGTGCCATCTCCGCCGTCGATTTGCTTTGTTTTGCGCAGTACAGAGAGAAAAAGAAGGCGAATGTTTTTGATTTTGAGTGATTTGAAAAAGCTAATGTCAACGTTTTTTCGTAACGCAAAAGGGCGTTTCCAAGTCCAACGCCTCTTTCTCTTCACCAACCCTGATATGCCAAATGCAAGAATCTGAATAAGTAACTTTTATTTATTTTATTTATTTTAAATGTAGATAATTATTAGAGTTTTATCATTTTTTTCTGAAAAAAAGTTCAATTATTTTTTTTTTGTAAGAAATTAGTAGCTTACATTTGAATTTGAAAATATGGTAAAAATTGTTAAACCGTTTATTACTGTATTAACAAATGTTTAAATTTTGCTAGACATTACTCTCATTAAGCATAATTAATTACTCAAAAGAAACGTTAAAATGACAAACGAAACTATAAGCTTAGTTGTTCAAAAAAAAAAAAAAAAAAAGAAACTATAAGCTTCAATTACTGGCTTTTTGTTTTTGGTTTTTCCACAAACATGTTATTGACTAATTTATTTACCGATTTGACTAAACTCATAATGAAAAAGAATTATATTTTTGTTTTCTCGTATATCATGGAAATATTAAAAACCGGGAAAAAAAAATTTATTAGTGTAATAATATCCAGAAGGCAAAAAGAAAAAAAAACCAATTGCAAATGCCCTCAACATGAACACTCTTCCCGTCGTCTCCCTCACAGCTTCGTCCTTCAAATTCTTCCAATTTCCTTCTCTCCGTCCTTATCTCTCTCATTCCCCAGGTTTCTGCTTCACCAAATCCTTAATCCTCAGTCCAACACGTTTTGGAAAAGTTTCTTTCAAATCCTTGAATTCTCTGTCACCGTCGCAGTCTCAGCTCTCCGAGGAGTACGAGGAAGAGGACGAGGAGGAAGAAGAAGATGAAGAGGATGAAGACGACGGAGATGATGAAGCCGCGTACGAGTACGACGAGATTACTGATGAAGCTCGGAATAGCGACGATGAAGCCGAGTTCTCGGTGGATTTGCCAGCGGAATCGGCTCGGCAGCGCGTGGAGTTTAGGTGGCAGAGAGTGGAGAAGCTTCGTAGTCTAGTTCGAGATTTTGGAGTCGAGATGATTGATATCGACGAACTCGTCTCCATCTACGATTTCCGCATCGACAAGTTTCAGGTTTGATAGTGTGTTAATTCATTAAGCTCCTTTATGTAATTTTGAGGTTTTGAAAATCTGAAATTGCATCGTTTTGGTCAGAGATTGGCTATTGAGGCTTTCCTGAGAGGTTCGTCTGTGGTGGTTTCTGCTCCGACTAGCAGTGGGAAGACTTTGATAGCTGAAGCAGCAGCCGTTGCTACGGTGGCTCGAGGTCGCCGGCTGTTCTACACTACGCCGCTTAAAGCACTCTCTAATCAAAAGTTTCGCGAGTTTAGGTAATCTTGATTCCCATTAACTTTGTGAGTAAGTTGTGGGAAGGAACTATAATAGCTGAATATGTTGGTTTTTTAGGGAGACATTTGGCGACGATAACGTTGGTCTACTCACAGGTGACTCTGCCATCAACAAAGATGCTCAGATTGTGATCATGACTACAGAGATTCTCCGCAACATGTTGTATCAAAGGTATCTCGCATTTTTACTTCTTATATGTCTTAGTGTATTGTTCAGGAGGTTCCTTTAATCCCAGTTTTTGTGTTTGGACTCTTTAGTGTTGGAATGGCTTCTTCAGGAACTGGACTTTTTCATGTTGATGCGATTGTTTTGGATGAGGTTCATTATTTAAGCGACATATCTAGGGGAACTGTGTGGGAAGAGATAGTGAGTTCTTCTTCCACTCTTTTCTCTTCTTTCCTCTAAAGGCTTATCTGTTGAGTGTCTCAGTCGGACTCTGGTTATTTTAATATGTGCAGGTCATTTATTGCCCAAAAGAGGTTCAACTTATATGCTTATCAGCCACTGTTGCAAACCCAGATGAATTAGCTGGTTGGATTGGTGAGGTGAGTTTGTAGACATTTCCCTTATGGGACTGCATTGCAGCTTTCCATTGTCATGTTCCTATGATGAGTGGTTATAGATAACAATGTACCTAATGCTATGTTCATTATTGTTTTTGCTGATCAAGTACTCAATTCATTAGCCACTGATTATCTAAGATGTGTTAGCTGCTCGTTGTGTTTTTGTCCTCAGATACATGGTAAGACTGAGTTGGTAACATCGACAAGACGCCCAGTTCCATTAACTTGGTACTTCTCGACAAAACATTCTTTACTTCCTCTGCTTGATGAGAAAGGGACACATGTGAATAGGTAATTTGTTCAACTCTATGCTTTTATGTATTGTAGAATATTTCTCTCTGATGATAATTGCAAGAGGCTTTATTTATTGGAGCAGAAAGCTGTCTCTCAATTATTTGCAACTGGCTGCCTCGGAAGCTAGATATCGTGATGATGGTGATAGGCGTAGGGGAAGGAGGTCAAGAAAACGAGAAAGCGAAACGAGCTACAACAGCCTCATGAACATTCCTGATTATCCTCTTTCAAAGAATGAGATGAACAAGATTCGCCGTTCACAGGTCTTACATTATACTTTGTCACGAACTAGGCAATTGTCGTTTTCCTTATATATTTGAATATGATTTTTACCTTCTCATGATAAGTTAATGACTGAGCTGAGTCTTGACTTTTAGGTACCTCAAATTAGCGATACATTATGGCATCTCCAGGGAAAGGATATGTTACCAGCGATTTGGTTCATTTTTAACCGTAGAGGATGTGATGCAGCTGTACAGTATGTTGAAAATTTTCAGCTTTTAGATGATTGCGAGAAGAGTGAGGTTGAGCTAGCCCTGAGGAAGTTTCGTATTCTTTATCCAGATGCAGTGAGAGAGAGCGCAGAGAAAGGACTACTAAGGGGGATTGCTGCACATCACGCGGGATGTCTACCTCTTTGGAAATCTTTCATTGAGGAATTGTTTCAGCGAGGACTTGTTAAGGTTGTCTTTGCTACTGAGACCCTTGCTGCTGGAATAAACATGCCGGCTAGAACAGCTGTTATTTCGTCTCTGACAAAAAAGGCTGGTAATGAACGAATACAGTTGGGTCCTAACGAATTGTTCCAGATGGCAGGGCGTGCTGGACGCAGAGGCATTGATGAAAAGGGCTACACTGTGCTGGTCCAGACTGCTTTCGAAGGCGCTGAAGAGTGCTGCAAACTTGTCTTTGCTGGAGTAAAACCTCTCGTCTCACAGTTTACTGCTTCATATGGCATGGTGCTGAATCTTGTAGCTGGTTCAAAAGTTACTCGTAAGTCAGGTGGAACTGAGGACGGGAAAGTCTTGCAAGCAGGGAGAAGTCTAGAAGAAGCCAAGAAACTAGTTGAGAAGAGTTTTGGAAACTATGTGAGTAGCAATGTGACGGTTGCTGCGAAGGATGAACTTGCTGAAATCGATAAGAAGATCGAGATTCTGACATCCGAAATAAGCGATGAAGCAATCGATAAGAAGAGTAGGAAACTTCTGTCAGCGAAAGACTACAAGGAGATCACTGCACTTCAGGAAGAACTGCGGGTAGAGAAACGCAAGCGTACTGAACTACGAAAAAAGATGGAACTCGAGAGGTTCTCAGCTCTAAAACCGCTTCTAAAAGGGATGGAAGAAGGAAACTTACCATTTATTTGTTTGGAGTTCAAAGACTCTGAAGGGATGCAGCAGTCAGTCCCTGCTGTTTACTTAGGACATATCGATTCATTCAATGGTTCAAAACTTCAGAAGATGATGTCTTTGGATGAGTCTTTTGCATTGAACGTAATCAAGGAGGAGCTGGTTTCTGATGAACCTGAAGAGCCTATTGTTAAACCATCTTACTATGTGGCCCTCGGCTCTGATAACGCATGGTATCTCTTTACTGAGAAATGGATAAGGACTGTTTACAGGACTGGTTTCCCAAACGTTGCTCTATCGCTGGGAGATGCTTTGCCTCGAGAGATCATGAAGGCTCTTCTCGATAAAACAGATATGCAGTGGGATAAACTAGCTGAATCCGAACTTGGAAGTATTTGGAGGATGGAAGGATCTCTGGAGACATGGTCGTGGAGTTTAAACGTACCTGTCCTAAGCAGCCTTTCGGATGAAGACGAGGTATTACATATGTCCCAAGAGTATGATAACGCAGCGGAACAATACAGGGAACAAAGGAGCAAAGTGTCGCGTTTGAAGAAGAGGATATCTCGGTCAGCAGGGTTCAGAGAATATAAGAAAATCCTAGAGAACGCTCAGCTGACGGTTGAGAAGATGAAACGGCTCAAGGCGAGATCGAGACGCCTCATAAACCGTTTGGAGCAGATCGAACCGTCCGGTTGGAAAGATTTCATGCGCATAAGCAACGTGATTCACGAAAGCAGAGCGCTGGATATTAACACACACTTGATATTTCCTCTGGGTGAAACAGCTGCTGCAATCAGAGGAGAAAACGAGCTCTGGCTTGCAATGGTGCTCCGGAACAAAATCCTGGTGGATCTCAAGCCTCCTCAACTAGCTGGTGTATGTGCGAGTCTAGTTTCAGAGGGCATTAAAGTACGACCTTGGAGAGACAACAACTATATATACGAGCCGTCTGATACAGTAGTAGACGTGGTTAATTTCTTAGAAGAACAAAGAAGCTCTCTAATAAAGCTCCAAGAGAAGCACGAGGTTGAGATTTCTTGCTGCTTGGACGTTCAGTTCTCTGGTATGGTTGAAGCCTGGGCTTCTGGATTAAGCTGGAAAGAAATGATGATGGAATGCGCAATGGACGAAGGTGATCTTGCACGTCTGTTACGACGCACCATCGATCTCTTGGCTCAGATTCCAAAGTTGCCTGATATTGACCCGACCCTGCAACGTAGTGCATCAGCTGCAGCAGACATCATGGACCGCCCACCAATCAGCGAGCTCGCCGGTTAAAAGAGGCTCCTCGCGTTTAGCTCTGTCTTTATTGACCCACTGGCCAAAAACAACATTCGAGCTACTGCATATGTAAGAATTGGGGATACAGAACAAATTTTTCATTCAGGTGATTAAATGTTGGAAAGAATAGGAGTAAACAAAAGAGGAATTTTTGAGTTAATGTTACAACAACATACAAAAGCCTATATACACATTTGTGGAAAGAAAAAGAAAAAAAGACTTGAAGGTTTTGAGCAGCTAAGTCCTTCCAGTATATTCCTCAGATTCTCCCCTCCTTTCCATTTTTATTTTTCTGTGAGAATACAACAGGGGCCAGAGGCAGCAACAGAAGTGAGAGCCATCTTAAATTTCTTCTCTTCTGACAAAAGCTCAATGCCGAGACAAGCAGAGAGAATGGCAACCTTTATGTCTCTAAAAAGAATGTGAAGCTGCTCTATTCCCGAGCTTTTGATGGTTGTGGTAAGTGAGAAATGTCATTGGCTGGTGAGAAGTTTTTGGTATCTTTGTATCCTCCTTTGCCTAATTAAAGAACAGCTCTGGTTCAAAACTTTCCTTCTCTTAGCACGATGTAAAACATCCTCTGTGTCTAATACATAAGAGACCTGCAGGATGATATATTACACAATTGTTTTATCAAGACGTGATTAAAGTCGTGGCAACTCACAGTGGTAAGCAGAAGAAAAAGGCACTGTACCTTTGAAGTACTGCACGTGATTTTACACTCCAAACCGTTGATAATCTTAACTTGATCCGTGGTGCACAGTTCATGGTCACCACCAATTTTACGTTTATTCCTGCGGATAAAAAAGAGAGCATCTGATTAATTTCCACATTATCTTTTAGAAAGATGTGATAGTCCTTTTGTCAATGCTCTCTGCTTACCGTTTTAGATAGATTCGAGGATTCTCTTTCGCATTAGGTTGATTAGAAAGAAAGTTACTGTGGAGGTAAGTTGCAAACGTTGGGTCCATGGAAATGGATGTCACATCAGGCTTGTCATGTCCGTAGTCCAGAAGCTGAATAGAGAGTTTCGCTGGTGTCGATAGTTTCTGCAGAGACAAGAAGATACATCATCTTATGAAGTTCCTCGGTTATCATAACCATGCTTGGTCCAAACTATTTGCAAAAGGGGTAAATAATACTTACACATTCGATGCGGTAAATATCCTCATCAGGAAGAAGAACACGGGCGTTTTCATAGTAAACAGCATCGAGAAACTTCTCAGGCTTTCTGGATTTCTCATATGAACATAGCTGTTGCAGTTTGTTGTCCATCTCATCAGCTGCTACTCCTTGGAGCTGAAGTATTCACATTTTGGTCAGTTGAATCACAAAAGTGGAGGATAAGAGAAAGAGATCATCAAGAACGGAACAAAAACCTACATGCTTGATGAGCTTATAAATCAGTTTGTCCAGTGTGAAGAGCACATACGACTGCGTCCCAATGATTGCTCTGCAGTCATCTTCAAACTTGGAGTTATCAGATGTGCCATCGAGCAAGTTGTAGAGAGCATTCATGAATCTGTTCCCAAACACCAAAAAGACAGATGTTTATAATACAGATGCATTTTGTGGTAATTGCATAAGAAAAACTTTCAAAGGGGAAAAATCAAATCACCTGGCGTAGGAATCAGCAGGGTTTGTTGAATTTGAGGTCTTCCACTTTCTTTCTGGAGACGATGAATTGATTTTTGCTGATAATATTCTGTCATACAGAATCTGTAACAGCAAAAAAAAAAAGTTAGCGTCACGAGAACATTCAAGCCTCATTGATTTTGCAGATTGAAGAAATATTGATCCCTTTATTTTACCTGATGAAGCCTGAAAAGAACGTAAAACGAATCATTCCCATAAAAGACTCTGGAGTTCTTCTGAGAATCATCTTTCTCCTTATTGCGCAAAACGGGAGGGACATACTTTGCGAGAGGCTTCGCATTTAGCAGGTTTCGCACCGAAACAGGCAACACAGACTTGTTGTCTCCTTCAGCGTCATCATGTGCATCAGACATACCTTCTTCAGCCTCACCTTCGCTTTCCGCCTCCTTATTGTGTTCCACATCATCTCCGGGGTAACACTCGTCACCATCACCAGACTCAGTTCCGGAGACATCACCGTTCTGAGATGTGTTTCCGCTGCCGTCCGATGATCTTGGCGCACTTTCATCACCTTCCTCATCTGCGTTCGCATCATTCTCTCCACTATCTTTACCTTTGCTGAGAGCCTCCAAGTCGGTCTCTGCAGTAACTGCAAAGTTATCTTCCTCAAACTCTCCCGTTGGAGAAAGTTCACCCTCCTCTCTTTCGACTTTGGTTTGCCCATTGTTAGATGTTTCCGCCAATGTCCCATTTGTAAATACCTCTAAGCGTGGCCCATTTACGTGATTTGGCTTCAACTCCATCTCTGTTCCACTGGTGGGTTTTGGGTTACTACTGCTAAGCCCTGGTCGAGTGAAAAAAAGGAAATAATACCATTCATCATCTAAAAAAACAAGAATTTTTTTCAAGAGTACTTATCAAGAAAAGTTTAAAAGTGCTTACCAGCAATGGATAAGATGTTGGTTTTTCCATTTCTTTGAGGTAGCAATCCATCCACAGGCTGTGCATTTGAGTTGTGTGCACGTTCAATAGAAACAGCTTGTTTGGTTTCAGGCCTTTCCTCAGGTGTGTTTAGATTCTTCGGAGTTTTGTCATCTGCGGTTTTACTAGCAGTGACATCTCTATCCGAATCGCTAGCTTGCCGCAACAGACTGCTGCTTTCACCGGCTTTTCGAGGCCCACTTGACCGCGCTGAGTTGGCAACAACAGTAGCTCCATTTTGAGGACTGCCTTCGCTTGCACTGCTACTTTTTAGATTCTGGTTCGTGGACTTGACAGCATCTTCTCGGTCTTCAGCACCTTGAGGGCGAGAAGGAACACCAAACATTGGTTCCAAAAACTCTGTCCATACCTTCATTACCTTATCCAGCTGTTCCGTTGAACACATCTCTCCACATGAATACTTGATCAGCTGATAGAGATCCTCGTGAAGATCAGGATCTGGATAATCAAAACTCATGTTGGAGCAAATGGTTCGTCTGTTTCCAGCCGCAAGAGCAAGAAGTGCATCATCTTCTGCTCGCTTCTTTTCAGAGATCTCTTTTATCTCTGCCAGCAACGCTGCAGTGCAAAGTTAATAGTACAGTAAGAAATTTTGTAAAAACACTTTGTAAGTAGATGTAACTAGGAGCAAAAAAAAAAAACCTTTTGTGCTCAGATTCTTTGAGTCCTGCTGTTTGAAATAAAAACTGCGATGGTCAAGTGATCTGTGGTAGTTCTTGGTATAGATATCAGCCCAGACTTTGTTGAAATCTGAACGACACCTTGCCCACTCTTCTTGCTTCTGTTTCAATCGGGTCAGTATCACAGGTAAAGCAAGGTAGGCGTTCTTCTTCAACAGATCAATCACATCGAGCCCGTGGTCACCATATAACCGCTCTATGCACCTTATGTTTAGAGCTACAAGACAAATAACAAAAGAAAAGCATTCAGAATATAAGCTCTGCTACAGGACGATCACATACAAGTTTCAGCAGTCGCAAAGGAAAGAGTTCAATATACCTGTGAGATGGTCATCGATACAGATGGGAGTGTCGGTTTTCAATTCATTGCTGTTGATCTTTGCCAATAACTCTTCCACTCGATTCGTAGCCGAGTTCACAGACTCTAATAGCATGTCTAGCTCGAACCTAAAAGCACAGAGACAAACAGATATTCACCAAATCCAAACTCTTGCAAGAAAACACTCTAACAAATAACAGAAGGAGGCACTCAGATTCTGATCAAACCTGTCATCTTCACATCGGAAGAGGCTCTCTTCGTACTGGTTCTTGCGCATGTGTTTGAATGAATAGTCTTCGCTTCCTGAAGTGACGGAGACCCAGTGATCATTAAGCACCTGGCTACCAATCTCCATTTTTTGGCTTGCGATAGGAATCGGGTACTGCAAGAAAACAAGACATGCAACATTTCAACTAATGAAGCAAAAACCATAGAGGAGAAAAGCTTCGTTGATGATGAAATGTAGCAGCATACATTCTTTGGAAGTAACCGATAACTAGGAGTGCACTGTTCACAGTTAGAGAGATCGAGTTCACTGATAGGTTTAGCCCATTTCTGGCTCGCTGCAGCCTTTTCAAGCCTCTCCTTCTCACGGTCTCTTTCTCTAAATCTTTCAATCTTCTCTCGTTCTCGGTCTGTATCTTTGTCCTGCGACTTTGTAGGCTGAGGACATTTGCCATCACTCCACAAGGACTCTGTAGTCACAGCGATCCAATGGTTAGAACTAATTCGATCATAAAAAGTATGTGAAGAGAACGTATGTTACAACAATAGCCAGACTTACTCTTAGTCACGATACCAGATAGTAATCCTTCTGTAGAAAGAAAAACACACAAAAACAAAAAAGTGTCATATCATAACCTTTTTAACTGATTACTAATGTAAGAAGAGAATCACAAGTTTGTCTGATTACCATTCTTTTCACACTGAACCAAAAACACTCTAAAGGCCTCCATAAGGTCTGGATATACTCCAATTAAATCACCAACCTGATACAAAAATACATGTCCACGAGTCACTGATAAAGAAGATTTTTCATAATCTTCTCCAGTTTCACCATGAAGACATAAAAACATACCAAAGACTGCAATTCTGGTTGGCTGATTATTTCCTTTGAAAAGAGATTAAGACATCGTAGGAACTCTTGGTAGTCAGAGGTATTAAGCTTTGCCTTCACTCTATCAACAAAAGCAAGTTCTTGGATATGACCTGTCATCACAAAATTCAATTTCAGAACACTAACGATGCTGCATGAGATCAAGAAACGAGGGATATTGCTTTTTTCCTAGTTACCTTTATCATCATAAGTAGATGAAGTGGCAATGGCTCCATAAAACTTGTCTCCTTCTCTAGCCTGATTCGAAATCTCAGGAGAGTCATCGTCCCTTAGTGTCACCTTCTTTTTACTGTGGAGGAACTGCTCTTTCTGGTTATCGTGTTCAAGACCTCTGTCATCTACTCCGTAACCTCTCCTGTCTCTGTCATCCATGTAATCATTCTTTTTGTCAATGCGTCTGATATCTTCTTTACTTTCTTTCAACAAAGACCTATCATGGTCTACGTCCATATGTTCGGTTTTGAGTTCACGGTCAGGATGTGAACCGATGATCCGGTCCTTCTGCAACCAATGTACAAACATTTTGTTGCTCTGTGTATCGAGTATCGAATATCCAATAGCACATCAAGCGCAGTGCACAACTATCTCAAGAGAGGTACCTTATCAGAGTCACGCATGGTGGGAAGAGACTTAATGCCTCTATCACGTACTGACACTTTCACAGTATCATTAGTAGAGGCAGTTCCTGAAGTATCAGGGAGAAAATGAGTGAACTCCACAAGCAAATCGTGATGGTCCCGGAAAAGGATAGCCACCTGCAAGATTATACATATCAAAACTAAGACAAAAGAGAGGGAAACCCAAAACATTACACAGCAAGTGGCTGGCTACAAACATACCTCCTGGTAGACACCAGTGATGGACTTGTTTTCTTTTCTATACATGTTCAAAATGTCCAAAAATGATTTGTATACACGATCATCGCCTTGAAACCTTGTCTGCAGATGATAAACGATAGTTAAAGAGGCAAGTCACAAAGAGGAAGTGCCATCACACATGAGACTAAAGTCTCTCCTACCTTAATCTTGTTGACAAAACTAATAGCTTCCTCAAACTCAACAGGTTTCTTTGGCAGAGGTTGGTCATCCTCGGGCAAGAGAACTATCTCGAAACCCTTTGGTAAGAAAGTGTTGAAACCCAGAATCAGCTCTCGGTTCCCCTTGAATAGTTCTTTCACCCTCAAGATAACACCACTTGTGTCAACTCTACAATTGTAAAATAAAAATCAGATTTTTACAAAATTGTTAAGTACATAGAGCAACACCGAGCTTTAACAGGGAGCATAATCTATACCTCTGAGCTTTGAAATCTTTCATGACCTCAAGAAACTCATCGTATTTTTCACGTTTATCTTGAAATTTATCCTTGACAGCTTTGAGATATGCAAGCGCATCATTTGTAGTTAGCTTCTGTGAACTCCCTCCTCCAACCATGGTTTGGTTTGAAATTGGCCAGAGCTTCATTTACAAGTGAGAGAGAGAGAGAGAGAGAGAGAGAAAACAAAAATAGAGACTTTTAGCAGCGAAATAGATCATTGTGCTTCACCAAAAACACATTCCTCAAATGACTAAAAACCACACTGAATAGATCAGCGCAAGATTACATAACAACGAGAATTAAAGAGCAAAAAAATATAAAAAAATTCAATTCACTAATTAAAAGATTGAATTTGAGGATTTATGCAAATTCAATCTCTTTTCATCGCTCAGCAAAAGAATTAACCCCTTTGATCTTTTAATCAAGAAATCGCATCTTAAAGAACACTGGAAAATCAATCAAGATTAGCAAAAAAAAATCATATCCGAAGCAATCGAACTTGAAGCCAATCCTAACTTAAAAACAAAACAAGCAGCAGATCTAGCAACTAAAGAACAATCAAAGCAAAATCGAAAAGGAGTTGGAAACAATGAAGCTGAAAAATTCGATCTTAACTTAAATCTTCGGATTATTTTTCACATTACGGCGCTTCGGGATAAGAATTAGAGAAAAACACTTCGAGAACGAAAGAAAGAAAGAGAAACAGGATTAGGAAAGATCATCGTAGAGTTACCGAATTTCGTAGAGACACAAGTCCACAAGCACAAGCTTCCTCCTTACCGCACACGGAAACACACCAGAGAGACAAGACTTTAAACAAAATTTGCAGAAACAAAGAAAGAAAGAAACTAATAAGACGACAGAGTTAAAATAAAAAACTTATGATGAAGATGAGAGACTTCTCTAAGGTTTTTTTTACGTAATGTAATTTTTTAATGTTTTATAAGATGTGGTGTAATTATAATATTATTATTGTAGACCATTTTTGTTGACATAAATAAATGAGACCATTTTTAAATTAATTAAAAATATATATTTCCTCCTATTGTTGTTTCTTTTACCATATTTTCTTGTTTTAATTAAAGAAAACACATTTTATTCTGATATTCTCTTATTTTTGTTTCCTTTTACTTCACCGTATATATTATTTTGTTAAGAAAACATAAAAAACAAAAATACAGTACTACTAGTAAGAATACTGTAGAAAAACATATTTTTGTATCGATGAATGGAAAACAAATTGAATAAAAAAATAAAAATAAAAAACAACTTAAAGACAGCCGTTGCTAGGTTGCTTATAGGTTGGGTTACCGGTTATAGCCGGTGAGGCTAAACTGCGGATTAGGGCGCAGAGCTAAGGATTGGATTGGGACCTTGCAATTTGGGTTTATATTTTGTGTGTAAAGTGGCAATTTTGTGATTTTGGTAGATTGTGAGGATAAATTAGGAAAGTCAGGTAAAATTTGAACTATCAATGTCATGTGCTAGAATTAGTAAATTCGAGGCTTTTATTTAACGATCTGGAAATTTTTTTGCCAGTTTCTAGATATGGACTGATTAGATTTCTTTAGTGCAAGGTAATTGTTTACAGATAGAGATTTAAGGTGGCTATGCGTTTTATAAATTTCTAATTTTTAGGTTAAGTTTCTTCAACTTCTAAAACAAGTGATTTATTCTAGAGTTGAAATAAAATTGATTATGTTTCTAGACACCTTAGGTATTTCAGTATAAAACTAACATTACTTAAGTATACTATAAAAAATGAAGTTTATGTCGGTTCGAGATAAATTAGTTTGATGATCGGACATTGTTAATACACTGGATAATTAGGTAGACAAAATACTAGTTTGATGATATAAAATTCTGTTATATATATATTTACTTATAGAAAATAGTTAAGCAAAATAGGGCATTTGGTCTAGTGGTATGATTCTCGCTTAGGGTGCGAGAGGTCCCGAGTTCAATTCTCGGAATGCCCCGATTTATTTTTCAAAATCTTTTATTCCTCATTGTCGTTTCGCAAATTCCTTAAGTTTGGGCCCAAATATTTGCCTAAATTTGGTTAAAAAGTCTATTTCTTAACGGCCCAAAATATGTTTTTAAAAGCCCTAGTCCACCGTCTCATTTTACCCAAAGTCCATGGACATGAGAGAGCCCAACTTCTCGTTTTTCTTATCTTTTTTTTGGTCCAACGTTTTTCTTATCTTTCTTAATTGAGAAAAAACTAAAAAACTACTCTCTGGTCTCTACTAATTGAGCTTAAAACAAATATAATCTTACTTAAACCCAGACCATTCTAGATTGATTATTGAGTTTGTTAATAACTTTGATCCGTGTAAAAGGCAAGCTTATCTGCACTTGAATCATTTGATCTTTGCCAGACGATATCATCACAATACTCAATACTCATAATTATACCACTAATTAAAAAGGGAAGTGAAGAAACCAAAGAAAGACCCACAAGTTTGCATGTAGTCTCCCTTGTACTCACCTTTTCTTCCTGGCCCATTTTTTGCCATTGAGTGACGATACAAGATAAGTTCTTGTATTTTTTTTTGTTTTTTTGGTGTGCACGAAGAAGATGAGAGACTAGTTTGATATATTATGCTAGAACTCGTAAATAATGCCTTTTAGAATATAGATATACTCCCACATGATTTGATAAAACTCCAAGCATGATTGGGAATATATATAAATAAAAAAAAGGTGTGTGTTTCAAACTCCTCCTATGTTTTGGAACTCTAGTCATTTTGTAAGATATATAGAAAATTCCATAAAAATACATTAATTAAAGTTGGTAAGCTTTTTAATACGTAATTTATTTTTGTGCCTAATTATTTATTTTAACTAATTTTTTATCTAGTTTAATACCTAGCTTATTTTTATGTCCAATTTAATATCTAAAAAAAAAAGATGAAAATAGCAAATGAATCGCGGCAATAATCTGTGGCAATTATAAGCATGAATTTAGAATTTGGAAAAGCCACCTCCTACTTCTTTTGATGTTGAACTAAAACATTCAAATACACAATCTGAAATTGGGCACATGTCGACACTGATTTTTTTTAACGTCACCTTCTTACAGGCTTGTCCTCTTCCAAGAGGACATCTACGGTGACGTATAACAGGCTCAGTAGATGACTTTATAGGTGCAGTTGGTGATCTTCTTGCGAGTTGAGGTGCAGTATTTGAAGTTGAGGCAATGGAAGATTGAGATTGATTAGGTGTAGAAGCTGCAATGAAAGGTTTTGATTGAGTAGTCTTGTGTTTTTTTAGTGGATTATGGTTGCTGCTTCCACCCTCCTGATATGGGTTATTGTCCTCCCACCTTGAGTCATTCTATTTGGTTTGGAAGATCATTTATGTGCTGCTTTGATCTTTTTTTTGCTTAAGTATTAAACTGGATACAAAAATAAATTAGATACTAAACTAGGCAAAAAATAATTGAAATAATAAATTAGGTACAAAAATACGTTAGATATTAAAAACATCAAGATGTATTTGTATAGAATTTTCCCTAAGATATATACAAACTCCTGTATCCAAATCTAAAACTATATAGGTCTGATTCTAATACTGTTAAAAAAGTGAAAAGAAGAATTGTTTACAATTTTGAAATAAGTGGAAACTCAGATAGATATATAGTTAAAAATTTAGAAATTAAATTTTTTTTTTTTGGTCAAACCTTAACTTTCATTATGTTAACCAAATAAAGATGATACAACAGGCCACAAAGAGCCAAACAGAGCAAGATATCAACCAATAGATTAGTGAGATAAAAAGATAACTGAGAGCTAACAAGCTCAACCAAAGATAAATGAGAGCTAACAAGCTCAACCAAAGTAACATCAAGACAAGAATAGACTATACTGTCTTGAACGAAACCACCAAGAGGAGGGATCAGAGCATCTATAGTCGAGAAGGTGAAGCTGTCAGCAACATCAATTATTGAAGAAGAGACTGATATTCTCACAACTTTTATTCTAAAGCGAACTACCTTCGACACAATGCTCCATGAAACAATACCACTCAAAGCAAACAAAATATTTGGGAGGAAAACAACCTCCTTAAAGGAGAGATGAGGACTATAGAAGTCTAAAACCCGATTCAAGGAGATAGGGTTAAGACAAGCTTTCTTGTTCTGCCCCTTAGAAAGAAAACTTGAAGCTTCTGTCAATTTGACAACGGGACAAACTTTGTATACTACAGTAAAGAGCCGCACTGAGGCAGAAACAAAAGAAACCAAAACATTTGGTAAAGGAGCTAACATATCCAGACTCCACACAACAAGCACCTCCCATCCCGCCAAAGACTGTTCTAAGATTGAAGAAGCAGAAGTCGAGGAGTAAGAGCAAACCTGGGGAGGCGGAAGAGACAAGGAGGCAGCGGGGCGATGAAATGGAGAGGCGACATAAGGGATTGAAAGGTGGAGAGACGGCAAAATTTCAGGAATGCATACTGCAGGAAGAGTTCGCCTAAGGACGAAAAACATGACACGAGAGGACACAACATACACGACACTGAATGCCACAACCAGATTTAGAAAAGAAAAGTCCAGATCTGGAGAGGAGATGGCGGAGGCTACAAGGACCAAGTGAGGGGTAAGGATGGAGGGTGAATCTGGCGGATCTGAGGGCTCTGGCAGAGCGAGAGGAGAGAGCACTTCAAACAAGACGGAAGGAGACTTACCCAGTGACAGATCTAGAGGAGGTCTTAGCCCCAACGGAGGAGGATGAGTTACCACCAAATCGATGGAGGAAAGAGAAAGGGGAAAAGGAGGATAAAAATCTTCAGGAAGAGGGAAAGATAACAACGGAGTAGTGGCAGAATAGACTCATCTTGACTCAGTGGCGACTGTCTCGGGAAGAGGGTCTGAGAGGGAAGGCCTAGGGCGAGCCACTTGGAGTCAACAATGCATAAATTCATGAAATGAAATTGAATTTGTGTTTGTTAAATTGGGTTATTAATCATATAGATTAATCGTTAAAGAAGCGTACATTCACGTACGATGCAAGACACAAATACTTTGTTGATTTGTTTCCATTTAGTCATTTGACCAATTGACTCAAACAATAAAAGATAAAGTTAACTAGTTACAACAAATCCATGAAAAACAATTTGAACTATCATGAATAAATGTTATTATAACTCAACAAACAAGTTTCACCAATTTTTACCCTCAAAGACAAATCAACGCCAACAAACGAATAAATTTGATAACGTTAAAGTATGAGGTAACCAAAGAAGAATTAGAATATACATACAAATGATAGAAGTAGTGACATCGGCACAAAAAAAAAAAAAAATTCAACTATCTTTTATAGAAAATTAAGATTCTTAGGACAACATTCATCAAGAAATTAGTATTATATATCTATTCAGACCTAGAGCATTTGCAGATAAATTTCAATATAAAATAAAAGAAAAAAATCAACTACAATAATTTTTTAACTTTGATAGTTGATACCTTATCAAATTAAACGAAAAACTGTTATATATTCAACCAAACTGTAGATGAATACATTATTGGTAATGAAACATGGGTGCTGGGCACAATTGTATAAGTAAATTGCGAAATAAGTTTAATGTTGTCCTTAATATGAGGTTCAAATGATGTTTAACGACTTAAATAAGTTTTACCAGTTCAATAACAAACTAGTAACATTACATTATTTTGGAAAAAGGGATAAAGTACGCAAATTCCACACGCAAATCGTGCTGGTCTCGGAAAAGGACATCAAACACCTGCAAAAGATATGGGATTATCAAACCAAATACGAGAACACTGAAGCAAAAAAACAGTTGTAATGTTGTACACACATATATATGATATATATACCTCATAGTAGACCTCAGTAACACTTTTCTTGTCTTGCCTATGCATTTGTATTATCTTCAAAAAATATTTGAAACCATCCTCTGATAACCTTGCCTACAAATATACGATATTAAGGAGAGAATTAAAAAAAAAACAGAAAAGAGCAATATAGTAGGGCTAGAATACAAAATGGTGTTATGTGTTTTCAATTTTCAAAAATTTGTTCGAAAAATAAATAAGTAAAATAAAATAGAAGTGTTCTTACGTGGACCTTCTCGACAAAAGCAAGAGCTTCCCCAAACTCTAGCGTTTTCAGTGGAGTTCGGTCACTCTCGGATGTTACTTCGTAACCCCTCGGCAAGAACTTATTTAAACCCAAAATCAGTTTTGGGTGTCCCTTGAAGAGGTCATTGACCCTTGATCTGACACAATTGGTGCTGATTCTGCAATGAAAATATCATCAAATTCTTCAGCCTCCCCATACTCATAAGACTAATTATTTTGTGGAGAGAAATTGAACAATTTTAAAAGAAAATTTTATCGTTAACACATAGAATATACCGATTAGTTTTGAAGTCCTTCATGACTTTCACAAATGTAACATATTTATCACGATTATCTTTGAATGTAGTCTTCACAGCATGGACGTATTCATATGCAGATCTTGTGGTTTGCCTCGTTACAGCCATGATTTGAAATTGCCTAGAATTCCATTATTTTTTCATAAAAGAGAAAGTATATCAACGTAAATCAATTGCAAGACACAATAAACAAATTCAAAACTTATATTCTCAAATAATCAAACTAGATCCAAAAATACTAACGAAATAAATCAAGCATCAGCAGATCTAATAACCGAAGAACAATCATGTAAAAATATTGCAATGAATTTCAAAGCTACCAGCCAGAAATTTTGAACCTTGCTTAGCCCAGATGTTATATCACAATATAAACATAAAACACTCTAAACGTATTTCAAAAGAAAAATGATAAGATAAAACTAGAGATTAGAGAAGCTCGTCTACAATTAACGAATCTTGCCTAGACCTAAGTCATCTAGAGGGAAATCTTTTCTCTTTACCTCAAACAAAGATAGACGAGAGAAGTTGTGGTTTTACAATTTGACGTACATGACACTTATATAGAGATGTAGATACATAAAAGTAATACCTGTTTCCTAGGGCAAGATTTTCAATTTAATTTTGTTGCCTTTGTGGCATTCTTAGTTGACTAAAAAATAACTTATATTTTGAGCGCAAATTTTTTGTTTTTTTTTAGATATTGCTTTAAAAAAATATGGAGATGTCATAATTTTTAATTAATTTTTTTTTAAAATAAATATTTTCATAAAAATAAATTATGAATTAAACTAAGTTTTTAAATATCTTGATATTTAGGTGGATGTCTAAATTCTCACATTTAGTTAATGTTTTTAAAACTTATTTATTTCTCTTTGAAAAAAGTACAATTCTAATATTTTGTTGACCAAAAAAACCATTATAATTAAAATCAATTTGATACAAAAGTCAAAACCAAATGATCGATTTTTTTGGAAATGTCTCTATTCTCGCCAGTATCAATAAAAAAGATAAAATATGTTGATGTGTAATTATGAGAATGATTTAAGGAAAGTTTGTCAATTTACTGAAAAATTAATATATAATTTGACTATGAAACACTTAAAAGGAAACAAATAGAAAATAAGAAAACTAAAGAAAAAAGGAAACCTAATGTTGAATAAACAAGTTTAAGTTTCAACAGCTTATTCAAAACAAAAAAAACATAAATAGTATTATATTTACTGGCATGTTTATATAGCTTCCAAATTTGAAAAAAATGAACAAAAATAACAAGAAAAGACTTTGACCATTTGGTCATGACTTTGGTATTCTATTGATTTTAAGTTATTAACTATTATAATATTCTTCTTAGTGGTGGATTATTATTATTATTATTATTATTATTATTATTATTATTATTATTATTATTATTATTATTATTATTATTATTATTATTATTATTATTATTATTATTATTATTGTTTTAAAATGTTAAATTGATTAGAGAGTTTATGTACATTGTGACTCATAAAGAATAGAAAATAACATATATATGAATTCCCTATTATGCTAAACGTGTCTGAACCAGCGTTGTAGTATAGTCCCATGAGTCTTGGGTTCTTAAGGTAACGAAGAGATGTGATCCGGTTACGGATTGTTTTGTCAATGAGGTGTGCTAGCTGATGAATAGGCTGATAAGTTATTGTTCAACAATGAGAGAAATGGTCTCCCTTATGTTTAGGGACCTATCTCTCCAATTTCTCACATTCCCTTACAAAAAAAGGGTAGTGATGGTCCCCAAAAAGGATAGCAACCTGCAAGATAATACATACGAGATTTCTTATATCAGAAGTGGTTACGAACCTCCTCATAGACATCAGTAATGGACATGTTGTTCTAACTATACATGTTGAAATTTTCTAAAAATGAATTGTATGGTCGATCATCGTCCAGAAACCTTGCCTACAGGAAAAAGAAACTAATGATAGTACTATATAGGCAAATAGCAAAGAGAAGGATGACATTGTTCGGATTGTTAAGCTCCCCATAGATCGTATCCTTTCTTTAAACCTTAGATATGTGTTTCAAGCAACGATTTATGACATTTGGCATGAGAGAAATAGAAAGAGACATGGGGAAGCAATGTGAACCATCAGCACAGCTTGTGAAAATCATTGACAAGATTGTTTAAAATCGCATGAGGACAGCCGCATTTGTTTTCCACAATAGTTTAGTATGTTTGTGTTTTAGTTTCCTATTTAAAATAAAATCTTAAGCTAGCATTTGATGTAAAATAGGCTTTTTGATTGATTTTTTTTTACATTCATTAACAAACAAAAAATATAGCAAAGAGAAAAAGGTAATATTAATGAAAATATCTTGACCTTGTTGACATTTGAAAAAAAAATTAAAAATCTTGACCTTGTTTACAAAACTAATAGCTTCCTCTAACTTGGTAATAGGCTTCTTGGTGGAGTTTGATCACCCTCGAGGTTTATTTGGAAACCAATCGGCAAGAATATATTAAAACCCAAGAGCAGTTCTTACTTGCCTTCGAAAAGTTCTTTCATTGTGATTCTCCCTTACTATAATGACATTTCTATGCAATATTCTGTCTAACATCAAATCTCTCGAGGTTTGTTGGATCAAATTTGTTCAATTGTTCATCACTCTATTCGAATAGTCTGTTCACACCGTTCTCTCTCACGCCTCTTCACACAATGACTTATTCAACAGCTGTCCCATATATTATTTTATCATCTTCTATTCAAATCACTGGCATATTTTGCTATCTACAACACTTTATTGGTTCTCATATTATAATTCAACGATTTCATCAACTTTATTATTTTTCCTAAGAGGTTGGGTCTATTTTGCAACCAACAAAATCAAAGTACATGTTTGCTTCGAATATTCATTGTTTAGGAGTCAGATGTGAAAAAACAACAATTGAAATGAGGAAAATGAATAGTTTTTGCCTGAGTGAACATATCAAAGTTTCTATAAACATATAATGTTTCCAAAATCTTGAGAAAGAAAAAAGTTTCCACAAAAATTTAAAGGTTAATTGGTCACTTTTTTCTTATTCGCTATTTGCGGTTGACGGTTTTATTTTATTTTTGTAATATATATATTTTTTCATACTTTATATTACTCAATTTCTTTCGGTCCAAGCTCAGTAAAAATTTACAAGCATCTTTGCAGTTGCTGCCTCAAGAAGCTATTGTTCTCTTTTTGGCGCTCAAAAATGCTCTCTCTGCAAGTTTTATTTTGCCCCAAGTGGTTTTGGACTTGGATGTCCTAGTTATTGCTCCTGTGTTGAGCACGGATCTGTTCGAGATAGCAGGCTCTCTATATGATATACAAAGCCTTGTTATACTCTTCTCTTCTATCTATGTTTATGTTTTCTCTTATTTCGGCACTATGTGTTGCAGTTGTTTTAATTTTGATAACGTTTTCATTTGGATTTTCTCTTTGTATGGACCAAAAAAAAACTTTTTGACCAAAAAAAAAAATCTATATTCTTTATTTCTCATTTAGAATTTGTTTTCTACAATATATATATTGATTATCGTTATGAATAAATTAATTATCTTATCCAATATGACTGCTATGTCGAATAGTTGATAGGCTATGTCATCTTATACGTCTTTAGATTTAAGCGTTGCTGGATGACTTTTGTTTAATATATTACTACTATTCTAATTTTTTAGTTTTTTTTTTATAGAAACTTATGTTGTTGTTTTGTAATTAATTTTCATCTTCTTTATTTAAACGATACTATTTTAAACAAGTCATTGTGTGAAGAGATGAAAAAATACGACACCATAAAGTCATAAACCCTAATCATCAATCATTGCCAAGCATAAACCTAATTGTCAAATGTAATATACTTGAACAATAATATTAAAATCTAGTTTAAAATAAAAGTATTGGTAGATATTAGTCTTGATAAGCTATTAAATGCTGCATTAAATACTCTCAAACATTCGTCGTTCTGTCATCTCATCTATGAAACAACGTTGTCACGAGGTATCTCTATGTTTTATATAAGGCGTTATTGAGCCAAATAAATCCAGTCAACTGGTTTTACATATTTGCATATTTGGTTAAGTATTTCATTTCTACTTGTTGAGCTAACATAGTTGACTGGCTTGGGTTCTCTTTTTTTGGGCAAAACTGGTTACTATTTACTACACCGACGCATTATTTACTCTACCAGTCAAAATTTCTTAAATGTCAACAAAATTTCAAAGTCCTTTATTCAGAAACAGCAAATAATATTAAAAACAATAGTATAATTTTAATGAGAAAAAATTTAACTAAGTTTTTTTTTGGGTTATCTGGTATTCATTTCATAAAAGCACACCCAAACTAGGTTTTGACACATATAGTTCAAACAGGAAATAACGAGCTCGCAAGTTTGAAAAGCAATAAGATATAATTGTTGTTATGATGATTCTCTGAGAATGTGATCATGGAACCAAGCCGGGGCCTCCTCTAAGTATGACTGGAAACGACCATCTCTCTGACTATAGAGTTTGCTCTCTCTGCGTCATTAATCCAGCAAAATTCCTCTCTCATTAGGCGATGAAAGGGTTGGGTTAGAAAGCGATATCGAGGCCACTCCGATGGTTTGTTTATTGCATGGATAGCTGTTTGACAATCCGATATAATCTCTGCTGCTGTATACCGCAAGTCCCTCATGCTCTGCATAGCCTATCAGATACATACTAGATCAAAAACTTAGAAAACACTGTTAAAAAAAAAGGTAAAGAATTGCTATTAGATATTTTGTCACTTTATGTAAATTACCAACTCAAGAAGGGTCTTACCTCATCTAGTGATTAGGTGTAGAATTCCCAAAATGATGTATTTTAATAAATCTAATAAAAAGAGATTTATCAAAATGATTATCCATGCTTGTATTTTAAAACTTGTCAAAAGTGGGTTATTTCAAAAACTATCCCTATAAAATATACATTGTAACAAAATATATATATAGCTGAGAATGATAAAGATAAAACAACATCCACATTGCCTTTTGGACATTATGGATGTAATATCACTTTGGTTTGAAAAAAAAACACAAAATTTTAAATTTATGAATGAAATTTTGCAATCCTTGTCTAGTTTCTTTGT